AAAAAAGGGCAATCGGGTCGCCAAGTGCCGATTCGCAAGATAGCCCGGATCACTGGATTTCTCAGCTCCATGTCGCTCGCGCTGGGCACGACGGCGCGTGCCTTCAGCCATGAGCTTCTGCACTTGATCGACTCCGCATGGTCATGGAACTCAAAGGTTTTATTGTCACCAGGAGCGACCGAGGAGCTGCTGTTTTGGACAATGCACTTCGATCGTTTCAATGGCGCCCCATTCCACCAGAGTCAGCGTTTTGATGCCGTGATACACGTCGACGCAAGCGCACACAGCTGGGGTGCCACTCTGGCCAAGTTCCCAAGTACATCATGCGAGGCAAGCGAGTGCATGCCACAAGGGCTTCTCCCCACATCTAGTACGCGGCGAGAGCTCGAGGGAGTGCTCTGGGCACTGCGGACGTTCGCAACCCAAATCGTGGGTGCTCACGTCCTCGTCCGGGTAGACAACCAGGCAGTCATGTTTATCTTGCGCAAAGGGGGATCCCGTCAGGCGGATCTTACGTTGACATGCCAAGCGATCATCCAGTTCTGCCTCGGCAACACAACACGCCTCGCGATCGAATGGATTCCGAGAGAGCTCAACGCCCATGCGGATGACCTATCCAAGATGCAAGATTTTGACGACTACTCCCTACACGCACCTTGGTTTCGCCTCTTGGAACGACGCTGGGGGCCTCACACAATTGATCTCTTTGCTAACGTTCGGAACAATCACGTTCAGCGCTTCTGCTCTAAGATACCGCACCCCGACGCGTTCGCCGTCGACGCATTTTCCATCTCGTGGACAGGCGAGCGATGCTTTGCCTTCCCGCCTCCACACTTAATTCCCGCTACACTCCGCCATGCGGAACTGACGCAGACAGAACTCACGCTCGTCGTTCCACAGTGGACCGGAGCGTCATGGTGGCCGCTTCTCCAGCCGTCCACTCAATCGTGGGCTCCGGCAGTAGTAGAGCACCTTTCCCTTGCCCAAGGCAGCCAATGCCTTCGGGCAGGTTCACACACAGCTGCATTCTCTGGTCTCGGATTGCCCCATAGCCCAATCATTGCTTTGCGTGTAAACTATGCGGTCTAATAACAATTTCTCAATGTGTCATTTCAGGACTTTTGGCCAAACTAAAGCAACAATTGATGCACGTAATTAGCCACGTTCGCGCACCATCTACAATCGAGACGTACCAACCTTATTGGCAGAGATTTCGCACCTTCTGTACCCAAGTTAAGCTCGAGTTCCTACCGGCAACCGACCTGACGCTAGCGCTGTATCTCATCCATGCGCTCAACAACAAGGCAACTCTCTCTGCGATCAACCTCACGTGTTCGGCAGTAGCCTTCGCCCACCGCATGACAGGCGAAACCTCCCCTACCGCTGGCCCACTCACCCTGCAAGTGCGGGAGTTCGCCAAGAGACATGGCCCTCGGCCTACAAGGACCAAAGAGCCGATCTCTCTCCATCAAGTGCACGACATGGCTCGTCCCTTCCTCGAATCACCAATTCCTGCGGAATACCAGAAAGGATTGATTCCTCTTCTCATGTTTTCTGCATTCTTGCGCTACTCCGACCTCGTCTCGCTCCAATGGAATGATGTACAGTTCGAGGACCAGGAGGGGAAGGGAGTCTGGATCCCAGTGGCAGCAATTCCAGGCCCATACTGCCCGGTGAGGTGCACGCGCACATTTATACACATCGCAGGCCTCACAAAGGTGCCACATGGACCGCTGATAAGGGTTTTCCCGAAGAACTCGCAAGCCACACCGAACGACAAATCACCATCCTACGTTACGATCAGAAACTGGTGCCTCGCGGCCGGCAGGCAAGCTGGACTGGATGTCGCGCACATCGGAACCCACTCATTCCGCAAAGGCGCAGCCACGGCGGCGGCAAGCCTCGGAGTTCCTGACCGGCTCTTCAAACGCATGGGCCGATGGCGCAGCGACAGCGCGAAGGAGATGTACGTTACAATCGCGCAGGATCAGCTCATCTCCCTCTCTACGCAATTGCAGGATCCTTCGACGGCTCCCTCGCCCGCTACGCATCAGCTGTCAATCGAACGACACCGCCAGCCCCGACTGCACTTGCCTCAGAAGACCCATATGAAATGATAACGCTGCCTTTGCCAGTCAGCCTAAGTACACTTTCACAATATGATAATTTTTGAAAGTGTAATGAAATGTAACACTTTCTAAAATTTTGTATTGTGAAAAGGGGTACGTGGCCAACACAGCAAAGGTAGCGCCGAAGCGCTACTCACCCTCTTTTGCCTACAAAAGAGGGACGTGGGGACATTCGTCCCCACCCACGTTTTCATTTTCAAAATTGTAGTTCTAATTTCCCACCCGCCCACCCATTGTGTATGCTGTTATGTAGATTTATATAAGACGAGAACGATGTACTACAATCCATATGAAATGATAACGCTGCCTTTGCCAGTCAGCCTAAGTACACTTTCACAATTTGCAGGACTTGTACAATTGAGCACACTAACTGCAGGCTTGTAGTTCAAGCACATTAACTCCGTGTCTGTGCCACCAGCTGGGTGGAAGTAGACACCGGATGGTTTTGCTATTAGGGTACACGCTGTGCTAGTGCCTTGCTAGCAGTTTGATGACTGACAAGACCTTTGGGGTTGGACCAGACCTTGGTGTCAACATAGCGGCTTTAAAAAAGGGAGTGTACATACAGCTTGACAGCAGTCCATCACCTCTCATACAGTCACTCCTTTTTCAAGCATTTCCTGATAATAGCTGGCTTCAGCTGCCCTTGATACACCACAACCGCAATAACAAGCGTGAAGAGTGAGCAGAGAAACCCACTAGCCATGGCGACCCCCAACTCTCTGGACCAGCTACCCTCTCTTCCTGCCACCGACCACCAGTCACTCTCCCCTCCTCTCCTCAGCCCCACACTGGACTCTGTCTGAAAGCTGTGGTGGTGAAACCACACCACAGAGCCGTGCAGGCCCACTAGCCCGCCCTGCTTCACCAGCTGCATGTGGTCTGCTACAGGGTACACAGCAGCTCCGATAATTCGGTTCTTGTATGCGTGGAAGACAAGGTTAATGCGGTTGTTCACTCTGAGTATGTCCTTGACTTGGCTCGCCGTGCCAAGAGCTGCGGCACTTGTTACAGATTTGTTGCTCCTGCTGCTGTCGCTGGTATTACTGGTGCTGCTGCTAGTGGTGGCACTGTTGCTGCTTCTGTCTTTGAGCTTGTGATAGGAGCCCATGAGGAGGAAGGTAAGCGGCACGTACGTTTGGTTTCTGGGATCCGTTGCCACGCGGCATTGCCACGTCAGCTCCTGCTGCACCAGCTGCGCTAACCGTTCGTACTCTGACGGAGTTCGCACCTCGAGGCTGCAGTAACGGTAGATGTTGACGCCAACGAAGACGGACAACGGACGGCCAGATTCGAAGCACAGGGGTCCTGGACCCCAGGGATCGGACGGCGAGAAGCGGCACTGGAAGACCACCTCGTCGCCCTCCTTGTAAACGGACGGCACGGATGGGTCCACGTGGGATGCGTGCCTGCCTGAATGATGGAATTTTATATCAGATTTGCTGTCTTGATCGACGGCGCTGTGAACATTGCGAGCTTGGACTAAGGCTAACGGGAGATGTCTCGAAGTAGAGGGATGAGTTGATGAGCGAAGATTTGGAATACTGGGGATAATGGTCAGCGTAAGGAGGAAGGCGGGCAGTGAACGGATCAGAAATGCGAGGGCGGAGGACGGGGATAGGCAGCGACGCGACGGTCCGACGTATGGTGTGAGCATCGTGGTCGTATGAGGTGCTCCTCTGCCGAGTTACGACCTCCCTATTGCTGCGACCGTCCAGCCAATGCTGTTGATAACATCCCAAGTCTCCGCGGAAGAGGAGCTACAACGCCTAAGCAACTGAAGAAGCTATGCGAAGATTTGGGTGATGGTTGCCCGATGGCGATCTGCGTGGGAGAGAAGACGAGTGCAGCTTTGGCGCGGATCAGGCCACATCTGCCAGTTTTGTCCTACAAAATTCGCGTAAGGTATGTGCTAGTGTAGAAAAAAGGACGCACGATAGACACTTGTTCTCTTGTCTTTCAGCGGGTTCTATCGAGGATGTGCGAGAAGGCTCATCACGCAATATCGATAGAGCTGGTGTTGAATGTTGGATGAACTAGAAGTGTACTACATTCAGCTTTCTTACAACGCGTATAAATCGTCTGACAGCTGCTTCAGCAGCAGCGCCACATGCATGTGCGCTGCCATTTCCCGCGCTGCTCGCCTCTCTCCGCACCCACCCACCACTTCCACGCAACAAGCGCCGCTGCCATTCCGAGCGAGCCGCGTGGTGCTCCGCCCCCACCCACCCGCACATCTCCTGCTATCGGCATTCCCAAGACCACTACCAGAGCCGAGTTGAGGAATTGCACAGCAAATGCAGCAGCAGCCGAGACGCGACGTGATAGAGAGATCCCATAGGAATTCAAAGCAGGCTATTCCGGTAATCTGGCACTGATTCTTCTCCTCACTCCTGCGCCGTGGATAGTAATTGTTCGGTGACATTGTGCTTTTGGCTTTACTTATCATTCTTCTCGAGTTACGAAGGCTTGTAAACCTCGACCGAGCGTTGTAAGAGACTAGCGTTTTACCCCTCTGAGATTTTCATGTTGCCAGCAACAAGACCAGCGTTGACGTTACCTTGTCCCTTGGCCAATTCCGCCTGTTCGGCACAGAGTTCTCTGAATTGTAGCCTACCGTCCTCGTCCCAAATTACGGAAAATCTAAAGCAAAGTCGAAGGTTCGGTCCTGACAGATACGAAGACTATACTCTGTCCGATGAACAAGCCTACATTGCTTCTAGTAGAATGCCGTCTGCGCTGGTTTCATAAATTCGACCCCCATAAAGCATCGGTTATGCCCTCGATATCGTTCTCGAAGCATCATCACTAAGCTAGATCGGTAGCAGGACGGAGCACCAGATGAACCACGAACCAGCGCGCCGCGGCACCATGGCCCGACGATTGCAGCCGCGCGTCGTCTGCACGCCGCTGATCGTGTTCGGCATAACACTCTTCCTCACAATCTCCTCACTCACTCTCGCTCCCGCAACTGCAGAGTCGATTCATGTTTCTCCGAAGCGTCGCGTTAGAAGACTGCTCGACCTAGTCAGTAACCCCTTCTACGGCTCCATCCCCTCTTTATTCCGCGGCGCGACGCCGGCCTCCGCGGCAGCGCAGCGCGTGCTGCTGGGTCCGGCTCTAGGCACGGAGCTCGCGGCGTCGACTCAGCTGTCGTCTGTGCAGTCCTCTGTTGTACTGCCGACAGATCAGTCGTTACGACAGTCGCCAGAAGAGTCGCTAAGACAGTCGTCAAAACAGTCGCTAGGCCTGACAACAAAACAGTGGCTAGAACAGTCGTCGGGACAGTCGCTAAAACAGTCCTCGGGACAGTCGCTAGAACAGTCGGCAGACCAGTCGTTAGAACAGTCGTCGGGACAGTCGTCAGAAGATTCGTCTGATGAGTCGCCTGTCGTGCTTCCTGCAGCATCGGCGACGAAGACATCTGTATTGAAGCCTCACGACGCCACGTGGACCGCGCTGCACAACAAGTACTCTAGAACCGCCGATCTGCTGCCGTCAGCTGACGTCATCTTCTACGGCGATTCGCTCACAGAGGTACGCACCAGGGCGGCCGTGGAAATCAGGGCAGTGGTGATCACGACTCGCCCGCCATATCTTGAATCCTTTTCGAGCCGGGAGTTGTAGACATGACAGTTCTCGTGATGAGAGCCGAAACCTTGCAGCCCATGGCCTAACGGGATGGTCTCGCAAACCGTGTATCGCTTTTGAAAATTCTGTTACAAGCGTAGGCTTTTCAAGGTAGCACGCTCAATCGCGCTGGAATCTCGGCATCTCCCGTGTTCGTCGTTTCCACGTGGACAGGGCTGGCTCGGCACGTTCAAGGGAGCGACGACCGGTCTCTACGCGGGTGTGAGGTCAGTTCCCTTGTCGCCCGGTCGCAGTCGCACAGCTTCCGGATATTCGTCGCTATCGTCGCTTGTCGCGGATCGTCGCGTCATGGTTGTCGCAAAGATAGCTTGTCGTCGTTAGTAGATGCCGGTCTGGCCTGATCGATTTGGAATGTTTCAGCGTCTGCAGAAACCTATGCAATGATATTTCCATCACACCCCTTCACCCACTGCTATCTCTGCTCGTCTTTCTCTTATCAACACGGCCGCTCCCACCTTCCCATCTTCCCATGTTTCTCCTTTTTATGTTTGACCCCTCGTCCGCGTGTCCTTTCCAGGGGAGTGTTCGAGTCGGTGAAGGCGGCGGTGGGTGCGACGGTCGTGCAGGCGTTCGGCATCGCAGGCGACACGGTGGACGACGTGCGCGAGAGAATGGAGGTGCGCTGAGCCCAATGTGTTATTCGCGGATAATGTGTGTGAGTGAGAGTGCGAGACAAAGAGGCGATTTCTTGAGACGACTACTAGGGCATCGCAGGCGACACATGGAGGTGCGATGAGCTGAGCGCCATGTGCTTGCTTGCGTGCGTGCGCGCGTGCGCGCGTGCGTCTGTGTGAATCTGTGAATGTGCCAATACGGACGGATGTCCTGCGTGCCTCCAAATTTCCTGCTCCCCCTTTCCTCCCCTTCTTTCCGCTACTCCTGAGTCGACTCCAAAGCAGACTCATATCACCCCCTGCGCTGGTATCACCACCATCCTCCATGTTCCAATTCTTCTTCTCCGCCCCTTTAACATGCAGGGCGGCAAGTTCCCCGCATCGCTGCAGCTGCGAGTGGCGGTGGTGTGTGCGGGCATCAACGACGTGTTGTGTTTGTCTTGAGTCGACTCAAATTTTGCTTTCCATTCTCCGCCTTCTCTCCATCCCTTCACATGCAGAGCGGCGAGTTCCCCCCGTCGCTGCAGCTGCGCGTGGCGGTGGTGTGTGCGGGCATCAACGACGTGCTGCAGGGCAGAACCAGCGCCGCCACCACGGCCAACAAGGTACGCATGAAAGGCACGCCTTTTCAAACCACACGCCTGTTCATGCCACACGCATTTTGAGACCTCACCGTGAAGAGACGCCGCACTGCGCTGTGTCTGAGTGGGAAGATGGCGTCTCCACTTCTCCATCTCCCCTCACATTCCACCATCTCCCGTTGTCCCCTTCCCTCCCCGTTCCTCCCTTTCTGTTCCTCCCTCCCCGTTCCTCCCTCCCCCTCTCTCCCTCCCCCTCTCTCCCTCCCCCTCTCTCCCTCCCCCTCTCTCCCTCCCCCTCTCTCCCTCCCCCTCTCTCCCTCCCCGCATCAGGTGGCGTCGCTGGCAGTGAGTGTGCGCAAAGCGCATCCCTCCACCTCCGTGCTCGTGCTGGGGCTGCTACCCGAGGTGAGAGCGCCGTGCTGCTGAGAATTGAGCTTGAGCTGGCAAGGTTGGCAAGGTTGAGCTGGCAAGGTTGGCAAGGTTGAGCTGGCAAGGTTGCGAGTTCACACAGATAATTGAGGGTGATCGTGAGCAGGAGTATTGTTGGTGATTGTGAATGATAGCAACTCATTTCAGTCCCTCCTCTGTGGTGTTCTCTTGACCAACCATCACTCCTCTGTTGCTTTTTCCTGTCCCACTGGTTCAGGCAGCTACAAGCAAGAACGCGTCACTACCAGACCCTGTGCCGGCCCAAGTGAACGCCGTCCTCGCCTCGGCCCTCCAATCAGGTACGACCTGAGCATGAAGTGGTAGCTTGCTGATTCGTGGCTGGCAGCAGCATTGCCAATAGGCCCGCTGCAAGCTCTTCGAATTGCTTGGGGCAGGCAGGAGACTTCCCGTTGCCTTGAAACACCGCCAGCATAAGAATGGTATCCTTTGTCTATCCCTTTCTTCTCATTTCCCTTCTCCCCTCCTCTCCCTCCTGTTGCCCTTGAACGGGGTGTCATTTCTCGACTGCTCACAACTGCAGTCCCCTGCTCATCCCCCTCATTACTCTCCTCACCTTCTACTCTCCTCCCCTCCCTCCTTTTCCTCCCTCGCCCAATCGTTCCTCCCCCACAGTGGACGGGGTGTCATTTCTCGACTGCTCACAACTGCAGTCCCCTGCTCATCCCCCTCATTACTCTCCTCACCTTCTCCTCTCCTCCCCTCCCTCCTTTTCCCCCCTCGCCCAATCGTTCCTCCCCCACAGTGGACGGGGTGTCATTTCTCGACTGCTCATCTGCCTTCACCAACCCCGGAGGTTCCATCAATGCAGCGGCCTACGCACCCGTGAGTTGAGAGTTGCGACTTGAATTCGACTTGCACTGCTGTGCTGTGCAGTGTGGTGTGGTGTGGTGTGGTGTGGTATGGTGTGGTGTGGTGTGGTGCTGAGGGACCCCCTGTGCTCAGGGCTCATTCTCCACCTTCTCACCCCTCCCAACCGCACTGCACTGCGTGCCATACCCTTCACAGGATTCCTTCCGCTACCTGCATCTCTCAGCCGCGGGCTACAAGGCATGGTCGGGGTGCTTCTCACCGCAAATCAAGACCATGCTCAAGTGAGTGAGGTGGGGGGCGGTGCTGTGGGGTACCGGAGAACTGCCAAGGGTGGTTGTATGAGTGAGGTGGGTCTGTGGCATGCTGACGTGGGTGGGTGTGTGGCCTGGTCAAGGCGTGGTGGGAGTGTTTCACACCACAACTCAAGGCCCTGCTCAAATGAGATGGGGGGCGGTGCTGTGGGGTGCTAGACTGGGGAACTGCAAAGGATGGGTGTGTGAGTGAAGGGGAGGCATGGGGATTTGATGGGGATTGGCAGTGCCAGCAGGAGTGAATGCTCCAGCAGTGTTTAGGCTCTGCTCTTCACTCATTCCCTCATGGCGCCTTCTCTTTTCCTCCACTCTTTGCCTTCATTCTCCTCCTATCCCATCCTATCCCACCCCACCCCACCCCACCCCACCCCACCCCGCCGCACCCCATCCACAGAGAAGCATCAGCCAGCCCTGCTGTACCCACGCCCCCAGTCCGCACGCCCTCCACGCCTCCCATCTCCAGCACACCCTCCAAGCCCTCCCCTCCGCCTCTCAAATCACCCCCCACCACCTCGCCACTGCCCTCCAACTCATCCCCGCACAAGCAGCCCTCGCAGCAGCCACCAAAGGAAAAGGCACCGTCTGCTAACTCAACGAAAACAAAGTCACCACCCACCAAAGCTTCTCCCTCCAAATCTCCTCCTTCCTCGCCTCCTCCTTCTACAGACCCTTCCGCCAAAGCACCCCCCTCCAAAGCCCCGCCTTCCAAGCCTCCCCCATCCAAAGCTCCCCCATCCAAGGCCCCTCCGCAGCAATCACCCTCCCCATCAAAGCCTTCCCCAGTCAAGCCCCCCCCAGCTGCGCCCTCCCTCCCTTCCCCTGTTGCTCCCTCCCTTTCCCCCCCCTCTCCATCCAAGCTTCCCGCCGCCTCAACACCCAATCGCACTTCTGACACCCCTGCTAAGCTCCCTGCCAAGTCGTCTGCTTCGAGTAGCCGTTCCCCTCACAAGTCCCATGAAAAGAAGCAGTCCCCTTATAAGCAGTCCCCTTATAAGCAGTCCCCTTATAAGCAGTCCCCTTATAAGCAGTCCCCTCATAAGCAGTCCCCTTATAAGCAATCCCCGACAAAGGAGCCACCAGCAGCTGACCTCCCTCCGCCTCCTTCAGAGTCTCTTCCCAACACAACGGGTAACTCCAGCAGAAGCCCAAACACTGGGTCTAAACCCGCAAACAACCCGTCCGAACCTGCTGCTGAGCCTGGTCCCAAGTCGTTCAAGCCTGGACAAAACACGTCCGAGCCTGAACCGGGCCGTTCTGATCCCGAGCCTGGCCTTTCCAAGCCTACGAAGGGCTCCTCCGAGCCAAAAGACAGTCCATCCGAGCCTAATCCGGGTCCTTCCGAAGCAGATGGCTCGTCAGGTTCGGGGATCAAGAGGATGAAGGGGCGAGACCCTGAGCACCCGTATGAGCCTGGTGGGGGGAGCAGTGGGGGGGATGGGGAGGACAGGCAGGGGGGAAGCAGTGGGGCAAGTGGGGATGACAGCGGCAGTGGCAGCAGGAGTGGCAGCGGGAGCGGCAGCGGCAGCGGGAGCGGCAGCGGCAGTGGCAGGACTAGTGGTGGTGGTGGCAGTGGTGCCGGTGGTGGTGGCGGTGGCAGCAGCGGCAATGTGACGAAGGGAGATGTGAGACATGGGGATGTGACAAATGGGGATGTGACACATGGGGATGTGACACATGGGAATGTGACAAGTGGGAATGTGGCACATGGGAATGCGACACATGGGGAAGTGACAAATGGGAATGTGACACATGGGGGAGTGACAAACGGGAGTGTAACACATGGGGATGTGAAACATGGGAATGTGACACGTAGCGACGTGACGAGTGGAAATGTGATGGACGGCAATGTGACGGGTGGGAGGAGAGGGCCTACAGCAGCAAATCCGGTGGAGAAACAACCGGCCTCTGACACCTTGCCATCTGACTCGGCGAATCTGCCCCCTGCTTCTGTGAGTGCCATGCCCATGCGTCCTTCTCAGTCCTTCTGCGTCCTTCTCAGTCCTTCTGCGTCCTTCTCAGTCCTTCTGAGACCACTGAAAAGCCAGAGTGCCATCAGCCTTGGCTACTTACCCAGTGCTTCTGTGAGTGCCGTGCCCATGCATGCTCCTCCTCCTCCACTGTTTTCTGCTTGCTTATGTCCTAGCCAGCCTTCCATGCACATTCAGATGCACATTCAGATGCACATTCAGATGCACATGCACATGCCCATCCACATGCTCATGTCCATGCCCATGCCCATGTCCATGCCCATGCCCATCCAACCCATCCCCATCCCTCCCATCACCCATTCTCATATCTGCCACAGCAACCATTAAAGCCCAAGGTGACAGACAACCCTCTTCCCTCTGCCATGCCGTCACTGCCTGTGAGTCTTGATTTCTCTTGTTTCTCACCCCTCGGGCTCATCACATAGAACACTCACTCGTTGCCCAAGCTTGGCAGTTCTTCTGCACTTCATGTGTCTCTGACTCCTTGCACTGCTTGCGCATCACCCGTTTCTCAGCATCAGCATGCGCGTCGAAAACAGCATTGGCATGAGAATGAGCACCAGCATCAGCACGAGCCCACTCTGAGAATTATGCCCATCGTAGGCTTCAACAACCGTACCCTTCCCATCTTCCCCGTCTTCCCTATCCTCCCCATCCTCTCCCATTCCTTCTCCCCTCAACAGGTTTCGCCCCCTTCCCTGCCTCCTCTCTCACCAGCCCCTCTCCCCAAGCTGCTTCCTCCCGTCGCTACCCCCTCGTCTCCAGCCCCCTCAGCGCTTGTCATCCCTCCCCAAACACCAATGGCACCCGCATCAGTACCAACACCAGTACCAACACCAAAACCAGCAATGATACCAACACCAACACCAGCTCCCACAATAACGCCAGCATCAGCACCCCTTCCTGCCATCCCTGTGGTCCCGCCTGTGCCGTCGCCCAGCCCGCCTGTCTCTGCTCCTCCATCCTCCCCACCCCCCACACCTGCCCCACTGCCCAAAGTATCGCCCCCTCTTGTCCCGCCCGTCCCCCAACCAGTGCCTGCTAGACCTCCCATCACATCCCCCACCCCGACTCCTCATCCTACTGCCACTCCTAAGCCTACTTTCGCTCCCAATCCTATCCCTAATCCGAACCCTACTGCTCCTGATACTTCTAATGGGCCGACTCGAACACCGCTCGCTGTGCCGACCGTACCAACCGCGGTTGGCTCAAATACTCAATCTCCAATGGAGACAAATCCGACTAGTAGTGACCTTCCAACTACACCTGCCACCAGAGATGCGGGAATGCCAGGATTTGCAGCTGTGAGCAGCTCTGCACCGCCCGTCGTCCCGTTCTGGCCTCCTAGCAAAGGAACAACAAATATCGGTCAACACAGCAACGGCCTGTACACGTTTTTAGCGATTATCTTTATGTCCATCCTATTCGGTTAAGAATGTCTATGCCGGTAGATTTTTGGAACGTGTACTGGAAGGAGGAAGCCTGGCACTTCCTCTGTATTTATATAGCAACATTGGTAAAATGTATTGTAGTACTTATTAACTACTCTAGAGCGTAAAGGGTGTATTGCACAAACGAAACCAATACCATCTAATGGAGCGAGCGATATTCTCTATCGCATCATCTCAAGCAACAAACGCCTCGGACCGGACGACGAGACCCGCCTGATTCGGGAAATGCATGTCTGACACCAGCAACTCACATACAAAGCATGAGTGGTGCCGACCGAGCAGTGACAAGTAGGATGCACAGTTGCTCGTGACTACTACTATATCGAGTATCGGGCAGTGAGCTTAGGCAACAACCAGGCCAGCTTAGAAGTTTTTCGCGCATGCTTGCGGCTTTAGAACGCGCGGTGCGTCACGCCAGTCTCAGCGACCCTCGCAGGCGCGTAGCAGTCGGCCGTTGAATTGTCTCCCAATCGGCAATCCCGGTGGAGTATCTCGTCCGTCCACAACGTCGCGAGTCGCGACCTCGTCAACCCCTAGGCTCTTTTAACTCTTCAACTCCTCAGGGCCGCTTGGCTTCACGGCTCGACGGCCTCTGTCCCGGTTCAGTGCGATTCCGTGTGGTCGATTTTTGTTTTCTTGGGATTATATACATGGCGGCAACCGCGGCGCCCTTGCCGCGGTGGTTGTGTCAGAGGTGCGGCACGCGGCTCGAGGTCACAGGGCTCGACGGCCTCGCGTCCTCGCTGAGCCAATCAGCGGCGGACGCGCTGGGCGCGTCGCGATGCGGCGCGCCGCACGCCGCCGCGAATTCCGCGTCAATGTTGGATCAGTCGTTCGTCGTCCTGCCGCCCAACTCCTCCGCGTCTCACGGCGCGTCTTACGGCACATCTCACGCGCCTCGTCATGGAGCCACTACCAGCGCGATCCGACCGTCGATTAACGCTGCAATCAGTGCTCCGCCGTCGATTCCGCGTCCCCCTGTAGGCAATACTTCCTCCGCGATTCCCGGTGCTGTTCCTGCCGCGTCTGTCGCCGCAACTGCCGCCGCGTCTCCCGCTGCGGGCTCAACTAGTGCATCAAACTCGGCGTCCATCCGGGAAGAGCACCAGCTGCAGCCGCAGCTGCAGGATCAGACCCAACCGCATCCGCAGCAGGGACGATCGACGGCTGGAATTCATTCCCAGGGCCAATCTCAATCGCATGTTCATCCGCAGCAGCATCAGCCACCGCCAATCAGAGCCGCGCTTCCACCAACCTTTGGGGGACACGTGGCCGTCCAAACACACGCGACCTTCCTGTCGCCCTCGGGTCGCAGGGGTGAGTGCAGCGAGGGGCGAGTGCGGCGATCACTAGTGTTTTACATGTGTAAGAGGAATTGAGAGTCTCGCACTGTGAGTGTAAGTGAAGGTGCGAGGAAACATTGCACTTCCACTCCGTTGCGTTTCGCATCTGTTGCTCAGCAGGTAACACGCAGCACCTTTCCCTCGTTCTCTCCTTTGTTTCTCACCTACCTCACCATCGCTACTTTTCTCTCCTGCGCCCCTTACCTGCACCCCTTTCCTGCACCCCTCCCCTGCGAGCCTACCAGCGCCCCCCGCCCGCCTGGACGAGTCCTTTGTGGTGCTGCCCGGCTCCGCTGCCTCTGTCTACGCCGCCCCTGCCCTGTCCCACGCGCCGCCCTCCTCCTCGCATGCCCGCCCCTCGCCCCACACCCACCCCGTCCCCTTGCCGCCCACCATGTCCGGTGCTGCTGCTAACGCACCTGCTCCTGCTGCTCTCCCTCCTTCCTCACCTGCTGCTGCTGCTGCTGTTGCTGCCGCTGCCGCCGCCGCCGCCGCTGCTGCTGATTCTGCTCAACCCAGCCTCTCTGCGTGTTCTCCGTCTCCCTTGGCTTCGCAAGGTTTTGTTGCAGCAGCCGTAGCTGTGACTGCAGCAGCTGCTGCTGGTGATGCTGTTCCAACCCCTGTTTCGGAATGCCTGACCCACCGCGGTGAGAGCTCAGGTTCGGAGCAGGTGCAGCCTGGGAATGTGACGGTGGGAATCGGTCCAGAGGGGTCTGTTGTTGGTGAGGAGAGGGGAAGAGGAGGGGGTGAGGAAGAAGAAAGGAGAGGGAGTGCGGAGGAGGGAAGGAGAGGGAGTGTGGAGGGGGGAGGTGAAAGAGGGGATGGTATGATGGGGGGGTCGGAGAGTATCGGTGATGGAGAGGAGGAGGAGCAAAATGATGGCGAGAATGATGGTGGCGAGAGTGGTAACCAGCAAGAACAAAAACATCAGAATCATCAGCAGCAGCTTGAACAACAACAAAAACAGAAACAGCAGCAGCAGCAGCAAGTCAAAGAGAGAGGTGGTGAGCAGGGGGCAAGGGAGGCGCAGGCAGGGGCGGGGGGACTGGCGGGGCAGATAGAGGCGGTGGACCGCGTGTTTGACCTGGTGGCTCTGCGCACCAAGGTGGAGATGCCCCTCTGCTGCCACTGCGCACACCATGTCTGCCAGGAGATCGACACCCAGGTGCGGTGGGGTGCAGTGCAGTGACGTGCGGTGAGGTGTGGTGGGGTAAGGTATGGTGAGGTGCAGTGCGGTGGGATGGGGTGCAGTGTGTTGCGGTGGAATGAGGTGGGGCTGACTGGCGGGGCAGATAGAGGCGGTGGACCGTGTGTTTGACCTGGTGGCTCTGCGCACCAAGGTGGAGATGCCCCTCTGCTGCCACTGCGCACACCACGTCTGCCAAGAGATTGATGCCCAGGTGCGGTGCGGTGCAGTGCGGTGAGGTGCGGTGAGGTGCAGGGGGTGAGTTCGGGATTGATGTGCAGTTGACGATATGAAGGATAGATTGGAGCTGCTGCATCCGTGTGAATGCGTGTGTTTGTGCATGTGCGCTGTCACTTCCGACCATCCATCCATCCTTCATGTGTCCATGCATCCACCCATTCACCCATGCATGCTTGTGTTCATGCGTGCAGGTGAGGGAAGCAGAGGAGGAGATAGCAGCATACGAAGCAGCGCTGCACTCAATCCTTGCCGCCTCCCCCTCTCCCTCTCCCTCCTTCTCCTCCTCCACCTCGCACCATCCCTTCCCGCTCAACCATGCCAATCCTGCGCTGTTCGGCCCCACTGCTGGTGGGGCGCCCACCGTGGGAGAGGACGCATTCAGGCAGCACATGGCCGAGGTGAGCGGGCTATGGCCCTTCCTTTCCCTGCCACGCTTCCGAGGTGAATTTTGAGTCGACTCAGAAACCACCCCTTACCGGTCCACCGTGCTGCTGGGCCGCCCACGGGAGTGGACGCATTCAGGCAGCACATGGCGGAGGTGGGGAGTCCCTTTCTTTCCCTGTCACGCTTCAGAGGTTACTTTTCTTGTTGCCTCAGAAATCACCCCTTGCTAGTGCTGCGTTCGCCACCACCGCCACTGCTGGGGAGCCCATGGGGGAGGACGCGTTCAGGCAGCACATGGCCGAGGTGAGGAGTCAGACGCTCTTGCTTTCGCTCACATATTTCGTTTGTACATACTTTTACATCTTAGCACACTGCAGGGAACAACCCGCCTTTGTAGTGCAAGCCACACCGGCCTGGATGTTACATGCCATGCCGCCACCATCCCATCCCTTCCATCCCACCGCACGGCAACAGGTGGAGGAGGAGGAGCGGCGGCTGCAGCAGGAGGCGGAGGAGTTGGAGCAGCAGAGGGCGCAGCTGAGGGCGCAACTGGGGGAGGTGGAGGCGGAACAGGCTGAGCTGGACGCCGCTGAGGAGAGGTGCGTACGGTAGGGGGAGAGGGGGGGGGAGGGTTAGATTGAGTGTTTTTAGTCGACTCAAAACACACCTGAGGGCGCAACTGGGGGAGGTGGAAGCGGAGCAGGCAGAGCTGTACGCTGCTGAGGAGAGGTGCGGGCGGAAAGGGAAAAGGTTTAGGAAGGTGGGGGGAAAACGAGCGGGTAAGGAAGGCGGAGAAAGGGAGCAGTGGTTGCACCACCACTTTGCGCATCTATGTCCTGGCTGGCAAGTTGACTCGCACGTTTCTTACTCGCAACGCCATGCCTCCTAAGTGGGGTTCCCTTGGTTTTGCACCATTTTGCGCATCTATGTCCTGGCTGGCAAGTTGGCTCGCACATCTTAGCTGAAGCTTCTGCCTTTGCTCTCCTTCCCTGTCCATGCTTCCCCATGGCAGGTACTGGCACGAGTTCAACGAGTTTCAGTACCAAGTGTCCGTGCACCAGGTAGGGCGGTGCAGACTCCAGGTGCAGTGCACTGGGTAGGGTGGTGCAGGTGCGGTGCGCCAGGTAGGGGTCCAGGGGCGGTGCACCAGATGAGTGCTCGATAGCCCAAGTGGTCTAGCAGCTGTCAGGTGAGGTGAGGTGCGCCAGGTAGTTCCTCAGGTGAAAAACAGGTGAATTCACATGTGACTTCCACGTTGCTCACTGGCTGTGAATCAGATCCTAATATCGGCCGTCTTGTGGTGGGGGGGAGGGGGGTGGGGGGTCGGTCACGTTGCTAGCCCTTTCCTTTCCCCCACATTCCCCCTCCCCTCTTCTCCCCTCTCCTCTTCACATGGCACATCACAGGAGGCGAGAGACTGCTTGCTGGCATCCATAGAGGTAGCAGCAGCACAGTCGGACGCGTTGAGGTGCAGCTTCGGGCTGAACGATACTTTGCACATCTGGCACCGCAACTCTACTCTGTGCCTGCCTGCATCCAGTTGCGCTCCCATCCTCCCCGCCTCCGTGTGTCGTAGCCCATCACAGCAGGCGAGGGATGGTTTACTGGCATCCATTGAAGCAGCAGCAGCGCAGTCGGACGCGTTGAGGTGCAGCTTCGTGTTGAATGATACTTTCCACATCTGGCATGACGGTGACTCTATTCTCTGCCTGCATCTCGATCCCCTAACCCACCCCCCCCCCCCCTCCCCCCCCCCTTCCCCCCCCACTACCACCGCCACCCACCCTTCTGACCTGCCCCTTGCAGGAGGCGAGGGACGGTCTACTAGCGTCCATAGATGCGGCGGCAGCGCAGTCGGACGCGTTGAGGCGCAGCTTTGTGCTCAACGACGCCTTTTGACGTCTGGCATGACGGTGACTCTACATCGGCGCCAGCATCCCAATCCTCTACACCCCTCCCCCACCACCACCTCCACCCACCCTTGTGGGATGCCCCCACCCCAGGAGGCGAGGGATGGTCTTTTGGCATCCATAGAGGTAGCAGCAGCGCAGTCGGACGCGTTGAGGCGCAGCTTTGTGCTGAATGATGCCTTTCACATCTGGCATGACGGGGACTTCGGCACCATCAACTGCGCCTTGGCCGCCTCCCCTCTGTTCCCGTGAGTGTCGTGTGGTGCGGTGCGGTGCAGCACGGTGTGTTGTGGTGTTCTCAATGACGCCTTTCACGTCTGGCACGAAGGTGATTTCGGCACAATCAACAACCTGCGCCTCGGCCGCCTGCCGTCCGTGCCCGTGAGTGTGGTGTGGTGTGGTGCAGTGCGGTGTGGTGTGGTGCGGTGCGGTGCTGTGCTCTGGTGTGTTGAATAATGCCTTCCACATCTGGCACGACGGGGACTTCGGCACAATCAACAACCTGCGCCTTGGCCGCCTGCCCTCTGTGCCCGTGAGTGTCGTGCGGTGCGGTGCGGTGTGGTGTGGTGTGTTGAACTTTGCCTTTCACATCTGGCATGACGGGGACTTCAGCACCATCAACAACCGGCACCTTGGCCACCTGCCCTCCGTGCCCGTGAGTGTGCTGTGGTGCAGTGCGGTGCGGTGTGGTGCGGTGTGCTGTGCTGTGCTCAATGATGCCTTCCACATCTGGCATGACGGGGACTTCGGCACAATCAACAACCTTCGCCTTGGCCGCCTGCCCTCTGTTCCCGTGAGTGTGGTGTGGTGTGGTGCGGTGCGGTGTGGTGCGGTGCTGTGTGCTGTGGTGTGTTGAGTGTTGCCTTTCACATTTGGCATGACGGGGACTTCGGCACAATCAACAACCTGCGACTTGGCCGCCTGCCCTCTGTTCCCGTGAGTGCTGTTTCAGTGAATCTGTGAGTTTTTTCCCCCCTGCCCACCCTGCCACCTGTGTGTGCATCACTCCTCTTCACTCCGTCTCCAACCCCTCGTTCTCCCTCCACGCTCTCTCTGTTCGTCCTCGTTGCCCTTTTTCGCCCATCTGGTCCGCAGGTGGAGTGGGAGGAGCTGAACGCGGCATGGGGCCAGGCATGCCATCTGCTCTTCACACTCACTCCGTCCCCCCTCCCTGTTCTCACTCCCTCCCTTGCTCCTGTCTGCCTTTCTGCGTCCCTCACTCTCCTCCTCTCCCTGCCTGGTCCGCAGGTGGAGTGGAAGGAACTGAATGCGGCTTGGGGTCAGGCGTGCCATCTGCTCTTCACGCTCGCCCGCATTGCCAACTGCCCCATCGCGTACTGCCCTCTCCTCTCCTCTCCTCCCACACCCCACCACATGCTTCTCTCTCTGCTTGCGCGCGCCCATGGTCACGCATTGCCCATAGTTAGTTGTGGCCTGTTTGTGGTTCGCTTGTGGTCCGTCTCTGGCATTACAGAATCATCAACCGGGGACCACCTCTTCATTTCTTCACCTCCTCACCGCCTCACCTCTTCCCTGTCTGCGTCGTGTGGACCCCTCCCCCTCCTGTGCCCACATGCCGACAGACAGCCTTCGTATCATTCCCATGAAAAGCTTTTTTTAGGCGCCTTGAAAATCGCCTGTCCCGTCTCTCCATGTGCTCGTACCCCTCCATGCAGACATCGCATCATCCCCATGGGAAGCTTCCCTCGAATCTCTGACGGCCACAATCAGTTTGAGCTGTACGTGCCATGCCATACCATCCCCACACATCCCCACCCCGCTCCACCCCTGCCACTGCACTTGCCCCGCCCCTTCCCCTACCCCCGTCCCAACCTCAACATTATGCCAACTTCTCTCACATCTCCAACGGCCACAATCAGTTTGAGCTGTACGTGCCGTGCCATACCATCCATGGGTAGCACTGCTTGTGCCACAATCATGGGTAGCACTGCTACCATGTGCTTCTTTGCATCCTAGCAGACGAGGACGTTGCAGTTGTTGGATTAGCACACGCAGCATGACACGCATCCATGCACCACACCACAAGCATTAGCTCTTCTATTCTCCACTCACCGCCGTCACCCTTGCCACCCCACTTGCCCCTTTCCTCCTCCCTCCTCACCACTTCAATCCCGTGAAATTCCCCTGGGCCACATGCACGCATCGACTCTTGCATTCCCCCCTCATCCCGGCACCATCTCACCCATCACCATTGGCCAACCCACTCCAATCGTCCCTCCCTCTTCCCCCCCACCTTCTGCCTGATGAATCTATTCTGGAGCACGTGCTACGACCGAGCAATGCTGCTCTTCCTGCACGCCCTCACTGACTTCGTCCTTACATGCCTCTCGAACATAGACCGCTATGTGGATTATACTTCTGAGAATTCTCAAAAGTAAAATCCAGTGAGCCATGCTGTCCTTCCTGCACGCCCTCACTGACTTCGTCCTTACATGCCTCTCGAACATAGACCGCTATGTGGATTATACTTCTGAGAATTCTCTAAAGTAAAATCCAGTGAGCCATGCTGTCCTTCCTGCACACCCTCACTGACTTCGTCCTTACATGCCTCTCGAACATAGACCGCTATGTGGATTATACTTCTGAGAATTCTCAAAAGTAAAATCCAGTGAGCCATGCTGTCCTTCCTGCACGCCCTCACTGACTTCGTCCTTACATGCCTCTCGAACATAGACCGCTATGTGGATTATACTTCTGAGAATTCTCAAAAGTAAAATCCAGTGAGCCATGCTGTCCTTCCTGCACACCCTCACTGACTTCGTCCTTACATGCCTCTCGAACATAGACCGCTATGTGGATTATACTTCTGAGAATTCTCAAAAGTAAAATCCAGTGAGCCATGCTGTCCTTCCTGCACACCCTCACTGACTTCGTCCTTACATGCCTCTCGAACATAGACCGCTATGTGGATTATACTTCTGAGAATTCTCAAAAGTAAAATCCAGTGAGCCATGCTGTCCTTCCTGCACGCCCTCACTGACTTCGTCCTTACATGCCTCTCGAACATAGACCGCTATGTGGATTATACTTCTGAGAATTCTCAAAAGTAAAATCCAGTGAGCCATGCTGTCCTTCCTGCACGCCCTCACTGACTTCGTCCTTACATGCCTCTCGAACATAGACTGCAGCCCCCCCACCTGCTCCTTCCTCCCTTCCACCCTTTACCAGTTTCGGTCCAGTGAATCTCTTTTGGAGCACGCGCTACGACCGAGCAATGCTGCTCTTCCTGCAAGCCGTCACCGAGCTCATGCCTTTTTAGGCGCCTCTTCAACATACATCCCCACACTGCTCCACCCCTTCAAACACCTCCCCTCTCCCTTCCTCCCCCCAGCTTTGGCCCAGTGAATCTCTTTTGGAGCACGCGGTACGACCGAGCAATGCTGCTCTTCCTGCACGCCTGCACGCCCTCACCGAGTTCTGCTTTCTTAGTCGCCTCTTTAACATACATCTCCACACTGTTCCACCCCTGCAACACCCCCAACTCTCCCCTCCCTCTCTCCCCAGCTTCGGCCCGGTGAATCTGTTTTGGAGCACGCGGTACGACAGGGCAATGCTGCTCTTCCTGCAAGCCCTCACGGAGTTTGCTGCCTTTGCCAACGCGCACGACCGCGCCAACCACGTCCCGCCTGAGAAGTCCTTCCAGCTGCCCTACAAGTGAGTGACCATACAAGTGGGCTGCCCTGCAATTGAGCTGGCCTGCAGGTGACTGCCCTCAGTCAGGTGTCCTCCGAGGGTTCGCAGCCTTTGCCAACGCGCACGACGGCACCAACCACGCCCCGCGCCTGAAAAGTCCTTCCAGCTGCCCTACAAGTGAGTGGTCGGCAGGGTAGGGCCCGCACGCAAGAAATCGGCAGGTTAACTCCTGTGTCTGGATGGGGGATGCTTTCCCTGTAATCTGATACAAGCCTTGAGTTTTGATGGTTTGTTTTGGTTCATTACCATTAGCTGTTCGTTCCCATTACCATTAGCTGTTCGTTCCCATTACCATTAGCTGTTCGTTCCCATTACCATTAGCTGTTCGTTCCCATTACCATTAGCTGTTCGTTCCCTTTACCATTAGCTGTTCGTTCCCATTACCATTAGCTGTTCGTTCCCATTACCATTAGTTGCTCGTTCCCATTACCATTAGTTGTTCGTTCCCATTACCATTAGTTGTTCGTTCCCATTACCATTAGTTGTTCGTTCCCATTACCATTAGTTGTTCGTTCCCATTACCATTAGCCGTTCGTTCCCATTACCATTAGCTGTTCGTTCCCATTACCATTAGCTGTTCGTTCCCATTACCATTAGCTGTTCGTTCCCATTACCATTAGCTGTTCGTTCCCATTACCATTAGCTGTTCGTTCCCATTACCATTAGTTGCTCGTTCCCATTACCATTAGTTGTTCGTTCCCATTACCATTAGTTGTTCGTTCCCATTACCATTAGTTGCTCGTTCCCATTACCATTAGTTGTTCGTTCCCATTACCATTAGTTGTTCGTTCCCATTACCATTAGTTGTTCGTTCCCATTACCATTAGTTGTTCGTTCCCATTACCATTAGCCGTTCGTTCCCATTACCATTAGCTGTTCGTTCCCATTACCATTAGCTGTTCGTTCCCATTACCATTAGCTGTTCGTTCCCATTACCATTAGCTGTTCGTTCCCATTACCATTAGCTGTTCGTTCCCATTACCATTAGTTGTTCGTTCCCATATCCATTAGTTGTTCGTTCCCATTACCATTAACTGTTCGCTCCGATTACCCCCTCTCTCTAGTACAGCTTGTATTGGCCATGTTTTTGTGTAGCACCATCATTGTTCCCCTCCAATTCACCCCTCTCCCCCTTCGATGCAGGATCGAGGGAGACAAGATCCAAGGGCTGACAGTGAAGCAGGGTTCCAACCGGGAGGAAAGGTGGACCAAGGTACTCCCCCTCCCCTCTCCTCTCCCCCATTCCTGCTTCCCCCTCCTCCCTCCCTCCCCTCTCCATCCAGGATCGAGGGGGACAAGATTCAGGGACTCACAGTGAAGCAGAGTTTCAACCGCGAGGAGAGGTGGACCAAGGCACTCAAGTACCTGCTGTGCGACCTCAAGTGGGCGCTCGTGTGGACCATGACCAACTTCCACCCGCCGCTGCCCACCCCTCCACCTGCCATCCTCAACCTGGTCTCACACCTGGAACCCCTCAATTCACCCTTGCTTTGAAATGAGATCCGCGCCACATGCTAAGGTGGTTCTTGAGACAGGCTCCTCAAGGGGCGCTCACGTACCTGCTGTGAGGCCTCAAGTGGGCGCTCGTGTGGACCATGACCAACTTCCACCCTCCTCTCCCTACACCACCCCCTGCCATACTGAACCTAGTCGCACACCTTGATCCTGACCCCGTCAACCAAGCCTAACCTCAATAGTGGATCCCCTCTTCCCGGGTATACCAGTTGCTCCCCTGAGCTATAGAAAGTACCTGCTGTGCTGTGCGACCTCGAGTGCGCCCTCGTGTGGACCATGACCAACTTCCCCCGCGCCACCACCAGCAGCCATACAGCTTTGAGCCTCTTGCATCTTGTTGCACCACCAGCTATATTCAACCTATACATTTGGAACCTCTCAACACAGCCTGGGATTCTGCGGCTTGACAGTGGCTGTCCATGTACAGTTAATCACAGAAGTACGCATTTTCCAGCACTGAAGGTCCAGTCCACCCGCATAACTCCCTTCACTCACACCCGGTCACAGATTCCTTGGGTTTCGAGTCTAGATGCAGACCTCCATTGATCTGAATACAACGTCGATTCCAATAATGGACCCCTATTCTCAGATTATTCTGTGCTTAGATGATCCAATCATGGCATCCTTCATCACTCCACACTCATCAGCACCTGGCTAGAGAGGCTTTGGGCACTCAAATCCTTGAATCCTATGCCACACTAAGCTACAACATCCACCAAGTTAGTGTGAAGTGAAACGACCAGCCCATTGCCTCACAGCCCACGCCACCCTACATAAGCGTCCCACTGCATAATACGTGTTCCAGCCCACCCCAACCCTCAACACACCCCTCTCAACCCCCCTTCACAGCTCACAACAACCTAAACAGCCTCGGCAACAGGGACCTCCTTCTCCTTCCTTTCCTCCTGCATCACCTCGGCCTCTGTCTTGCGCCCCTTCTTCGACTTGTAGTACACACTCGCTCACGAACGCCCCACTGCAATATCCGCGTTCCATCCCATCCCCCACCCTCACCTCACAGCCCAACCCCAACCCAAACCCCAACCCCAACCCCAAACCCCGTAACCACGGCTAAACAGCCTCGGCAACAGGCACCTCCTTCTCCTTCCTTTCCTCCTGCATCACCTCGGCCTCTGTCTTGCGTCCCTTCTTCGACTTGTAGTACACGCTCATGAACGTGCCCACTGCGTGGTACTTCTCCCGACACGCAGCGTAGAGAGAGGCATCAAACATGCGCCAGAAATCACGCTCGTTGAGCTCTGTCACCGCATAGAGAGCCTGGTGGGGTTGGTGAAATAGAGGGATAGGATGTGCAGACACACACACATACGCTCATGAACGTGCCCACTGCATGGTACTTCTCCCGGCAGGCAGCGTGCGTAAAGAGAGGCGTTAAACATGCGCCTGAAATCCCTCTCCTTTGTTACCGCATAGAGAGCCTGGTGGGGAAAGAGAGGGAGGGGGGGGGAAGGGGGAGGAGAAGTTCGTTCAGCTAATTCATCACGAAGCACTTTTTTCTGATTCCCAAAAGGGTCTCTGAGTTGCCATTTGCTGCCACTAACCCACCTGGAAGGAGGCGTTTTCAAATAGCCACTTGTCCATCCTCTGCAAGCTCCCCTTCCCCATCCCTCCCACACACCTTTCTCCCTCACCCTTGAGGCGACTTCTCAAAAAATTCAGACCAACCTGGAAGGAAGCGTTTTCAATGAGTCACTTCTCCATGCGCTGTACGGCAGCCACCCCGTCAAATTCCTCTCCGCGCAGCACTGCTCCCGGTGCATAGTAGAGGCCGTGAACATCTGTGCTTTCTCTGTGTCGCCCTGCCGCCTGTGTTGGCTGCCAGCAACCCACCTGAACCAAGCCGCTGTTGCTGCCACCAAACCCCACCCACCTGGAGTGACCCACCTGGAAAGACGCGTTTTCAATGAGCCATTTCTCCATGCGCTGAACCGCCGCCACGCCATCAAACTCCTCCCCGCGCAGCACGGCGCCCGGAGCATAGTAGAGGCCGATGTCCGTGAACATCTGCGCGTTGGCCGTGTCGCCCTGCCGCCTGTGGTCCCAGAAGCCCTCCTTTTTTTGAGGCGCCTCAAAAACCTGCCGCCTGTGGTCCCAGAAGCCCTCCACCAACCATCTGATACAAGCCGCTGCTGCCAGCAAAACCAACCCACCTGAAAGAAGCCGCTGCTGCCAGCAAACCCCACCCACCCACCCACCTGGAAAGAGGCATTTTCGATAAGCCACTTTTCCATCCTCTGCACGGCTGCCACGCCGTCGAACTCCTCTCCGCGCAGCACAGCGCCCGGCGCATAGTAGAGGCCGATGTCTGTGAACATCTGCGCGTTGGCCGTGTCGCCCTGCCGTCTGTGGTCCCAGAAGCCCGGCTCAGGGTTGATCATCAGGCGCATGGGGTGCGTGAAGAGGCGGTGCGGGCACAGCCAGATGGGGTACACCTGGGGGAATGTGGATAGGGGGGACAGGGAGGAGTGGGGGGGGAAAACGGGAACACAGAGAGGGGATAAGCAGGGAGGAGGATGCGGGAGAAGGGGTGTCTCGTACGGGTCAATAAAACGCCGCACTCTTTTTTCTCCCACCGTTCTTCATTCCACCTCCACCCCTCTCTCAACTCCCCTACTCCTCCTCACCTCGAGTTGTTGCTCATTCAGTTCAAATGCGTCCGCCACACTCTGCCCGCAATCCCCTTCCGCCCTGCCCCTACCCTTTCTTCAAGGTCTTTACTTTTCCAAATTCCGCTCTACAGCCCCATCCTCCCCGCTTCTGCCCCCCCCCCCCCCCTCCCCCCCCTCCCTCCAGGTCCCCCCAATCCTCACCTCGAATTCCTGCTCGTTCAGTTCCCCAACACACTATATCCGCAACCCTCCTCCGCTCTTCCCGCTCACATTTCCCCATCTCTTCACTTTCTCAGCAAACCCCACCCCCACTACGCACCTCGAATTCCTGCTCGTTCAGTTCGAGCGCGTCAGCCACCTTGTAGAGCGGCACGAGCATGTCCTGACACACGTGCCGCTCGTGGTAGTAGTTCCGAATCGCCTCGCCCTGCGTCAGCTTTAAGAAGGACACCTTAGGAGGCATCATCCACCCCAGCAGCACCCTAAACCACCACTGGTCACCGAACGGCAAGATTAATTTCCCCTCCCAGTAAAGGCTCCGCGTGTGGCGGTGGTAGTACTGGCGCGTCGGGATGTATTCCACAAACTCGCCGCGCGTTAGCGCGTCCGTCGCGTGCTGGTAGAACCACCGCTTCCACCACCACCCGCAGTTGTTGATCACGTTCCCGGGCCGCGTCGCCTCCTCGCGCGACGCGTACCGCCCGGTCATCATGACCCCCTCGGACCGCGTGTACACCATCCCCTCCACGAAATCCGGAACCTTAGCCGGATTGTCCTGATCCCCGTCGCGCGGGCAGAACGAGTCGATATACGCCTGGGTGATTTCGCGCAGCGTGCCTCTAACGGGCGTGTACGTAACGCGCATGTACTCCTTAACGGGGATGAGGCGGATTTCCGCGGCGACGAGCAGCCCGAGCGTGCCCTGCGACCACGGGATCGCGTAGAACAGATCCGCGTGCTCGTTGTCGCGCGTCGCGCGCACCAGCGTGCCGTCCGCCAGCACGATCTCGTACGCCTCGACCGTGTCCTGCGGGGAGTTGGAAGTGGAAAAAAAGGGGGAGGGGAGATGAGAGGAGGGGAAAAGGGGGAGGGGGATTCTGAGTCAATCCACAGGGCACCAGCGTGCCGTCCGCCAGCACGATCTCGTACGCCTCGACCGTGTCCTGCGGGAGGTGAAAGCGACGCGGGGGGGGCGCGGGGGAGGGAGGGGGAGGCGGGAAGGAGAGGGAGGTGTTGGAAGGAAGAGTAGGAGAGTAGGAGAGGGTGAAAAGCATTTCGAGTCGAATCAAAAGGCACCAGTGCGGAGTGGCGGAAGGAAGAGAAGCGGGAGTGGGGGCGGGGGAAGTAAGTCAAGAAGGGCGGAGAAGGAGGGGCGGAGAGGGGTGGCACCTGGAAGAGGCCGTAGATGTGCGACGAGCCCTCGATGCCGTAGCCGTTGATCAGCCCGCCCACGGTGAGATCATCCAGTTCCGGGACCACTTCTAACGCGTATCCCAGCGGCACGGTCACGGCGCTCAGCTGCCCCATGCTGACTAACGGCTCGCAGCGCGCGATGCGGTTCACGGTATCGACGGCCAGGATCTGGCAGAACTCGTTCATGTCGACCTCGAAGCGCCGTGCGCGCTTGTAATCGGAGTTGCGCATCGACACGGACAGCCATGGCTTGCGCGACGTGCACACTAGCCCGTCGCGGCGCCGATCGCGCGATTTGAGGCGATTCACAAGCTTCTGCACGGCGTCCTGGTGCTCGCGCTCGCGCTGCGCGAAGCTCTTGCGGTTGGACCACCAGTCCCAGAAGTCCTTGTTGCACTGGAAAGCGAAGGAGACGGGCAGCACGACGAAAATGACGAGGATCCAGCGGAACTGCACCAGGAAATCCACGATGGACCATGGACGCTTCTTTCGCGTCGTCGCGGAGCTCCCCGTCAGCGGCTGCTGCAGCGACGGCGCGTCGTCCGCCATCGGGAGAGGCGGTTTAGAAAGGACCAGTCAGTCTAAATGTGATGCGAACGAGAAAATAGGGGAGAAATAGGGGGTGCGGGAGGGGTGAATGGGTGAGTGAAAATATGTAGATGAGAAATTTGAATGTGCAAATGGAGAAGAAATGCTGGTTATGGGGATTGGGAATCTGAGATACGCAAGCTTGCTGTGAGCTGAAATGACGCCCCTACCCTTCTGATTTCCAGATCTTCCCGCCTGGACATCGAAGGTCTGGTCTAGCAACCCCTGCCCTGTGAAGTGACTCATTCCAGATCTCTATCATTTTGGCAAGAGATCCTGCGTACCGTAAATGACCGTGTCAAAACGCACAAAACCTTTTTTTTTCGTCATTTATTACAAGAAGTAATCACGGCTGCAAGTGGGGGTCTGGCCTATGGGAGGGGGGGGGCAACAAAGCAATCCAGCGCTGAGGGGGTGCTGGGGGACACGGGGAAAGTACGGGGGGGGGAACTGTTGTGGGCGGGCGGGGGGTTGCGTTGCGAGCGATGCGAAGTGGGGCTGGAAATTGGGAATCTCGCCGAGACGCGCCGCCGACCGAGGATTCTGCGACAGAACGGAGGAATCGCAGATGTCGCGGAACGTCGCTGCGAATCCAGCCAATACCTGAGTTGTGCACCAAATGGCGTGGTGTGATTCGAGTTCATCCGCGTATCTGATGGAGTCTGTCAGATCATTTGTAGCCCCTGTGACCTGATCCGATAGTGCGTTTTAGCGAAGCTATCGGCTTATGTACAACTACTAGACCCAATTCAGCTCCTACACGGGGAGCAGCAATCTCTCAAACCCAATCGGTGGTATTCCACCGTGTTTGAGCTTTGCCAGTTCCCGATATAGTCTTCACGCACTGTCAGGTAACATGATCCAGCTTGTGCAGAGTACACGCGTTCACAGTACGCGCTAACCGTTGTATTTCAATCCACACCGCACCACCCCTTCCCTCCGCTCCCGCTTCCTCCTCTCCCCCTCACTCCTCCCTAGGTTCCGACTGTCTCGTACATCTGCTCTAAGCCCCTGTCTTAGCTTCCTTTTCTCCACCTTCTATCTGGCACACCTGCCTTACCCCTTTCCTTAGAACCAGGACCGCGTCGTGCAGCAGTCATGGCTGAACAGGTGAACATTCTCTTTGCAGATTTGGAAACTTTAGTACTTGCGCCTTCGCTTCGGTCTCTGGTCTTTGAGGTTTCAAGGACGGTTTTAGGTCAGAACTGCGAGGTTTACGGGATGAGCTCCCACGTCGCATCCTCTGATACCTTGATTGTTCTCGATTGTTTTTACGAGCGGCCTAGCTAGTTGATTCCCGCTAGCTTTGTATCCTCGGACCCCTCCTTTCAACGAAAAACGCGCTATTAGGGTTTGCAGATTATCGCCACGACATTGTCCACCCGATTGCTCGTCGTATCCTTTACGGAAGCGTCATAGTCGAACGCCGAGATCCCTTTAGCTTGTTGCCTGATTGGATTCGTACAAAGAGAGTGCATAGCCGACAGAGCAGATCGCTAATTCAGTCGTGTTTTCTCGTCTTTGCGCTTTCTCTGGTTTCTGCTCTTCTAAGTACAGACGGAGCGCGCTTTTCAGAAGCAGCAGGGGGTCTTCCTCTGGTACGTAGATTCTTGGACTAGGTTACACCATAGATTGGGTTGTACCATAGACTCTTTATTCCATTGTGGGGCGTGGTTACACCATGGGCTTGGTTACAACAGAGTCAGCGCATTATGGTTACTTCCATAATGGCCAAGTGTTAAGAGCGTTGCGGTTTTTGCTGGGCTGGTTATTGATTGTTGTCAGTTCATAGATAGCCAGGGAGCGTGAGTGTGTGATCAACATCAAGTCCTATAGTATTGTAACCGAGGTAACTCGGGACTTGACTCAATGTTAATGCCGGGGATGATGAAGGAGCGCGGTTTAGTGATGGGATCGACCGTTGCAAAACTGTGTTGAAGGGTTGTTATGCGAGGCTCCCCCTGCTGTCAATCGATCTGTTCACTTGTGTTCTCTATCCCCTCTGGCCATCATCCCTCTGCGTCGACTCCGCCTTTCCCCCTTCCCGATCTCCGTTCCCCGCTTCGCGCCTGTGCGTGCGACTGGCAGCGGCGACTACTCATCGAAAAAGAAGCTGAGGACCCCGGGCAAGGCGGGTAACCGTTACTACAAGAACGTGGGGCTGGGCTTCAAGACGCCCCGCGAGGCCATTGAAGGTACGCTGGCTTCCTGCGAGTAACTTGACGCAGTTTGGATGTAACTTGGATGCATTATGGCTTGCCAAAAGGGGTCGGGTGGGGTGTCTGTCTCCGTATGCACGTGCACGCGCCAGATTGTCGTCTGGATTCGGGATTCCTGCAAGGCCAGTCCGCGAGGAGCCGTGACCATCATTCCACCAGCACTCTCCACTCTCTGGCCCGTCGCGTTTCCTTGATTCTCCACCTTCATCGTCTCGCTGTTGTAGGCGTGATTTCAGATTTCCCTTTCTACCCTTTGTGCCCCCGCTCCCTCACCCTTCCCCTGCCTCCTCCTGCGCCGTTCTTCGCGCATTCCCCTCGTTACAGGCACGTACATCGACAAGAAGTGCCCCTTCACGGGCAACGTGTCGATCCGCGGGCGCATTCTGTCGGGCACGGTGCTGTCGACCAAGATGAACCGCACCATCACCATCCGCCGCGACTACCTCCACTTCGTGCGCAAGTACCAACGGTGCGTTATAACGAGTGTGTGTTATAGCGAGTGCCAGCGGTGACTTATAGCGAGTACGAACGGTTTTGTCGGGCACGGTGCTGTCGACGAAAATGAACCGCGCCATCACCATCCGCCGCGACTACCTCCACTTCGTGCACAAGTACCAACGGTGAGTTATAACGAGTACGAACGGTGACTTATAGCGAGTTTTAAAGGCGAGACGTCCGCACGTCTCATAGCGCACCCTCTAACGGTAAGTGGCAGTGAGCTCCATTTCATGTGTTCCTGACCATTTAATTACCGACCCATTCTATTCTTCCCCCATAACTCCGCTGCTCCCACCCTTTTTTCCCCTCTTCCTCCCCCCCGGGCGCGCAGGTACGAGAAGAGGCACTCAAACCTGTCGGCGCACGTGTCGCCGTGCTTCCGCGTGAAGGAGGGGGACCAGGTCATCGTGGGGCAGTGCAGGTCAGTGTGGGGGGAGGGGAGCGCAGTGCAGGTCAGTGTGGGGGAGGGGGGGGAGCGCAATGCAGGTCAGGGGGTTGGGGGAAGAGCGCAGTGCAGGTCAGTGTGGGGAGAAGAGAGCGCAGTGCAGGTCAGTGTGGGGAGAAGAGAGCGCAGTGCAGGTCGGAGAGAGGGGGGGGGGGAGTGCAGGTCAGTGGACCCACTGGGTATGGGGGGACGGAAGGGGGAGGGAGTGGGGTGTAAGACGACCAGTGTGTTGCATGGTGGAGTAAGACAGGGGGGATATGGCCTTCGCCGGGCTGTGCAGGTTAGTGGAGGGAGATGAGGTGGGGGGATGGGGAATGACACTGATGGTCTGTCAGTGTGCTGTGCTGTATGGTGGGGCAGTGCAGGTCAGTGGAAGGGGGGGGAGGGGGGCAGTGCAGGTCAGCGGATGCGGGGGGGCAGTACAGGGCATTGGAGCCACTGGGTGGGGGAGGGTGTTAGGGGGAAGCTACCCTCTTAGTCCGCCCAGTCAGTTAGTGCAGGTCTGCTGCCCTCTTTGCCAGGCAGTGCTAGTGGGTGGGAAGAGCGTAGGGAACGTTCTTGTGTGTAGGTCACTGCAGGGCGGGCAGTATTCTGCTGTAATTGTAGAGAGAGGATTGTAAAGAGAGATTAGGCTTTTATCACGCTTGGTACTACTGTTTGTCCGTCTATGTCATGGGTATGTGCAAACGATTTTAGCGTACTGTACCTTGTGTTTTTGTGAGCAGGCCGCTGTCGAAGACGGTGCGATTCAACGTGCTCAAGGTGATTCCACACGGCTCTGATGCCAAGACCAAGAAGGGATTCAGCGGCATGTAAAGCGCATTGAGGAGAGACCTCATATTGACTAGAAAGGAGCACCTTACAGTACCAAATCTGGAGGGTAGTGTATGCTGTGCTGCCCTGTGTCTTAGTTCTTCTGGCCTTTTGTATGAGTTGTTTTCAAAGGCAATGCTGAACGCTCCACTGAATACATGGGTCTACACAAAGTAGTGATTGTGCTGGAAAAGATATGCTTCAAACCGGGTTAAAAACTAAAGGGTATGGCTGCCACATTTGCTGTTGTAGAATTATGAACTGACCGTAGTATGTTGATCGTTGCCACAGGTGGGATTTATGAATCATATCAAGGTTCATGCTGCGAGTGTTTCAGATATTTCATTACGGACAATGACGTTTTGTTACAGCACTTCATGGATCACGGAGAGCCAATTTTGCGATGGTGGTAATCCACACATTACCTCCTCGCCTCGCAATTCCCTGATCGCTGGCCCCTCACCCAGTTCGCACATCCACACGCGCGCGCAAAACGTCCCCGAACAAGCGCGTCACTCCCTTCCTCCCCCTCCTTTTCCCCACAACTCCCCCGCTCGTGCAGCTGAATTACTCCGCGCCCCTCCCTCCCACCTCCACCTTCCTCTTCTTTTCTTTCTCTTGAAAGCCTTTTCTCTCTCCTTTCCCGTCTCCTTTCCACCCCTTGTAAAATTCTGGGAGGACACCCCACACAAAGTGAGTAGCTGATTCTCCGCGATTCGCGCTTGTTATAGATAGAAGCGGCATGTATGGGGTCATGCGTGTGTGACAACCCCGATTCGCGGGACCGGCATGGATTGCGCACGCGGACTGGTTTTTAGGGTTAGCTTGTCTCGCGTGGGAGATCCAACAGACTATTGCGAGAGCACATCTTTCAGTGCCCGTGCACATTTCGGGCCTGCGCGTGTTAGCCGGACAGTTAGACGAATGGTCTTTTTAGAGAGGCAGCGAGCTGAGCGGGATTGAGCGCTGAGTCCCCTTCATGCAATGCACCGCACCAGGATTCTCCTAAGAACCGCTGCCGTCAAACGTTACTTATCCTTGCTCCAGCTCCGTCGCTCTCTTGCTCCCCTCTCCTCGCTCCCTCCGTGCTCTTTGCGCCTCTGACCCCCCTTTCTGCCAATGCTCGTCCTCTGGCCCACGTCCCCCAATTTCCGCCTTCTCTCCGCCGCCTCCGTCCCGCTTTTCCGCCCTCCACGATATCTCCCTTCTCCATCCCCCCATCCCGCTCCCTCCCCTCCCGCTTCCCCCCCACTTTCGTCCGCTTCCCCTCACCCCTCCCGCTTGCTAGAGTGATGCGAAGTAGAGTTTCGAGGCGATTCTCGAGTCGATCGCAAAGTAGCGCAAGCGCAAACTAGGGCGCATCGCTTCACATTGCCCTTCTCCCCCCCGTTCCCCGTCTCCGCTCCCCTAGTTCTTCTTCCTCCCCACCTTTCCTCCCCTCGTCCCCCCCGCCCCCGCAGAAGAGTCAAGATGAGTTCGGAGTCGGTGCCCGAGTCGATCGCCAAGAAGCGCGAGCGTCAGCCGCTTTAGAATGCCCCTCTTCCCCCCCGTTTCCCCCCCCCCCCCCCCCCCCCTCAATCTCCCCCCTTCTCCCGCTCCGCAGGAGAGTCAAGATGAGTTTGGAGGCGGTGCCCGAGTCGATCGCGAAGAAGCGCGAGCGCGAGGAGAAGTGGGGCGCGGCGATCGCCAAGAAGGCGGCGGAGACCAAGGCCAAGAACAAGCTCATCCGCAAAATCATCCACCAACGCGCCGCCGCCTATGACAAGTCGTACGCGCGCAAGGTGGGAAGCGGAGAATAGTTCCGTGCCACGAGACAGTTTTCGCAACGTTCGGAAGGTGGTCGAAGGTGCACACACGCGGCTGGTCTCGCTGGCACAAAGCTCGTGTTTGAGACGCGATTAAAGACGTATCCAGCAAGAGCTGGGCTCGGAAGCATTATATAGGCGTGATGCAAGCACGGGTACCCTCGCAGGCTCGCGCAGTTTCTATAGGCGTGATGCGGCAGGGACGATATTCACTCAGTGGGTCTGATCTAGTTTGCAGCAGTTACGACTTCGACGATATGCACTGCAGCAGTGAGAGATTCTTGGAAGGGAGTCGGCAGCAGCCACCTGCCGATCAAGTTCTAAGAGACTGGAGCGCAGAGGGAGCAGCAGGGGGAGGTGATCAACGGGTGGGGTGGTGCGGCGAGGCGCTGATCACGAAAGGGGTTAAGTTGTGGGACGCAGTCTTCATGCGGCCGTGCGGCGAGGCGAGGTAGTGGGAAGCGTGGTGATGGCGACGATAGGCCAGGTGGATTAGACTGCAGTCGAATTAGGGAGCAAATGCGGAGCAGGAGGCGAATGCGTTGTTTGTAGGAAGTGAGTGCGTGCTTGGGCTGCTGAATAATAGGGCAGGCTTCTGCGTCTAGTTATGCGAGGGGCCGGCTGGAGGGGGCGGTTACGCGCAGCTGTGCGCGCGTTTGTGGGAGCTTTTGGAGGGGATTAGGGTTGTGCTTCGTCCAACCGCGACAAGATCATTGGCTTAGTGTGTGACGTTCGTTTCCGCCCGCCGTCAGCCTTTCCAAAAATGGGACGTACCGCTTCCTTGCGAATCTTCCGATGCGAAATTCGTGTTGCAAAGTTATATCTAATCGCGGATTTATTCGTGCCCTTTTTTAAGCAAGCAGCGCGTCGTCTTGAGTGTGCACGACCAACGCGGCCTCCCGCCCTCCCCCCACCCCCGTTCTTCTCCCCACCCCCACTTATCAGGAGCGCGAGCTGGTGGAGTTGAAGCGCGAGGCGAAGCTGAGCGGCGGCTTCTACGTGGAGCCCGAGCCCAAGCTGCTCTTCATCATCCGCATCCGTGGGTGAGTCTCTTGCGGTTGCTTTCGGTTGCAGGTGGTTCTGAAAACGCCCGAAGGGCTTCTACGTGGAGCCCGAGCCCAAGCTGCTCTTCATCATCCGCATTCGTGGGTCAGTCACCCCTTGACTCAAGTGTACCTCCCACCCTCCTTCCCCACACTTGCTGTGACGATATCCTATTCGCTCGCAATCCCCATCCCCCCCTTCCCTGTGTTATTCCTGCGGTGCTTACTGCTGTATTCTCTCGCGTACTTCCCCATTTCTCCGGCTGCGTTTCGTGAATCTCATTCCTCCTTGAATCATCATTCCCGCCCCTCCCCCCCCCCCCTCCTTCCCCCCCTCCCCCCTTCGCCCACTCGCCCCGCTCCCCCTGTTGTGCGTGCTGCTGATGGTGCCAGTGTGAACGACATGCACCCCAAGACGCGCAAGATTCTTCAGCTGCTGCGCCTTCGCCAGGTGAGAGCAGAACCTTCCAGGTGTCCCCCGGTTGCATCTTCGGTGCACCTAAGAAATTGGCGCGCGCACGGGTGTGCAGCTGTTGTCTCTCCAGGTGAGAGAGAATGGAAGCTTTTCCCGCTCCCCCGGTTGTAGCCTTTTACATGTTCTTTACACACCTACAAAACAATCTTGCAAGCTTCTCCCTCGCCACTCCATCTCTCCCAACCCAACCACAGCACCCCTCCCCTTCCTCCTCGGCACTGACCGAACCCCCGTTTCTTTCCCCCCCTCTCCCCACCCCCCACTCCCCCACTCCAACCCCCCTTCGCGTCCCATCCTGAATTTTCCCCTTGGCCGCCATGGCTGGCAGATCTTCAACGGAGTGTTCCTGAGGGTCACCAAGGCCACTCTGCAGATGCTGCGATTGGTGGAGCCCTACGTCACCTACGGGTGAGCTCGTTATAATCACTAACGCTTTGATACTGTCACAAGGGTGAGATTCCCTCTTGTCACCTACAAGCCCTAAGTCTCACCATTGTGACATCTCATGCTTTTCCACTCTTTACTGGCTGCACTGCTCTGTGTGCCTTTCATTGTTGTTAACCATCTGGAAAATATCCTGTGCCCCACAGCTACCCGAACCTGAAGTCGGTACGCGAGTTGATCTACAAGCGCGGGTACGGCAAGGTCAGGCACCAGCGCATCCCCCTCACTGAGAACTCCGTCGTCCAAAAAGTGAGTTCAATTCCAAGTGCCCCATCTCCTGCAATAATGTTTGAAACATCTACGGCAAGGTCAGGCACCAGCGCATCCCCCTCGCCGAGAACGCCGTCGTGCAAAAAGTAAGTCTCCTTGCGTCTGACCTGTCTTTGGATTTTTGAGACAACAAAAAAATAAGGTCAGGTACTAGCGCATCCCCTCACTGACAGTTCCGTCTTGCAAATAGTGAGTCCTCTTACAGTTGCCACTTCCTCGCTGCTGCTACTCCCTCCCTGGCCCTTGCCCTGTACGGATTCGTTATATAAGCAGTTCAACAGCCACTTGGTGTATTTCACAGGAAGCCCCTCCAACTCTTTTGGCCCCCCCCCCTGGTTCTGGGTTTGGGTTCTGCTCCTCTGGATGTGCCTGGATTGGATTCTTACCTACTCTTTTATCAATTTACGCCTTTTCTGTATCCTACATGCTGTTCCACCGAATTTTCTCAGGTGCTGGGGCAGAAGAAGATTCTGTGTGTGGAGGATTTGATTTACCAGATCTTCACGACGGGCCCGCACTTCAAGGCGTGCAACAACTTCCTGTGGCCCTTCAAGCTGTCGGCGCCCAACGGTGGCATGAAGAAGAAGCGCCTGCACTTCGTGGAGGGCGGTGATGCTGGTAACCGCGAGGACAAGATCAACGCGCTCATCCGGCGCATGAACTAAGATGAACAGAACGTTTTTGTGACATGAGCTGGTTTAGTGGATCAGATTTTCAGGCTTGTATGAAGATAGGGCTGGTGGTACGTGCTTCGCCTGCTGTTCTTCCCAGGCAATCTGCTTGTGCTTGCACTGCTGGCCTGTATGATTCTGGCAGTGTCAAAGTAATGAGAATACATTGCTCCTGTATTGTCCTCTGAACTGACAGCAAGTGAAAGTGTGTTTCATATCCGCTTGAAGACTGCATGTACACCGAATCCGCTGGGTCCCGCCATGATTTTCAGCTTTCGGCAGTCTCTATGGTGTGCTTGAACGTCGCAGACTTTCGCTGATCGCTTTTGCACGGTCGTCGCGGATTACTCGCAGAGCCGCGACTGCACTGTTCACTGCTGCTGATTTGGAGGTCGTCGAGATTCCGTTTCTGGACTCCTCGACATTTGAGGTCCACAATCTGCCATGGAACATTCTAGGCGCAGCCCTGGCACATCGCGACACGCTGCAGAACTGTTTCACGCATCGCGAAAAGAATACATGTTTCGCCAGCCACAAGGGCAGTCGTCAGCGAATGGTTGTTGCTGAAGCTAATTTGCGCGAGGAAGCCGTTTCTCTGGCGATCCTTCGCGTAACCTCGTTCCTTCCACCAAACCAACTCCTTCCCTCTCATCCCTTCCATCTGCTGCTTCCGTCCCGCCGTTTCTCCCATTCTTCATCTCGCGGAAGAAAAACAGGGTTTGCACCAAAAATTAGTCTGCATATTGTTGGAGAGCTTTCTGTTTCCCTTCTTCACGTGATTTCGCTCACGTTGTACCCTAGTAAGCTGAGGACTGAAGTGAGTTCCCGTTCAGGTGCAAGGCAAAATAGTTTTGGCTCTTCTGATCGTCCTTAGCTAATCTCCGGTTTTGCAGCAGCCTTTATTCGTCTTCTCTGCCAGAGGCGCAACCGTCCAGTCATAAATGAGTCATATCCTGCACAGCGCTTTTCTTTCCCCGATAACTCTGCAGCTATAGAACTCTTTTTATTTTGTACTTTGACAACTCCTTTATGGCAACATGCTCGTTTCCGTTCTCGCTTTTCGTGAATACGTTAGCGTTTTTCTAGTCTTTCCATTTGCTCTGCTTGTTTCGTATGATTAGAAAACAAGTTTCTCCTTAACTGGTTATTCTTCTTGTGTTTTTAACAATTTACGCGGTAATCAGCGGGAAGTTGATCGCGCCAGGGCTCAGGCCCGTGCAGCAAAGAACGGCGCGAACAAGAAGGCCGACGGTCTGACCCCGGAGCAGCGCCGTGAGAGGTAAACTTGCCACTTTGCTTGTCAAACGCTCATGTGCACAACTCTTCAATGCGTCAGACCTGGTTTTGAAAACGGGACTAACCAGGATGGTCTTCTTGGTGTTCCCCAACCCCCTTTTAGTGGCTGTATTGATAGTCTTCTTGATATTCATTTTTATATTATTTCTTTGCTGTTTCGTTCTTGCTTCCAGGGACGCCAAGGCTCTGCAAGAGAAGGCCGCGAAGAAAGCAGCTGCAGCTGGTGGTCAGTCTAAAGGAAAAGGCAGCTAGATAACTTGATGCAGGACTGCTGTACCGCACTTGGTCCTACGGAATCCTTTGTGACACACCTGACACTGTAAATCCTGTGGGCGTCTTCTCCTCGTGTATCTACGGTATTACATTGATTAATAACTGAGGCCTCACTTGGTAGATACAAACTACGAACTACTATTTCTGGAAAGCAGAAAGCGGTGGGGTAAAGATATAGGAATACTCTGAAGGATACTACTACAAGAGAGTCATCTACAAGCCATCCGCAAGAGAGTCATCTTCTCCACTCTCCTGCTGAGTGCTCTATTATTCTCTTGGCTTTCATGTCCTTCATCCACCCAAACAACCCTTCAAGGGGTCGCCATACTTTCTCCCCTTCACACAGCCCACCATCTCTCCGTTCCTCTACACCCGAGCTCACCACAAATTCCAACCCGACGTCACTTGGTGCATCACTGGTAGCAGCCATTTTCATGGCATTGCCAGAGCCAGGATCAGCAGCAGCTGCTAAGGCTGCTGGCACGCCAAACCCCTCGCGCATTCTAGCGACGTCGTTGGATAGAGTCGACGACATGGTAGCGAGGAACACTGTAGAGCGTACACAGATGAGCTTGTCAAGGAGCATGTGCAGGAGCAGGGAAGCTTCCTCACGATCTATGGAGGCTGGGAGGCTGGAAATGAGAGGCTCTGAAGTGAGGGTTGTGAGAAAGGCTGACGGGTTGTCTGGGTAGCGAATGACCTTGAAGGCGATGCCTGCTGCCTTCTGAAACTCTTCAAACTGACATCAGCCGGAGGAAGGGAGGTCCGGGGGATTGCAGAGGGATGGGAGGCAGGTGAGAGAGGAAGAGCAGTAGAGGGACAGGAAGGGCAGGTAAATCACGGAGGAAACCTGACAGCGAAGGAAGCAAGCACCAAGCTCGGTTATTGGAAACAAGTACACCAACTGACCTGCTCCAAATTGGCGTCCGAAGCAACATGTAATGAGGGTGTTTTTGAGACGTCTCAAAAACACCCTCATTACACATAGCGAAGCAAGCAAGCACCAACGTTGGTTACCGGAAACAAGTACACCAACTGACCTGCTCCACGTTGGCGTCAGAAGCAACATAAATATTCCTCAGCCCGTTGCGCTGTGCCACGTCAGCAGCGCACTTGCCAGCCTGTTGCGCGGAGTAGAAGCAGAAGCCAGAAGGCCCCGACCACACGCAGTAGTCCTTGAAGTCGCTGCGCCGCCAGTGCACCGCCAGGTAACCCCCTCCCTCCACATCCAATACACCCCCTGCTGCTGCGGGTAAAACTGCTGGGGGAATCTCCCCTGCTGCTTCCCCTGCCCCGGCTGTTATTGTACTGTTTGTGACACTGCTGCCACTGCTTGTGCTGCCACTGCTGCCGCTTTCACCACCACCCCCACTGCTACCTCCGGCACCCCTCTCCCCACCACCAAACAGGGCTTGTGCGAGCCGCATACCATCCTCAATAACCTCCTTGGGGGGCAGAATGGGCACGGGAACCGGGCAGCCCGGCAGGAAGTGGAACACGCTCCTCCACTCTCTCAGACCCCCCTTTCCTGCACTGCCAAGCCACCGCCCCCCTGCTGGCCCAAGGAAGTCCGACTCCAGAATCACCTGGCTGCTGCTGCTCGCCTGCATGCCATCGAAATTGCTTGTTGAGTTGCCCTGCCTTTCTTGTGAAGCTTCCTCGCGCTCGCGCCACCGTTTGTATCGAAACAGACGCTCCTTGAACGGCTCGTACCTGGCACAGAGTGGGAGGGGGGGGGGGGGGGGGGGGGGGGGGGCGGGAGGGGAAGATAATATGAGGGCTTTCGGTACAAGCACATGGAGACTTCAGAGGGGCTTTAAGATCAAGTGAGTGAATGCAAGGGCCTCCTCTGCGAGCACAGAGACGGTGGAGGAGACAGGGGCGCCGTCTGAACTGAAAGCATTCTGGGTGGCCTCAAGACGCACCTGTCTGAGAGGCCGACAAAGGCGGTGAACACCAGGTCCCCGACCGCGAGAACAGGCACAGAGGCGGAGAGCGGAGCACAGGCTCGCAAGATGTCGCGCACAGCGGGGGAAGCACACTGCTGACGCCTTTTGAGGCGCCTCAAGGACCAACGTACCTGTCTGAGAGGCCAAGGAAGGCGGTGAACACCAGGTCCCCAACAGCAAGCACAGGGATGGAGGCTGATAGTGGAGCATAGGCGCGGGGGATGTCTCGCACATGCGCGAAGCGGGAAAAGCACACTGCTGACGCTGTGGCATCTGGTTCGTCTCACGGAACAACTTACCTGTCAGAGAGCCCAAGAAAAGCAGTGAAGACAAGGTCCCCCACAGCAAGCACAGGGACGGTGGCTGATAGTGGAGCATAGGCGCGGAGAATGTCTCGCACATGCACGAAGCGGGGGAAGCACACTGCTGACGCCGTGGCGTTGGCGCTGATGTGCACGTCTGGGGAGAGCTGGTGGGGCAGCAGGTGCAGGCAGCTTCTGAGGCACCACAGCGAACAACGTACCTGTCAGAGAGCCCGAGAAAGGCGGTGAAGACCAGGTCCCCGACAGCGAGCACAGGGACGGAGGCGGAGAGAGGCCCATAGGTGCGGAGGATATCGCGCACATGCACGAAGCGGGGGAAGCACACTGCTGATGCTGTGGCATTGGCGCTGATGTGCACGTCTGGGGAGAGCTGGTGGGGCAGCAGGTGCAGGGGCGCCGCGGATATTTGCATGGGCGAGTTGGCGAAAGACTGGACTGTGTAGAGCGGTGGGGAGCGGTTGGGTGCTCCTTCCGTGCCTTGCAGGATCCGCTGCTGCTGCTGCTGCTGCTGCTGCTGAAGCTTTCTTCTCCTGCTGCCTCTCACCCACATCATCGCTTTTTCTCCAAACCACCCTCTCACAGCATCGGCAGTATCAGCCGCCGCCGTTCCCACTCCCACTCCCGCTCGAGACAGCTTCCTCATCCCAGACACTCCCCCAAGCCTCCTCCTCCTACCACCACCCGCCTGTGCCGTGTCATTCACCAAGCAATTCTTCAGCAGCCCAGGGTTGCCCATCGGACACGTCGCCTCCGGCCCGTGCCAGCACCGCATGTGGTGCACCTCCAGCGGGCGGCCAAACCGGGTGGCAAACTCGTCCGTGCGCAGCACAGTGTCGCCGCCCAGGCACGTGCGCGTGTGGGCGAGGTCCCAGATGAGGGGGAGCGGGATGGAGGGGCAGGGGGAGCCGGAGAGGCCGTGCTTGCAGTAGGCGAGGGAGGTGGAGAGAAGAACGGGGGGGACGAGGAGTGTGCGGTTGAGCAGAGCGGCGAGGATGAGGTGGCGGTAGAGACAGCCAATGCGGTTGTTCACCTGATGGGCACGTGAGGGGAGGGGAGCGGGGTGGGGTGGATAGGTAGGGTATGGAAATGCCGAGGGTGGAAAGGGTGGGGGTTGAGGGAGGAGGAAGAAGGGGAGGTTGGTGAGGTTTGGGGTAGAAAAGGATGGGGTGGTCGAGAGGAGGGGTGGTGGAGAGTAGGGGCGGTGGAGAGGAGGGGTGGTGGAGAGGAGGGGTGGTGGAGAGGAGGGGTGGTGGAGAGGAGGGGCAGAGACCAGTGGAATGAGGCAGGCAGTGCGGTTGCTGACCTAAGTGGCTCGGAAGAGACGTGGGCAGGTGGGGGCAATGGGGTGAGGGGAGGAGCAGGGAGAAAAGGAAGGCAAGTGCGTGTGGGCGTGTCACGCGAATGGATGCGTTTCACTGCAGAAGCAGGTAGCTGTTTTCAATGACCCCCCACCTCCCGCGTCTCACCTGACCTCGCAAGCACACGGCAAGCAGGAACCTGTCAGGCTGTGGCGTCCACACCAGCTTGCCATGCCACATCTGATTCCCGCCACACGCTCAACAGCTCCCTGTCCCCCTCAGGCCCCAGCAAAACCTTTTCAAAGCAACCGCCCTCCCTCCCGCGTCTCACCTGACCTCGCAAGCACACGGCAAGCAGGAACCTGTCAGGCTGTGGCGTCCACACCAGCTTGCCATGCCACATCTGATTCCCGCCACACGCTCAACAGCTCCCTGTCCCCCTCAGGCCCCAGCAAAACCTTTTCAAAGCAACCGCCCTCCCTCTCGCGTCTCACCTGGCCTCGCAAGCACACAGCGAGCAGGAACCTGTCGGGCTGTGGCGTCCACACCAGCTTGCCATGCCACATCCCTCCCTCACCACCGCTCAGCGACCCCCTGTCATCCTCAGATTCCACTGAGCCTTCCCCTCCCGACGCGTGCGCATCTGCTACTACTGTATCCGGACCGTGATGGTTCGGGTCGGAATCAGGATCGGAATCCGGGTCGGCGTGAGGTTCGGGGTCTGCTGCATTGTGCTTGTGACTGGCAGTGGAAGGCGAGCCTGATGCCTGCACCCAGGGAGAGACATTCTGGGTCTGACCTGGCAGCAGCTCATTGGTGGATCCGATGGATAAGTCGGCATCCGAGGAGAGAAGCGAGTCGGGTTGCAGGAAGAGAGCGTATAGGACGACGAGGAGGAAGATGAGAAAGAGGAGGAGGAGGACAGTGGGAGACCGGAAGACCCTTGAAGTTGGGGATTGACTTGAGAAAGGCCAGCTTGAAAGCTTGAGATTGTGGGAGAAATAGGTGGAATCGGTAAACGGGCTTCCATGTTTCAAAAGCAAGCTATCAGAGACTCTAAGGGAGGAAATATTCTCCTCCTCCTCTTCCTGCTCCTGCTGGTGATGCTGCTGCTGTTTCAGCGGCGACACATGATGTTGCGTCGCCGATGTTGTTCTTTCGCATAAGTCCGGTCCGTTCGTGGAATGTAGGTCCGGTAGTGCGACGCCATTGGCTGCGGCTGTTGATGAGTCAGCAGGAGCACCGGCAGAATCTCTATCAAAGTCTCTCCGTACATGCTTTCTGGAATCCATGAACTCAATCTTGCCAGATTGATTCCGAAAAGGACGACGTGACTGTTGTGTCTTACGAAGAAGATTTTTGACAGCTCAGTAACGCAGCCATGCACAATCTGTGTCCTGTCAGCTGGGTAGCGGTAAGCCCGACGAGTCTTTTGAGTGGACTCACAACCTCATGAACAGCGCTTCTTTTCAGCTGAGTCGGCATGAGCCCAGCACAATGGGTATCTTATCAGCTGGGTACAGACACCCCCGAAAGGACTTTGCGTGGACTCGAGAATCCATGGATTTGCTTTCTCGTGAGGTATTACCGACAGCACGCCGAGCCTAAGAAGCAACTGACGCTAACCGTGATGGGGTCATGGATTGTAATTTGGCTTGAAAAGCGACATTTTGTGATGGAGCACTAAAAGCGGAACTCACGAGTAGGCGTGTCTCCAATAAGCAATAAACGATAAGCAGTTGGCTGGCAAGAATCTTCAGTTGGTGGTTGGGACTGGTCAGGGATTCCTGAATGTAAGAGGGAGAGCATTCAGGAAGGGAGACTAGTGAATGGTAGACCGAGGAGGAATAGGAGGATTTGGTTGGAAATGCCAGTTGTGGAAGACTCATCTCCCAACATCCCCGCAACCTGATTCTTGATTCCTCTGCAACCTTGGGAATGGCTTCCGCGACTTGTGCGACAGTGCGACTTCTCGCGATGCTGTGTCAGCTGCTATTCGGCAGATGTCGGCTGGAAGAGATGATTGGTGGTTGCATGGTTGGCTGGCGTACGCAGGTCACGCGCTACCATGCCTTTGAACTTCGCTGTTAGCAATATGTACACCTAGGTGTCGTCTTGAAACATACAGAAAGTTGGAACCACTATGGAAGACAGCAGGCAGCACACATAAATTACAGTTTCTTGCAGAGATTACCACTCTCCCTTATCATTTGACAAAATCCTCAGAGCCTTCAATTCTTGGAGCTTCTTGGGCAAGCCATCCATGGGATGCCACTCTTTCTGCCCCTCACACAGAGCACCGTCCCTCCCCTCCTCCACTCCAGTACTCTCTCCAAAATCAACCCCCTTTCTCACCTCCGCACTCTCCCCCACTGCTTCCTCCTCCGCTCCAACAGCAGCAGCTGCAGCCATTGCAGCAGGAATGCCAAGCCCCTCCCGTATCCGAGCAACATCATTTGAGAGTGTAGACGACGGTGTAGCTAAAAACACTGTGGAGTAAACACATATAACCTTATCTAATATGGTGTACAGCAGACTCGCTGCATCCTTGAGGAAAGCCCCTTGCCTAAGCCCCAAAAGAGGGTCTTGATATGGGTCCGGCAATAAAGGGGATGGGGAAGAGGGGAGTCTCGCCACTGTGAACTCTGGACCCAATGTCTCTCTAAACTCTTGGAACTGTAGCCAATCAAAAGACGGAGAGGAACAGGGGGAGGGAGGAAAGGAATGTGAGTGAAACGAGGTGAGAGAGAATAAGGGCGGCACACACAGAGCAAGGGAGATCAGTGAAAGCCATTATTACTACCTTGGGACAGAACAGCAAGACAACAGACCAGCACCCATCTCCCTCACCTCCTTGTCATCAGCATCCGTCGCCACATAGACGTTCACGAGCCCGTTGCGGCGCGCCACGTCAGCAGCGCACTGCGCGGCCTGCACGGGCGAGTAGAAGCAGAAGCCGGGCGGCCCGGAGCGAGCGCAGAACTGCAGGAAGTCACCCCGCCGCCAGTGCACCGCCAGGAACGCTGGCAGATCCGTCGGCACAGGCAGGTCAGCATCAGTCAACGCTCCAGATTCCCCTGCTTTCACCTCCCTAGCTCCAACCTCTGCTGCTGAGCTGTAACTACCAGGGAGGGGTGTCCCGGATTCTAAAGAATCGGCCATACTGGATGCCCCACCAGCATCCACGGTTTCAGCACCAAAGAGGGACCGGATGATGGCTTGAGCTCGCTGGAAGACCGCGGGGGGCGGGACGATGGCCGCTGTGTTACGGCACCCGGGCAGGAACTGAAAGATGCTTAACCAATCCCGGAGCCCGCCGCTGCCCGAACTCCCCAGCCACCGGCCGCCGGGCGGGCGGACAAAGTCCTTATCGAGCCAAAGATTCCGCCCTCCGGAATATCTACCCCCCAGGTCAGATGACGGATCAGATAATCCATCTTTGCCTTGGCCCACAGATGAGCCTTGCATTTGAAACCCCTTCTCGTCTACTTGTCCCTCCCTCCCACCCACCCCCCTGCCCTCCGCTTTCCCCGCCCCGCCCTTCTTCCTCCACTCGCTCTCCTCCCACCTCCGTGCTTTCTCCTGCAGCAGCGCGTATCGGTGCGGCAGGCCCAGCACAGCAGTCCCCACCAGATCCCCCACAGCCAGCACGCGCACGGACTCCCCTAGAGGGCCGTACGCACGGAGCACGTCAGAGACATGCACGAAGCGCGGCAGGCAGAGCGCAGACGCGGTGGCGGTGGGCGGGATGGACACGGCGCCTGGCTGGTGCAGCATGATCATGCGGATCGGGTCGATGGCCGTGGGGTGGATGGGCAGCGCGGAGGAGGAGGCGGCGGAGGAGGTGGAGGAAGAAGAAGAGGAGAGCTTGAGCGTTCTCCCTGTCAGCTGCAGCAGGTGTTCTCCCACATTTGTGGGTGCAGGCGACAGGGAGCGCGAGGATAAACCCTCGGTGGATTGTGTGGACTCATCAGCAGCAAGCACACCACTGTGCGACTGAGCGTTCTCCCTGTCAGCGGCAGGCATAGCACTGTGAGGCTGCAGAGACGACCCGTTGAGCAGCATGGCATGCACCACATCGCTCGCCACTCTCTGCCCGCCAAACTTCTTCCGCAGATTCTCTGCAACGTAACTCAGCGCAGTGCCCACCAGGCAGTTCTTCTTTACTATCGAGTAAGTCGGGCGGCACAAGCCCTCCGGCCCGTGCCAGCACCGCATGTGGTTGACCTCCACCGGGCGGCCAAACCGGGCGGCGAATTCGTCCGATCTGATCACGGACGCGGCGCCAAGACAGCGCCGTGTGTGGTTGAGGTCCCAGAAGAGGGGCAGCGGGTAGGAGGGGCATACGCGGCCGGAGGCACCGCGCTGGCAGAGGAGGGGCGTGAGGGAGGGGAGGCGCGCCGGGACGAGGAGTGTGCGGTTGAGGAGAGCTGCGAGGATGAGATGGCGGTAGAGACAGCCAATGCGGTTGTTCACCTGATGGGGCATAAGGTGAAAGGCGAGGAGAGTGGGGTGGACAGGCAGGGAACATAGAGGGTGCGGTGAGCAGGGCGAAACAGATGAGGTGGCGGTAGAGACAGCCAATGTGGTTGTTCACCTGATGGGGGGGAAGGCAGAAGAGGAGCGGGAAACAGGAGAAAAATGGAGGGAAAAAGGGACCATAAGGGTGCGGTTGAGGAGGGTGGAGAGGATGCCGTAGAGACAGCCAATGCGGTTGTTCAGCTGGCGGAAACCAGTGGGGAGAGGAGAGGAGTTGACCGATTTTTGAAATTTCTCAAAAATCGCTCATGAGGGGGGAGAGGAGAGGAGTTGGGCGGACAGCTGGGATGTGATGGGCAGAGAAGAGTGGAGGGTGAGCAGAGCCAAAAGGATGACGTGGCGGTAGAGGCAGCCAAAGCGGTTGAATGCGGTGGTTCACCTGCCCGCGCACGCACACTGCCAGCAGGTAGCGATCCGGGTGTGGGTGCCACGTCAGCTTTGAGGGCGCGAACGGAGTAGAGGAGGAGGAAAAGGAAGAGAAAACAGGAGCCTGGACGTGGGGGGACGGGAGGTCGGTGGAAATTAGAGGAGTAGCGGAATCGTCATGATCGAAGTGGGCTGTCGAATCAGGAACGTGCTGGCCGTTAGGCTGCTGCTGCTGCTGCTCCTCTTGCTGCTTCTGCTCTTCCTGCTCCTCTTGCTGCTCCTGCTCCTCCTGTTCCTGCTCCTGCTCCTCCTCCTCCTGCTGCTGCTGCACCACATCATCCACCCCTTCGTCTGCTCCACTTGTCCCTATTCGGATCCCCTCTGTGTCTCCCCCAAAGCTGGTTTCAATATGTCCATCCACACCGTCCCTCCATGCTGACGTGTCTGGACCCTCTTTCCCTAACTCCGCCTTCAGCAACCGAATGATGGACGACGGATGCTCAGTAAACCCGTCCAGACCGGATTTTATGGCGGTTCTTGCGGTTGTTGGAGCGGGAAGCGGGAGATTTAGATTATGAGGCGTTTCGGCAGGGGGATGAGGGAGGGGAGAGGCGAGTCGGCTTGAGACGCGAACTTGAGACGCGGTGGGGGAATGGAGGAGGTGGAAGTGGTGGGAGAGGATGAGGAGCGAGGAGGGGAGCAGGAAAAGCAAGAGGGCGGCGAGCAGCCATCGGCGAGGCGAGCGCCGCGCGACGGACTGGGTTGGAACACCAGTGCTGCTGCGAGGGGCCATCAGACTGATAGACGACAGCTACGGCTTTTAGATCTGGGAAGTCTCAAGGTACGGGCTGGGTGGGAACACAGCTGCTGCGAAGGGCCATTGCGCAGAGAGACGACGATTGTTGTGGCCTTTAATTTGGGAAGTCTCAGAGGACGGGTGGACTGGGAACAGTGCTGCGAGGGACCGTCACGCCGCATTTAGGAGATATATTAGGAGCCTGAATGTTCAGGAGTACCGTCTACCTGAGGCCATTTATGGGAAGTCGTTCCTGCTAAGCGACTGACTCCCATTAATGGCAAGCAGTTATTGCTAAGTGATAGACTTCCATCAGTGGAACTGATTCCAACTTTTAGTCGACTGCTGGAGTCAATCGGCTGATCGGGCTGGTACAAGTCAGCCTGGATAAGACAGGGGGCTGGTCCACAGACTGGAAACGCACGAACGATTGTTGTGTGAATCGTATCAGCAGCACGAATCTGCGAGTCGACGGGTGCGCGGGACGGAGCACTGCGAAGCCTTGTGGATTTCAAGTAAACTAAAAACGCAGCGCTAAGAAAGTATGTTGGGAAGAAACTGGTTGAAGCCAGTGCCGAGCCGGTTCGGGTGCTGCTGAGCTGCAATACAAAGCAAGGTGTTGTGAATTTTGCTGGTGAAACTGAGGCCTGGTCAGACAATACACCAGAACCGACCTGTGAAGCGTCATGGCTGGATGGGATGTGCACATCCGCGATACTGGCTCGAACTGAACAGACTCCTCTGCTCAGAACATAGCTGCAAGTTGGATGTAGTGAATCATTGCAAATAATAAAATGAGAGGACGTAACAGATTGTCTGTTGTGCTAGAGATCAAACTCCAAAATCGCCCGTGAATGTTCTTCAGCTGAGAAAGAACCCAGGCCGGTAGGCTGTGAGGCAGTGCGCCTGACAAAGTGATCCATCTTCGCGTCTTTGAGCCTGAATTGAAACGCACTAGCCTGTTGGCCTGGTAGAGATCTGCAGAACAAAACAGCACAGGTTAATATCAGCTCAGTGCACAACCAAGTTCATGATACGAACATTAACCTACACAATAGAAGCCGGTACGGTACGGTATACACCCTTACCGTGGTCGCTTCGAGCCTCCCAACCGGCGTCCCATCCTCCCTCTCGGCTTGTTCTCCGCTGGAGTGTGCCTGAAGCTGGCCAGTTTTGCAGCCACCTTGCCCATCGCATCCTTCCCCACCGCTGAGTACCGTAACACGTGCGAAACATCGGTAGCAAACGACAGTCCACTCATGCTGCTACTCCTGCTCCTCATGTGCACATCCTCCGCAGCATCATCCCCAACATCACCCGACCTGTTTCTATCTACACCACCACCACCACAACGCTCCCCTTCTCCATCCCCATTGCCTCCATCACCACCCTCAGGGCCCTCAGCATGCCCCGCATCCTCAGCATCACGATCTTCACAAGCCTCAGCAGCATTCCCTCTGAAAAACGCGCTCCCTCGCACCAAATTCCTCTTGCGATCGCCCCCTCGCACTGCGCCTGTAACTCCACCCAACCCCCTCCCCCTGTCACCTCCTGCTGCTCGCCTCACCCCTGCAGCACCAGCATTCAAACCCCTACCAGGAGGCACACCAGCAACCGGCATCCTATACACAAGACCCTGCCGTCCAGGTTCATTGAATCCTGCCCTTCCAAGCCCTGGATCCTCCTCCATAACCTCTGCCTGCACTGCAGAACCAGCCCTTCCATGTCGAGCTAACCTATCTAAACCGCCACCAGCCCCATTGAACCCATCACGCCCATTTTCGTCTCCACATTCCCTCTCACCCCTCCCATCTGCCTGCTCTACTGCATCTGCAACATCAGCACCTGATGGATCTGCTCCATCCGCCGCACCAGAGCCCCGGTCTGGCCAGAACGACCCCTCTTCCACTTGTGCTGGACCAGCAGCAGCAGCACTGTCAGCAGAAGCAGCAGTATCAGCAACAGCAGCAGCAGCAGCAGGAGCAGCAGCGGTGGTGGCTGGAGTGGTGGCAGCAGGGGTGGCAAAACCACCATCAGCAGCTGCACCAGGCATGCGGCTGCAGTAAACGTGTGAAGCAAACGGATTCCCAGCAGCAGCTGAGGCTGGGGAAGCTAGAGTTGTGGGAGTGAATAAACCCGTGGTGGTGCGACGAGGATGAAGAGGAGGAAGAGGAGAAGGAGTAGGGCGGCGACGTAGAGAGGCAGCAGCACTGCAGTGAGAGGGAGGCAGCAGAGGAGAATGCGCAAAAGGGACAGAGCTTCTGGCGGGCCTGAAAAAGGGACTCTCCTCCTCCCCTTCCTTCTCCTGCTGCTGGTCCTCCTCCTCCTCCTCTGCTGCCTCCGCCTCTCCTTGCATTTCTCTCACAGAAAAGGGTCTGGCAGGGCCGAAGGGGCTCATGGATGGAAGGACGTGGGGGAGGAGGGGGTCACTGGTATGGCCCACAGACCATGGGTCCGCGAATGGGTCGATGTCGACAGAGTGCATGGCGTGCGCTTGCACGTGCGAGAGAGTGTGCGTTGTGCGGATGGTGTGTGTTGCTGTGACCGAGAAGAAACCGGCGTCGCCTGCAGATGCACCTGCCATGCAGAGAAATGACGACTGAGAGTTTGGACAAGAAGCACTTGCATAAACTGCCTCTAACCAGATGCCATAGAAACAATAACATTGCAGTGAATACGACGCAATATATACGTACCGTCGTCAAAGCAGGGGCGCTTGGCGGGTGGAGTTAGCAAAAACTCGGAGCCCTGTGGTCACCCATCGCATGCCCAAACGCGGCCAAAGGTAGTGACAGCCAGCCAACGAATGATCCACCGTGGAGGAGAGGAGAGCAGAGCAGAGCCGATCCAGCATCACACCACGGCGTTTCCGTGGAAATAGCAGACGCGGAATAACAGCGAGTTCATGAGCACGAGAAGACACACAGCACACACAACACATCTTGGTAAGAGGGACGGTGGAATATAGAACAAGGCTCGTGGAAAAGTGCTAGTAAAAAACCAAACATGGCCACGCGAGCCAAGGACCCAAGCTGTGGCGCATAGGAAGCACTGTAGTGGCTTCGAAACAGATACTGACAGCCTGAGCAGCTGAGAACCTGGAACTGAAACAGGCTGGGACTTACCCTAGTGACCTGAAGGGCTTGACGGAAGTCTGCAGGGGAAAACGGGAGGGAAAGAGGCCAGTGCCTCGCATCTGCACGTCTGTGCTCTGCTGAACGGAAGCTGGACCGAATCTAGTGCTGTGGGAGCTTCACCTCCCAGCGAAGTGACCAAACCAGCACAGCATGTGAAGGAAGGGATGCACTTCTAAAGCGAGGCTGACCGGGCCGCGATTCAAGGACAAAAGATTCTCAACTTCCAGCCATTCGAGTTGACTAACAGCACAAGTTACTATGCAGGTCACTCGGGGGCGATGATGGGTGACTAATCGTCAAGAAAACAGCCGGAGAAACAGGAGAGAAGGGAAGGAACGAGGGACTCACCACGGAAATGGAGCAGGACATCAGCTGCCGCACCATCACATGCGAACTTCGAGACGTCTCAAAGGAGAAAAGGGAACAGAAGGAAGGAAGGACTCACCACGCAAGTCGAGCAGGACATCTCCTGCCGCACCACTACATGCGCCGCTCCCATTCTTCCCCGAACTCCCCGCCCTTGCACCCCTCGCCCGCTCCCCAGCATCCGCTTCGGGGAGTCAAAAATCGCCTCTGCCTGCTGCCTGCTGCTGCCGGCCCCACCCACTCCCACTCCTACTACCCGCCCTCCTCCGATCCCCACCCCTCCTCCTCTTCCGCGTGCTCTTCCTCCCGTTGCTGCCCCTCGCATGCCCATCCATCCGCCTGCCCGCCACCCTCCTGGCCTCCGTCCTACTTGCCTTACTTCGTGACTGCCCGGCACGTCACTCACGAGGTCAAATGCAGGCGGCAGCAGCAGCTCATCCAAATCAGCGTCTAGATCAGCAGCGCCCAAGTCCCGCTCCCCGTCCAAATCCCGGCCTCTTCTCAACACAACCTCCGATCGTTCACCTCCGTCCCCTGCTTCCGCCTCCTCCCCTTCGGCTTGGGTCCTTTCATTACCCCGGAACACAAACTGGTCCCACTCAGTCGGCGTGTTCTCCTGCCTGTCGCCTGTAGCACGTGCTGCTGCTCGTCCGTACGGTTGCCGACGCTGCAATGGTGGTTCGGGAGTGGTCCCAGCTTCGGCAATGGAGCGGGGCGGAGTGAATCGCTGGAACACACGGGCAACAGCGGCTCTCGGCCCAGATGCCATTCGTTGCTGCTGCTGCTGCTGCGGCTGCTGCTGCTGCCTCTCCTCCTCAAGAACTGTCCCTGCCATAAACTGCACCAAGTCTTCCCCCAGCATGGGCTCTCCACTGCCGTTCTCTGCTCCCGCCAAGCATTCACCCTCTGTGGGCCCTGCACAACCCTTCCCCACTGCTGACGTCCTCACAGACCGCCCGCCCCTTCCACTGCTGCTGTTTCCACGTGGCTGATTTGCCGAGCCAGCAGGGCCAGGCTCGGCGGCAGCTTCGGGACGAGATGGCTCAAAGGCTGACTGGGCCGGGGGCGTTACAGGGGAGCTTCGCGGTGGCTGGAACGGCTTCTTGGCAGCCGGAGCCGTGGGGACTGGAAGAGAGGGGTTGTTGAGACGGGGTGAGGGGAGGAGAAGGCAAGAGGCGTCAGTGAGGAATCTGTGCAGTGTTTCTTTTTGGGCGGCTGAAAAGCAGACGTTACAGGCGAGCCTCGTGCCAGGTGGAACTGCCGACTTGGCAGCAGGAGCCACGAGGACAGGAGGGGACGGATTGTTGAGATGTGGATGGTGAGGAAAGGGGACAGTCTATTGTGCATAAAACCGGTAACTGCATGCACCCAAAGCACTCACCAGACAAAAACACTCACCAGACCCAGTACTCATCAGACCAGACCAGAGCACTCACGAAAGTATTTAGACAGCTTGTTCTTCTGCACTGGCAGCTGCAACGGCGATCTCCCAGGCCCACCACTGCCAGGCCTCCCGTTGCTAACCGTGCCTTGTCCCCCCCTGGCTGCTGCTGCAGCTGCTGCTACTGCAGCCGCTCCTGCCGCTGCTGCAAACGCTGCTGCGCCTGGCTGGGTGCGTTGCCTCAGTCGAGGTGACCGGGCTGGCGGCAGTGGCTTGGGTATGGGTTCCGCATCAAATGGCTCGTATGTGATGGGGTCCACGTAGCCGAGAGCAATTGCACGGACGAGGCTCGGTGTGAGCTCAGTGGAGATCGTTAAAGCGGAAGGAAAGTGAAGTGGAAGGTGGGGGAAGAAGGGAGGGACGAGTAGAGGAAGCAATAGGGAGAAGAGGGGAAGAAAAGGAAGCACGGGAGAGAGTGAAAGTAGACAGTCAAGGAGAACCTATCACATGAAAACCGAGCACATTGGAAAGCTGGAAAAGGAAAAAGGAACAAAACGGAAGAATATGTGCCTTTGAGCATGTGTTGGGGCAAAACAGGGCAAGAAAGGGAGTAAGTGAGGACATGCAGAGAGCAAGCTCGTTGAGGAGGATATGGCCCAAGAAACGACAGATCCGTGTCCGGTCCAAGCGAGGCCGGCAGCGGGTTGACATGAGTCATGTGCTCATTGGCCACATGGTACACGCGGTGGTGCAGGAACGTCAGCAGCGCCTGCGCAAACGCCGCCTCATACTCCTCCGGCACCACCCTCCCATTCAGCTTCGCTACAGCCAGCGCAGACCGATAATCCCGGTGCCTTCTGATCCAATCATGAGCGGTTTTGAGGCCGACTTTCGGCAGGCTGTCAAGGTAATCGCAGCCACTGAGGATGCACATCTCAAGGACCATCTGGGGTGTGAAATCCGCCAGAGCGAGCTCTTGGGATTGGACGATGTTGGCGTAGACGATCTCGTCGCCGTGGCCCATGGGGTCCATCTTGAAGAAGACGCGTGGGCAGGAGTAGGCGATGAGATCGGAGTCCTCTGTGATGACTGCGTGCACGAGGCCGCTGCTGCAGAGAAAAGCCATCTGTGCATCGGCTTCGTAGGGTGCCACCACGTACTCCACATGCTCCTGCCTCAGCACCTGAGAATGGGGTGTGAAGAAAATGCATGACATTCTGCAAATGCAAACGATGTAGCCAATACTCATTCAAGACAATGAGCAGGTAGAGAGTTTAGGAAATACATGGTGAAAGAATCAGGAATTTGTGAAGGACATTCGATATCAATCCCAGCTCAATAATCTGGTGATAGCCGAACCTTGATTAGCTGGTGCGCAATGGCAGGTGTGATGTCAACAGCCTTCTGAAAGCACTCCCTTGCTTCGTTACGTTTACCCTTCAGCAGCAGCTGCTCTGCTCGTTCAAGGTTCTCCCTCCTTGATCTGCCGGGTACAGACGAGACGATACACAGAAGAGCAAAAACTAGATAAACAGGAAATCCACAGGGACCGGGAATTGTCGTTTGTGATACAGAGGGGATTGAGGACAAAATATGAAATCCACGCAAATGCTGAAATAAACAGAACCATGTTTTGACGTGAATCCAGTCAGAGGGGAAAATAGCATACTTCTCTCGTTTAGATTCCTGCTGGGATTTCGAGGGAAGCTTTCCGCCGTCGAAGACCAACACGGGAATGACGCCATTGTCTCTCAGGAGTTTGACCTTGTTCATGCAGTATTGAATGTGCCTGGCGGAAACACAAACGGCGGGAGACGAGGGAACGATTACGACAACGATGTTGGAAGAAAGCGTTTTGTACAGGACACGTCTAAGATAAGGACTAACTCGAGGAGAAATGAATGGCCAGAGAGGGCGGCTAGATTGCTTTCAGTGTGACTGGACCCTCAAGCAACGGCGTCGCTGTCATTGGACTCTCAAATCACGAAACCCAATTCGTGTCCTGATAACTCAACCAAATCTTTATGCTTGGCAGTCCCTGATCCTTGTTAATGAAGTAAGGAACGTGTATCTCATCAAGCGAGGTGTCGGTAAGAATGCGATCTCTGAAAGGACGATTCGAGACAATGCTGGCCAATCACACGAAACCAGCGAACTCGGCATTTTATAGTAAACAGGATCTCCTTCGAATACCCTCGGGGTTCTAAACATCTAGGAGGCTAGAACCGGCTTACGACAAATCAACCTCAATGCGCTGCGGACCTGCAAGATAATAACTTTCAGAAAATTGCGATCTTTACTAAAATCCTGGCATTGCCTACCTCGTACACGGCGTGCCTTGACAAAGCTCCTGACTGCAAGAATATGAAGCGCGATGAAGCCAGGAATACGTGTCAATGGCTACCCTGCGTCCTGCATATTCTCGTATGTGCGTGCGTCTCGTAACCGACTTTAGCAACGGAAGCAGGCCACTGATACCCATGGCTGTTCCGAAGGAAGACCTGGTGGCAGGGCAACTACTATGATGCAGTTGCAACTGGCAGACAAGAAAAACTTGCCTTGCCAGTTGACAGCAGCACCAACATTGCCTGGTGATGGACCAGATCAGGTGGAGGGAACAAGCAAGAAGCGTCACCTCAACGACAAAATTCGACCATTCAAACTTCGTGCAAAAAACATTGTCGTAAAACTTATTATATGATTCTCATTGCGTCGGTGTAGTTTAGTGGTTAGAATCCCACGTTGTGGCCGTGGAGACCTGGGCTCGAATCCCAGCACCGACACTTTTGTGTTCGCAAGTTCATAGTTCCCTTCACGCGTTAGAGCGTGTCATGCTACGATGTTCTAAGGGCGGGTCATGCTTTTTCGTTCTGGGCTCGTTCGACGTGGTTGAATACGGTAGACTACGTTTGGGCACGGTTTTGGTAGTTCACCGCATCAGACCATTGCGCACCAGGATGAACCATTCTAAACAAACCTGGAACGTAGTATGACCCGCCCTGAAGTGGTTTGCACTCTACAAAGACAGATGCCTAGTGCAAACCCCTCATTTTCCCTCAGAGGTCTACCCTACTCTGATTCACTCTTTGCCACTTCCTGGCGGATGCCAGACCATAGGAGGTGTAACAGAGAAAATAATATATACACCTATTATGACAGGCACACATGAGTCCACAACAAGCATTTCAGCAAGCACTCCAGTAATGAGAGTGCGAAGTATAGAACAAACAAGCTCCGAGGAAGTGCCTACTTCCTCAAAACTGCCAGTCCTGAACATCCTGAAGCTCCAGGCAGAGCTCACTATCCACAATAGGGCTGCTGGAAGCAGCCAAAAAAACAGACAACGCGCTCACATCGTGCCAAATATCATCAGTGCTGCTGTCCTCAAGAACCTGCGCACTTGGCTTGTCAACAAGCCCACCCGACACCGAATCTCCAATGCTGGAAATCATGAAATCTGCACTGCCTGCGTCGGAGACAGGATTTGAACCCTGCTCCTCTCCTGCAGGCGTATCAGTTACAGCCTTGTTGGTACCCGCGGGGGTAGATTCATCCCCATTCTGCTCTTTTTTAGGCTCGTGTGCCTGTACAGGGGTCTCATGCAGAGGAGTCGTAACGTGCTGCTCGTTTTTTAGAGTTGTTGCGGCGCTGTTGACGTGCTCGCCTGTGGCACTCTCCATAGAGTCAGCACGGAACAGCACACGGTAAACCTCCTCCTCCACCGCCTCCCCCGATTTCTTCCCCGCGCCCCCTTCCCCCAGCTCCGCCAGCACCCAGTGCGGAAGCCCTGTCGCGTCTTCCGCGCCTGAGGGCTCCTCCAGCCAATCAAACGGGCCCATGCCCTGCACGTCCCCCTCCGCTCCGCCCTCCAGCCACAGCTGCATGGCGCGCCGAGTCCCCTTCGTCACGCGCAAATCCTGCTCCGCGTTGTCCGCCTCTTCCTCCGCGCCGTCCGCTGCTGCACGCTCTGAGGGGAAAACGAGCCTTCGCGATTGGTCAGTTTTAGTCTCTGCCTCTCCGTCCACTTGCCCCGTCGGCAACTCGAGCTTGCAGAAGCTCTCGCCGTCGGATTCGGCCGGCAGGACCTCGCTCTGCAAAGGCGACTCGAGCAACGACGGCAGGTGACTCGACGGCGAAGGGCTTCCGCCGGCAGAGGCACTTCCGTCAGCCTGCTTTGGCGATCGAATCGCGCCGAAACCAGGCGCGTATGACACCGGCCCCATGGGCCCCATAGACGGGGCACACGCCGCAAAGTGCGGCCAGCCCGTACGCGGTGAGACGAGCTGGGAGGGGGAAATCGGGCTACTAGCGCAAGCGGCGGCGGCGGCGGCGGCTGCGGCCGCACCGGCTTGCGCGAACGAGTACTGCGCTACAAGGCTGTTAATGTGCGTCGACGAATCGACACGTGGCATTTCCGCGTTCGCGTCGGTTGCTGCTGAGTCAGCGCCCTCGTGGCGCAGCGGCAGGGGCGAGAGCGTAGGAAGCGCCGACGGAACCGCCCAGGAGCCGTTCTGAAACGCAGGAAGTTGGAACCCTGGTAGGTAGTGACTGTAGAGCATGTGATTATGGTGAAGGGGTGACATCGAGGCCCACGAGTAGGCGGGCGGCTGAGTAGCCGTCCAAAGCGGAGGAGGAGGAATAGAGGGCTGGAAGGGAGGGAGGGGAGTGGAGAGCTGTGGAGGAATAGCGAGATTCGTCGGGTAAGGAGGGCTGGGAAGGGTTGATGCCAAGGCGCCTGTGCTTCGGCGGTCGTCTCTCCGTGCTCGTTTGGTCTTTTTGAGGGTCTGTGGTCTCGCTTGGGCGTTTGAGTCGGTGGCGTTTCTCTTCAGAGGAACGCTTTGCGGCCTGATTGCTTCGGAGGTCGCCATGGCTGCTGCGGTCCCCTTGCCGATCAGTGATCCACGCTCCGAGCGGACTGAAACTGAGAGAAGAGGACGAGGTCTTTTAGACTCGTCGTGCGAAACCAACAGTGACAAGATGTTCGATTCTGGTTTTGCTGCGTGCGCGCGGGATTCTCAAGAAGGTCGGATAGTCACAGGGTATATCGTTCGTGCTCTTCGTTCGTTAGGAAGGTTTTCCAGCCTTCTTGGTGGAACATTCGCAGAATAAATGGAAGCTATGGAAGAAACACAGGTGAGTTGAGGAGCTCGTTACATACTTGTGTGGCGAAGAGCTGGAATCTAGTCAGATGGTGGTGGGATGGGAGGAACTGGGAGGAATTCTGGGCGAGGGGGAGAAGGGAGGGAGCAACAGAAGGCACATGGATGCGCGAGGCACGACCCCACAATTGTTCGTTCAATCGCAAATTCCTTCGTCGGTTCGTTGAGCCCGTGCACGCGCGACACCTTTCACCATTTTCCATGCGACGCGAGGCGAGGCGCACAGTGTTTTCCTCTGGACTCGGGCTGGAGCAGGAGTGAGGCTCGGGCAGCGGAAGGAAGGACCCCCCACCACAAGCGTCGGTTTCGCGCGGTCAACGCCAACGCAGGAGCCGAGGCGTTTGATTCGTTGAACCCATCACGGGCAGACTTGTCTGAATGATGGTACAGTAACACTTGAGCGGGATGCGTATCAGGTCGTCTTGGGCCGTTTCTGCTCCTTCGGGGGCGTATCAGGTCTTCTTGGGCCGTTCGCAGGTCGGTGCGCCGTGCCAATTTGGCCCTTTCGTTTCGCCTTGGCGCCCAAGAAACAAAGCCTGCCCCTGCTCTTTCCTGCCCGTGACGTTCGACTTTCAGAGCAGAAATTCCAGGGAGTGCACAGCAGGCCTGACGATTGACGGGCATATGCCCTTAATGCCCTGACATTAAGGGCTAGTTTCGCTCCAGCTCCAATGCGTCAAGTTTTAGATTCGCACCCCACCCGTGCCACTAAGTGCTTCGTTCGACCCTTCCCCGGATGCGTTAAGGGACGAAACCAGGCCTTCCCCTTTATCTAAGTTTTGGTTTCCGATCGTAGGACCCCCCACCCCCCAGGGTGCCAGAGACCAACCCCCCCCCCTCTTTCTCCTTAGTCTGCACGAGAGCGCGCGGAGGGGATTTTTTTCCTTAGCGTTTTCTAGCCAATCTCGTGTGTGTAGTGTGTCTCAGTCAGCCTTGGAGCACCCGAACATTCCCTTAGCGTCCAATACGAGCTGGCCGCAGTTTACAGCTGTGACACAGGATTAGGTTTGCTGAATTTGGCTATTGGACACAGAGAACTCCAACACACTTAACCAAAGCACGTCAAAGGAACTGAAGCACTCTGGCGTAGCAGTTCCCTCACTTAACCAAATACAGTGTGTGCAAACTTCGCACATGCCCGGATTTCAAGTTTTCACTTTGGGGTGCGCCCGTGCCCGTTAAGGGCGCCAAAACGCTCACCTACACCCAACCAAGGGTCAGATGGGGAGGAGCTGGGGAGCGCAAGTACGAGCCCCAGAAACTTCGACAGGCCTGGTGCACAGCGGGTTGAAAACGCTGCGGTTGTCATGCTTCACGTGCGCTCCAACAGACATCATGGCGCCCCAATCGCGTCAATCACCCAACCGAACCGAACCTCTGAATCTGCCCGCCTCGGGAGTTTCGCTGATATTTTTTAGGGGCGCTCGCGCAGGTGCTGAATGTGGTGGAGCAGCGGACACCACCGTCTGCCTGTCCGAAAGGCGCAGGTTGTCGGGCTCGGCGGGGATAGCTGTTGCGGGTCCTTCCGCGCTCCGCCATTTCACCCCCCATCTGCCACACCTGGACGAATTCGGTTGGCTAGCGCCTCTTGCCAATGTTCTGGCAGACAGCTAGCAGTTTCCCTGACTGCCCCGCCCTCACTGTGCGTCCTACACAAGCAGCAGACTTTGCAACGAAATAACACATACACTATGCTATAATTCTTACTTATTTGCTATGCGAAATTTCCAAATGAATAAATTCCTTCGGTATGACGTTGCGCTTGACGGGCAGTTTCTGATGAAGCTGTGGAAGAAACAACGGGGCACACTTGCTCCCTCATCACAGCCAAACGTCACAGCTGCAATTCAGGGTACCTGTTCCAACTGTCGCAACCATGGCCGTTCCAACATTCCTACAGACTCCCCCGGCCTCCGAACCCTGACTATGTCGCAACCTAGGTTATCACCTAGGTTTTTAACTAGCGCGATCAACAGCGGCCCCAGCTTACCTTCCTGCTTCACCGGACGACTGTCAAACCGCGGCCAATTAGGCTGGTTCCTCTCACTCGACATCGTCTCGGCGCCAGGTAAGTCGGTTTTCCTCCTCGGCCTGCTTTCGCTCTTGCTCACCTTGCTTGCCTCGATCTCCTGTGCTAACTACGCGCCGACATGCAGGGAAAAGGTCGCGACCCCACCGTCTCAAAACACGTTCCATCTTAGCATCCCTCCCGTTTTCCCCTCCAGTTTTGATTTACGCTTCTTTTTTTTAAGCTCTCACGGCTACTCCCGCTCGACGGCCCGGCCATCGCGAAAAAGGAAAGCTGCGAAAATTGGCCTCCGAAGGTTTTTCTGCGTACACCTTGCGTACAATTTGCCGAAAGTTGGGGAAAAACACCGCACGAAAATCGCAACATTCTGTACACCAGTTCCGAAGGGGAACACTACCGCAAAAATGGCACCCCAAAGTTGCCTTTCCGTCAACATTTTCGGGTCAGCCGGTGCTGCGCGGTTGAGTGAGGTTACATGCGGTTACGCAGAGTGACGATGACAGGGATGTGTAACTTCGATATTCACGAACCAGAACGGCTCCACGAAATTCGCACGAAGTGCAGCGAGGTTGGTAAAGTGGATACATTGTGTTCGTTGTGTTCCGCAAATCTGAAACCCAACCCACAGACACGTGCTGGTTTCTTCAGTGGTGTGACGTGTGAGCCACAAAATCCTTGTTCAACCAATCACTGTTGTTTCTGTGAGTAGTCAATCAACTGCACCCGTTGTTTTGTACACGTCAGCTAGAACCACCCATGATTCCGTTTTTACCCCTGCATTCGTCCCGTAACTACAACCAACCTCTGCCCCTCCCCTTGTTCATTTTCTATTCGATATTCATCAGAATCGTCCACCTAGTTCCTTAGATCCGCAACTTAGCTAGCGGTTTACGGAACCGCACGTTAACTAACTTAGGCGTTGCGGTAACCTTGCTGACCTTTTCACGTCCACTCTTTTCCATCCGTCTTCCGTTCACTACGTCTTTTTTTCCCTCACGCGCCACCAGGTATTGACGAAATATCTTCGACATCACTATCGCGCTGCAGCAGCTGCGCGGGCTGCTGGGGTGCACGTCGTTCACGCAGTGCACGGAAATCGTCGCGCAGCATCCCAGGTGTGATTATAGCATTATAATGTTGCGCTCACTTTTGACTAGCAAGTTTTGTACGGTTGTTACTCAATCTCAACATACGTTCGCAAACATAGCTGTCGCAACAGCATCGTTGTGTGCGTAACCATCGTCGATAGTACCGCCGCAATTGCAATGCTACGGCTTAGTTTATGCTTTAACTAACCCTTTTAGAGCAATGTGCGCGGGATGCATAACAGTATGCTGTATGTGCATGTGTTGCAGGTCGTACCTGTTTTTGCAGGATTACCGTCTACCAGAAACGCAATATGTTTAATTTTCACCGTTAAAATGTACTCCAGCAGTACGATTCCGAATGGTGAGTAGACATTTACGTTGACTTCTGTTGCTTGTTCAACAAGTTTTTTTTCTCTTTGATCTTTCTGATTACGGCCGTTTTCTAACTCTGCAGAGTTGCAGCTAACCCCTTGAGAGAAATTTTCAGCGGGATGCATAACATCACGCTGCGTTTGCATGTTTTGCAGGCCGTACCTTTTCTTGCAGGCTTACCGTCAACTTGAAATGCAATACGGTTTATTTTTTCCCCATTATAGCATACTCCAGAATTACAAAACCGAACGGTGAGTGGCGGTAAGTTGACATGTTTCGCCTGTTCACCATGTCTTTATCTTTGTGCTTGCAGGCTAAATTCGTTTCCTAACTCTGCAGATTTTGCAGCTTGGTAGCTGTGCATAGGCGTAGTGATTGTTCTAAGGTTGGGTAAAGACTCCAGTCTAGATACTTAACAGTGCATTACAAGTTAGGTGTAGGTGTAGAAACTTAGTAAGTGTATGCGTTGTGAATTGTATACACACAGTTCAGTGCACCTTTTGGTATTGCCACGTGAATCAGATTCGGCGCAGGTTTTTTTGCTGAAATCGCCAGCCAATCGTACGCTATTACTGTACAACGATATTTGGCTCCGATTGGTCCACATGGCAGAATCGCGTGCTTCAAGCATATTCGCATCCGACGTTTGACGTTAGAGTACGGTAACCACCACGTCAGCACTTGGGAGTTTCATCTCGATTAAGTTGTACGCCACGTGGCGTTGTCGTGACACTTTCGCACTGGTTGCTCAGAATTGACGGAAAATTTGCTTTACTGTATACTTGGTCAGTTGAGTCAATGTGTACAGTTAGTGACGGAAGAGTGACGGGAAAGTTGCTTTGTAAGTGACTGTCGCCATGCAGTTCTAAAACCTTGACTCGAAAGTGTCGGGCAAAAAATATCGGGAAAGTTGCGGGAGAGTGTATTTTGTGTCGCTTTTCGCGCTTCCCATTTTCGCGATGGCACTCACCGCTCGCCTCTCCTCGCCTTGACCTCCCGCGCTCGCGATGGCTGCGAGGAGCCTCGCCAACGCCGCGCTGCCGCCTAGGGACAGCTCAGCATTGCTGGCCGCACCCTACAACGCCCGCGCCGCTGCCAACGGATAACCCCCCGCCTCCGCCACGAACTTGGCACTGCGCACCCGCGCCGTTTCTCGTCGCTCCTTCCCCTCTCGCTCTCGCGTACACATGGCAACGCCTGTTTTTCTACCGCTGGCTCTGTCTATTGGCACTCCCCCCCCGCTTACGCACACCCTGCCTCCTCGTCCGACACGCATGCTATCTTCCACGCAGCGACTTCGGCCCGCGCGCCGCCTCGGAACTGCGCGATCCGGGTCCGCGCGCACCGTGCTTCCGCGCGGTCAACATCTCACCGCCACCCTTCCTGTCCTTTTGGCAGCGGTGGCAACCCCAAGCCTGTGTGCGCTACCTCACCCTCGCACACTCACAGGTAAGTAGTACCGCGCACCCTCCAGCCTTGTTTAATCGGCATCGTATCAAGCCATATGATAATTCGTTTTCCCTGCTTTCCTGCAATGACGCTCTCTTTATCGCTTCGCTGCTCCCCACCTCACCTCAATACCCCTGCCTATGTGCATGGTACTCGGGCCCGGAATGCCGATCAGGCTGCCAGCCCACTCTCGTGACTCGCTGTGGCCAACGCCTTTGCGTTCACACCCCTTTTCTAGCTACGGCTGACGCTTGGCCTTGTGCTTCGGGAAGCCTTTCGGGCCCCCACCCACCTCTTTTGGACCGCCCTAGCTCCCTTTATAACACCCTTGTTACGTCTGTTTCACCATTGATTGTCTCAGCTCACAACACCCCTCTCCCCCTCTCTTCCCGATGCTTCCAAGCTACCTACCCTTCCACTCTCGCGCCCTTCGTCGGCACGACGCCACCGCCCCCCTCCCTCAGGGTCGGGCTCGTGCCCCCCTGTTGGCTCCCCCAGCTGGCCCCATCCTTGGCCTCCCATCTTCCAATTTGCTGCTATACCGCCCTGCTGCCCCCCTGGATCAGCCTCCCCCCCTCAAGCCCCTCAGGCTCCACCATGGGCCCTCAGGTGGCCTTGAGGCCCCGCTGCTCCACCTTCCACGCCATCCGCATCCTCACTCGCGTTACTCCCTGCCCCTACTCTCACTCAGTGATCCAGGCAGCTTGCCTCTTTTCTTCTGCTTCTCAGAAGTTTCTCTGCCGTCGGAGGAACACCCCCCCTGGCCTGCAACCCTAGTAACCTCTGCTACCCCTGGTCTGCGTACCCCGCGATATTGCACGTCCGTGTTTGTCACGCTGCCATGTCGGACAGGTTTCACTCGTGATTGTGCACCAACTAGCTACGACCTGTTTTTTCCTTGCAGCTTCGAGTCTTGTAGCTGGAAACATTGCTACCTGTATAGCACTTCATACTTATCCCATTGCAAACTGTCAGCACTGCCTTGTAGTGGCAACGCATCGCTCATTTACGTCAAAAGCCGGAAAAGGAGTCGCACCTTTACCAACCATAAGTACCACACACTAGCACCTAAGGTCTACTTGTATGCTACCTTGCCACACCCCGCTCCCGCCCTGATCCACCCGCCAGCCTGGTGGGGTAGGTACGGCTATGCTCACATAAAGCTGGTTTGCACATACACTATATGCACCACAAACTCCATACAAGTACCCCTACATAAAAGCCTCACCAGTAATGAAACCCCCTGCGCACGAAGGAGAAGAGCCAGAAAAATCAGGAGCAGGACCAGCCTCCATAGCCCAACGGAACCCAGAACCCCCCACACTTACCTGCTGAACGAACACCTCCCCATCAAACACACTTCGCCTACAATGTTTGACTTTACAACCCACTGCCCCACGCGACCTTCCCCGCCGTGCAGGCCACGACCTATCGCTCGTGAATACACCAATGCAAGAACCTCCCCCTCACCCGCACGATCACAGCACAACACCATGTGCCTCCTTCCCCAAGCTGACCGCCTAGTGCCCTGGGACAATGCGCCGATCCCTCGCTCCACCTCCCACCTGCCCTACCCGACCACGCATCAAAGCTATCTAAGACTCAGGCCGTGGATACGCACGCTTTCCCGTGCGGTGGCCTCCACAGCATGGCCATGTTAACACACCTACGCTTCCTATGCATCAACGTGAACGGAATCAACGAGACAAGCAAAATGGATAAACTCAAGTCTTGGCTGGCGAGACTTCCTGCACCCGCTGACCTGGTCATACTCACTGACACTCGGCTCATCCAAAGAATTCCCAACCTTGATCTCAAACTTCGACCTCACTCCTCCGCTCACGCCCCAGCACTTCTCTCTACCGAGAGCGCCACAAGGAGGCCCAGGCTCATCGGCGGTGTCTCTATCCTCTCTTTCAACAGGGCTATCTCATTGTCCTCTCCAGCCCCCTCTGCAGACGGCAGGCTAATCGCTGTACACCTCAACTATCTGCGTGAGCAAATCCGCCTCATCGCCATCTACGCCCCCACACAGTTCTACCGACGCAGAGTATGGTGGACCACCACACTCGTCCCGGCATTAGAAGCCCCCACCGCCGCCTCCGCATCCATGCTAGCAGGAGACTTCAACTCGGTCGTCCTCCCCATCGATAGGAATCGCCCTCCCAAAGACTTCGAGGCTCGTGAGGCCGCCTCATTCGCCAAACTCATGGAAAACCATGCCCTGTTCGACACCTTCCGCGAGCTCTTCCCCACGCCGACCAACGTCTTCTCCTTCTTCGGGAGGCAACGTCTCAATACTGCGACACCCCCCACCTCCTCTCGACTCGACAGAATATACATCTCCCAAGCCTTCATCCCCCGCCTCACTGCTAGTCTGTACATCTAGACCCGCACGGAAATCACGGACCACCTCTACGCCCCCCTCTGCTCGCTCAGCTTCATCAAACCCACAGTTGCCCCCCGCCTCTGGCGCCTCCGACAGCATCTACTTATGCGCCCGCATGTCTCTCAAATCATCGACTCGTGCCTCGCAATCTTCCCCAGCAACCCTTCCCCAGACTCCTGGGACTCATGGAAACTCGACCTCACCCTTAACCTCAAACGTTTTTCCAACCAGGAACGGCGCCGCGTTGATGGCACAGTCGCACATCTTGAATACACCATCGGCTCACTTCAATGGCATGCTGCGTATACGCCCCTGACCCAGGCCGACTCCAACCGCCTTGACCAAGCAAGACTCCACTTGGCCAGGTATGAAGCCTCAAAAGCCTCCGAAATTGCGCTCAAGGCCAAGCTTAAATTGGAAGGGCACAGGGAAATGGGAGTCTCCTCCCTTCTCTCTGGCCTCAACTCGCGAATCAAGGGCTCGATCATCAGCTCCCTGAATTTACCTAATGGACAAACAACGTCGGATCTCCCCACCATGACGAACCTATGCTCCAACTTCTTCCAGACACTTTACAGCGGAAACAACCCCGCCACCGTAAACACGACCTACTGGCAACACATCCTTCCCTCCTCCATCCCGAACCCCCTATTCCTACGCCTCGGCGCCCCCTTCTCCCTTGATGAAATCGGAAAAGCACTACTCTCTCTGTCTCGAGGAAAAACCCCTGGCCCAGACGGTCTGCCCGGGGAACTCTTTCGGCAATTCGCTCCGCGATTTGCACCGGCCTTCCATTCCCTGCTCTCCCCTCCACAACCTCTCTCTCGCTTACCCCCATCGATGCTGACCGGACGCACCGTTCTCATCCCCAAACGGGGTGACTCCTCGCTCGTAGAAAACCTTCGCCCCATCACCCTCATAAACGCTGATTACAAGGTACTCGCGCTGTGTCTTGCCAACGGACTCCAGCTCGTTCTTCCCCAGCTCATCCACCCGTCCCAAACGGCCTTCATCAAACACAGGAAAATTGGAGACACAATCAATGATACCCTTGACATCATGGACTGGGCAGCATTCTCATCAATCCCTCTTCTCGCTCTGACGGTAGACTTTTGAAAGGCCTACGATCTGGTCGACCGCCCCTTTCTCCTCCAAGCCTTAGCGGTCTTAGGGATTCCAGCCCCCTTCATACATTGGGTACGACTAATGCACTCCGACACGAACACACGAATCTCCGTCAACAACATGCTCGGCCCCACCTTCCCCGTCCGTACGGGCGTCCGACAGGGCTGTCCTCTGGCACCTCTTCTGTTCGTCTGTGTCATCGAGATCTTCCACCGATACATGTCCCTCTTCTTACCCGGCTTCGCTCTGTCTCCCGTCCAGCGCCGACTCATGGCATGTTACGCGGACGATGTCACTCTCTTCCTCACCTCAGACACAGAGCTCGGCCTCGCAGTGATACTCCTCGGCGTCTTCGGCTCCGTATCTGGGGAGGTGCCCAACTGGAACAAGTGCTCCATTATTCCCTTCAATATTCCCCCCACTGATCTCGCGCACGCCGGGCCTATCCCCGTCCGAGCCCCCAGCGAAGCAGAACGCATCCTTGGAATTTACGTTGAACGATTACACCCCGGATCCACCACCTGGACGAAGGCTCTCGCCCGTATACAAATCACCGCCAAATTCCTGGCGGCCTTACATGCCACCGTCACGTGCCGCAAATCGCTGTCATCGATCTTTCTGAACTCCGTCATATCCTATCCCGGCCGCTTTCAACCTGCTCCGCTGAACACCATCAAACGAATTGACATCTCAGTTGAGAACTTCCTTTCGTCCTCAAGACATAAACAGGACGGGCTCGCACAACGCTTCCTCCCCAATGGCCTCCTTTACAACTCACCCCAAGACGGTGGGGTTGGGGCGATCGCCCCATCTACCCAAATCAAAGCCCTCACTATCCAGCGTGCACTACGCAGATTTGGACCCACCCCATCCGAGGAAGTCACAAGGACCCTGACCCCGTTCCCCTTCGGGCTACATGGTCTGCTCTCCCATAAAGCCATCCTTGAACGAGACTATCTTCCAGCCTTCATTCCCCCTCGGGCACTGGAGGAACTTAAAACCCTCCTCGCTCTTCCCCTGGTCATTCATGGCCCACCCCTACGTATGCAATGCATACTTACCGAACCTCTCGCCTTCAACCGGATGCTCCTCAAACCCGACGAGCGACCTTTCGGCACCCGCCAACACGAGCGATTCCTGCTTACACGACAGCTCCGCATCGGACACATTGTCCGAATCACCAACTTCGACGTCAACCCTATATCTGCTGAGGATTTCTGCTCCCAGCTCATGGAGGAATTTCACGACGACGCCACACGCCTCCTCCAAGACCTCATCGAGGCTATCAAGCCGCCCTGGTGGGCCGGCCTCCGATCCCCTCACCCCTCCTCTGCCTCCCCTGGAGATTGGTTCATGCTCTCGGATGACCATTACTCCATATCTCACCTCGCTGTCCAGGTCGTCGCCTTCACCCCCCCTTCTTCCGTCTCGGCTACGGTCCACCCCGTCTCGCCCGACCATCGCATCGGCCGTACCCCAATCACTACCGGACTCTTCCGTTTACAAGACCTCATTGAGGTGTATGTCAGGGAATGGTGGCTCGCAGGGCCACTTCATACAGGGGCAGGATTAGGAGCTGGGGTAGAACTTCTGCAGGACGGCATCCCCAGCCTCGCCGACATCCGCCGTCTCCTCTACTCCACACAGCCGCTTACTCACCACAGCCGATGGACCCGGGATCTCACCATTCCTCCTCCCCCTCTCCCTGGCCTTAAAGACCCCTTTCTCAAAGACCAGCCGAGCCGCCAACGGGATATCCTCTTCAGACTCTACACACTAACTCTCCCCTCTGGATCTCGCTTCCAATATTTTGACGACCGAGGGGTTTGTCCCCGATGCCCTGCTGCTGTTGTAGAGACACTGCCGCATATCTTCTTCGAATGCGCCTCCGTCGGAAATGCCATCTCTGCTCTGCGCACAGTCGCCGACCGTCACCTCGGACAAACCGCCCCCACCGAACACATCTTCTTCCCGCTACAATCACGGGCCGGACAGTCTCCCCCATGGAGCCTACTAGTAGGAGCAGCAATCAAGACGCTGTGGAACAGCCGCTGTAACCACAGGTACCGCAACTCCTCCTCATCGAGCTTTGAGACACTGCAGCTCATCTTAGCCCAGTTCCTCATCGCCTTCAAAATCTACATGTGGAGAGGCAAACGCCAATCGGCCAAGAAGCGTCAACGTATATCATCCAGCATTAAACGAGCTCAGAAACTCCGTTTCCTCTGCTTTGACAGGACCGGCACACCCTATATCCACCCAGACCTAAGGTTCCTCTGGCTCTTGGGAAACCCGTTCCGACCACCATAGTCATCCATCGCATAGAGCGTCTCCCCAGGCAGCTGGCGGTTGTCCGAGAGGACAAGGAATAATGTGTGTTCCACGTGCTCCACTGCGGATGCTGGCCACCTCGGCCATGTTTCTAGACTGCTCTATGGATTACACTTTGTACTTTGATTACGATCAATATATAACCTTAACCTTATCTAACTGTCGCAACCAATTGGAGCGAACGTTACACGAGAGTCACACCAATAATTTGGAAACTCCGCATAGAGCTCGCTCGTCACAGTACATAATGGATTACACTAGCGTGTTTTTGTGGAAGTTCATTACCCACATAATCGAAGGCAGTAGCATCCGTGAAAAAAATCCCACACTATTAATTAATCTGATGCATGTACCTAAGATGGTGCATGTACCAATCAGACTGATCGTGCTCGTGGGACCCAGCTTTCAGGACGCGTCACCTCTATCGGTTTTGTGCTAACGATGCTGCCGAGGATTGTTTATTGCGAGGTTAGAAAAGGTCGTGAAAGTTCTGGATGCGATAAGCGTGATTTCAGTACGGTGGAGGATAGATATTACACGATCGATCGATGCGTCCTCGGTGATCACTGAATTGTTCAACTTTGACAGTCGCAGGCAGCACTCATCTTTTTCTCAGATACTTACATAGCAGCCTCACTGATCAAACAGCAGTCCTGTTCAACATTCCCTAGCTGCTAATCATATAGCACGACCAATAAACGGCGAACCATGGCCTCCTCTCTGTCTCAGCTCGCCTCGTCGTCCGCTCTCTCCGCGCTTCACGCGCGCGTCGCCCCCAGATTAGCCAAGCCGGTGTCGCCATCTGTGCGATGCGTCGGACCAGTGCGCCTTAGAGCTGAGTCGGAGTCGCCGAATTCCGATACGCGGTAAAAATAGCTTTTCGTTTAAACAATTGAGACGTGTGCTTCCAGCACCGTGCCAGACCTCACATTGTCTCTCTTCCGTGGCTTGCCTGAACGATTTTTCACTCACAGACCAGGCGTCCTGAACCGAAGGAATCAGTTGGCTGGATCCCTAGCTGCTTTCTAAATCGCTGCATTGTCTCTCTTCCGTGGCTTGCCTGAACCATTTTCACTCACAGACCAGGCGTCCTGAACCGACGGGATCTGTTGGCTGGATCCCTGGTTGCTCCGCTGACGCTGACTCTCGCGGGAGCAGCAAGCGCAGAGCAAGGTCGGTTGAAGAACCACATCATGCAGAGCCGTTAAAATAAATGAAATGCGCTTAAAAATAAAATGAAAGGAACCATAATTTTAGAAATTGCCGTATACGTTGCCCTACTGACGATGGTTTCTAGATGGATTATTCCTCATGGCATCGTACTGTCCTAGCCGACTCGTTCTCGTCTGCTGCAATCCTTCGTTCGGCTCCCTCCCTCCTGGACTTATTATTTTGCTCCCACTGCAGATCCTTCGGACTTTGTGACGTTCGACAATCCCAAGGAGAAGTACACCTTCCAGGTCCCTGCAGGTAAGACCGTCGTTTCCCTGCATCCATCGAGCCCGTTCCTGTTCACTACCATGAGAATCTGATTCATGCTCTCTGGTCTGCTCCCCCCCTTTCCCCCTCCTCCCACTCTCTGTTTCCCTTCCTCTCTCCTCCTCTTTTTCCCTCCCTCACGCACGCACACACGCACGCACGCACACACACTCGCACAAGCGCGCGCGCACACACACACACTCACTCACACACACACGCATACACACCCCCCCCACCCACACACACACACACAAACACACTTCAACCGTCCTTTACCCTGTTATCGCCCCGTGTAACCTGTGGTAACAAGACTGGGTGCAGAGCGAGGGCATGGCGGGAGTGCGCAAGGTGATCGCCTTCCACCCGCCTGATCGCACCGACGCTAACGGTGGGATGGGGGGAGAGGTAGGGTTCACAGGGAAGGAAAGGTGCACTGGGGAGGGGGGTTTCATTGAAAAGGGAAGGTTCACTGGGGCGTGGGGATTCACCGGTAAGGAAGCGAGGGAGGAAAGATGCCTAATGCAGCCTTAGCACAACGCTCATGAGCTTTTCGGGCTTAGGAGGAAGATGGAAGCAGAATACCAGGTTCGGCGCTGTTTGCGGGACAACTCAGAGTGCATGTGCTGGTATGAAACCAGGGGATCAGGGTCATTGCGCTATTTCGGTTGTAAACCTGGTACTCACTCCCTCTGGTCATACCCTAGCACTCACTCTCGCCTTCGCGCATGTCTCTTGTCTTCCTCCGTGCCACACTCCTGTGCATGCATCGTGCAGTGACCATCCTCATCACGCCTCTAGCAGCCGATTTCACGTCGCTGGGGTCGTTTGGCACTGTGGAAGCCTTTGCAGAGACGCTGGTGAGTCTCTCTGCCTTGCTCACTGCTGCATGGGAGTGTTTGTTGCTGCATTGCTGCACTGTTGATTTAGCGTGTGTCTATTTTCACGTCGCCTGGGGTCGTTTGGCACGGTGGAAGCCTTTGCAAAGATGCTGGTGGGTCTCTGCCTTGCTTTCTCATTGCTGCTGTGCTGTGCTGGCAAGCTGCTGCTGCTGCACTGCTGATCTGCTGCGCTGAGCAAGTCACCCGCTATTGTTTTTTGTGGAGTCTTCAGTTGTTTTTATCGCAAATGGAGTGGAATTGCTGGGCGGTAGGGTTGGGGGTTAGCATGTGGCATGCAGCCGACTGAAAGGAATAGTGCTTTGCATATGGCATGCTTTCGGGCTCTGCTTTATGCAGTTCGTGGGATGCACATGACCCAATGCAGTGCAGTCGTCACACATCAATTCGCATCACCGCGCATCAGCATGCATTACCATGCATCGCCACGCATCCGCACGCATTACCATACATCGCCACGCATCAGCATGCATTACCATACATCGCCACGCATCAGCATGCATTACCATACATCGCCACGCATCAGCATGCATTACCATACATCGCCACGCATCAGCATGCATTACCATACATCGCCACGCATCAGCATGCATTACCATACATCGCCACGCATCAGCATGCATTACCATACATCGCCATGCATCTCTACACATCGTCATACATGCGTCAGCTCAGTTAATTCATGTCCCTGCGCCTTAACTTCTTCATGCCTTAACTTCCTCGTGCCTCTTGCTGCTTGTGGTGCTGCTGGGGCGAGCAGGTGAACACTCTGGACCGAAGCTGGCAGCCCAGTCCCGGGCAGAAGGCAGTGCTGCTGGGAGCCAAGTCCGCCAATGGTGAGTTTTCCAGTCGGCTATAAAATTGTGAGTTTCTTGTCCACCCAAAAGTCTGCTTGGGCTGCAGCTGGCAGCCCAGTGCTGGCCAAAAGGCAGTGCTGCTGGGGACCAAGTCCGCCAATGGTGAGTGCCACCCCTGTACGAGCGCACACTGCGTGATAATCTGTTCCGGAATTACACTACTCTTGCTCTTGAAATCCTTCTTTTTTCTCGGCGACCATGATATAACGACTTAATTTCCTAGACCAACGTCTTAGCCCCGGCTGCCGCTGTGCTGCCTGCACCCCCACCATCCCCTTCGCCCAGACAATTTCTTTGTGGAGTACACGCTGCAGAAGGTGATTCTTTAGGCGCCTAAAAAATCCTCTCACCTCCTCCCCTCTCTGCGCAGACAATTATTTCGTGGAGTACACGCTGCAGAAGGTGATTCTTTAGGCGCCTAAAAAATCCTCTCACCTCCTCCCCTCTCTGCGCAGACAATTATTTCGTGGAGTACACGCTGCAGAAGCCCAGCGAGCCCTCTTACATGGCGCCTCAACCAGACACCTCTCACCCCCTCCCCCCTCCGCACAGACAATTACTTTGTGGAGTACACGCTGCAGAAGCCCAGTGAGCCCTGCATTCACCTCTTCTCTGCTGTGGCCACGGGGCAGAACGTGTGGTACAACAACCTCTTCACCCTCACTGGCCAGGTACGGGCTTTGCCTGCTTGTTCTCCTGAGCCTGCCTGCCTCTTCCATGCCTGCCTCTTCTATGCCTTCACGGGGCAGAACGTGTGGTACAACAACCTCTTCACCCTCATTGGACAGGTGAGAACCTTCTCCCTATGCCGGCCTGTTTGATGCCGGCCTGTCAAAATCATTGATGTTGGAGATGCCATCATCAACATATCCTGACTGTCTGTTTGTTTGTTATTTATTGCGTACAGTATCCTGAGGATGAGGCCGCTACATTCAAGCCAACAGTAGACAAGGTGAGCCCGACACTTTCTGCTCATAATAAGGACGTATGTGTCTCTGTGAGCACCAGGATGTCACTGTGTTTCCCTGCTGCCTACTCACGCGTTTATTGCCTCGTCGCGCTTAATACATGCAGATTGTGAAGTCCTTCCGAGTTACCATCGGCAAGCAATGATATCTGCATGCGGAGTCCTATGCGCCCCAAGCTATATTGAGGCATGTCTTATAGCGCGCCTGCACTGAAATTTGTGCCTTGGATTGATGTTGAGTATTTGTTATAATTTTCATGAGTTATGTATACAGAATTTGCAATGAAGGTAGCCACTGACAGCCCAGGTCTCTGGATAGCACCAGCTACGAGATGTACCGTATATGCTTCTTCCGTACACAGACTAAAATTCACCTTTTACAGAATGCAAAACTACAGGAAGCCCTGGTAGCAGAATCAAGTAGGGAAACTTTAAAATGGTATGTGTTTATTTCCTACAATGTGTTCACGTATCTATGCGGTAAGTGCAATTTATGCGAACACGTGTATTGAAGCCAGCGATTCGGCAGGCGGGTATCAGTTCTGGGGTACAAACCAGTGGATTTGGTAAATCCAGCTGGTGACCCCCCATTGCTCCATCCAGAGAGCGATTCCGTGCTTCCCAATCAACATTGGCGGAATACGGATAACCAGAAATCTCCCGCTCACCCACCCACAAGACTGGAAACATCGCAACCTACTGAATCGTTCGCCAGACCTGCCACGCTGTCGCAGGCACTGGATCCGCACCTCTCCTCCCTCTTTCAACAAAGTGAACTCATCAGCCCTGGCAGCGAGCTGAACGCACACATCCACTCCACAAACTTGCAGCTGCTCCTAGAACCGCTGCATCCACACATCTGAAGCCATGGCTGCCGTCCAGGCCTCCCTCTCCGTCTCTCAGTTCTCCGGCCTCAAGGCCCTTCCCACGAAGGCCGTGAGCCTGAAGACGAAGACCAGCTTCGCTGTGTCTAAGGCCCGCACCACCTGCGTTGTTGACGCTGCTCCCGTCATCTGCGGTGCCACAGCTCTGCTTCTGGCCGCTGGCCGCTTTGGCTTCAACGACTACCACAAGAACTCCCTGAAGAGGGCGGGTCTCCCCGTGCAGAATGGCGTGAGCCACGCCGCTGCGGGTAGCTCCGGCGCTGAGGAAGCCGAGCTGTTCACCAAGACCAACGACCCCGCTGGCTTCACCCTTGCTGACACCCTTGCCTGGGGCGCTCTGGGCCACGCTTTCGGCTTCGCTCTGCTCGCCGTCGCTAACAACGGCTACGAGTGGGGCCTGTAAACTTGTGGTTCCGCATCTCACGCTAATGGATGTGTACATTCCTTAAATTAAGATAATTATATGGTTCGCGGTTTTATTCAAACGTTCATCGTGACCATTTTTCATTCGAGCATGCTTCGTAAAAGGCCACGCGTATTCATTGCACAGGCGTCGCTACGTTATCGTCAGAGCCGTGATCATTCCAGCACCATCACCCTTCCGTTCCATCCATCTCGTGGATTCACACGGACCCATTTCCTGACAATGTTCGGATGGCAGGCGTATCACAGATGGATAACCCTTGCATGCATCTCGTTCGGAAGAGATTGCGTTACTTCGTTGGTAGGGGGAGGAAAGAACGACATTTAAAGCCCGGGTACAGCATGGTAATTTTCAAGTTCAAGATTCTTGAACTTGAAGTCGCCAAAAACAGGGTTACCCTATTGTTTTGAAAAAACTCTCGCGACCCCAGGCAATTTTCCTGCGACAACGGAACCCGAGCGCCCAAAACCAGAACTGACGCGATGATCGCCAACCATATGCACTGTTCAGTGGGCACATAACTTGCTCACCCTAGTACTCATAGGCTAGGAGGCTCCAAGGAAAAAACTAGCGCTACGTAGTTGGCAAAAGCGAGTCGTTGATAGGCTTTTTTTTTGTGCGGAAAGAAAGATAAGTCCACCTCAACCATCTCAGTCAGTACATGCTCCGATGTCTCCCTCACGTCACTAGTCTCGTGTTACAACCCGTTCACCCACGGCACTTACGTTAGTAAACCAGGTTCTCGTTACTCGCGTCGTGCATTCGCAGACGCAGGCTCGCGTCGCACACGCAGGCTCTTGTCACACTTGCTGCGGTTCAGCCTCGTGTCTCGATCGTACCGTTTTAGGCACGGGTCGCTCACGCGAATGCCGTACTGGTTCGCGTGACGCACTCAGCCGTTAGCCGCTCTTTCCCATGTCAGACCGCTTTCCCCATCACCCGCGCTTTCTCTCATCACCCTCGCCGACCCTCTGGTCGCATATGTTCCCCTAGTCGCCCGCGCTTTCCCAAGTTAACAACACATCACCTCGTCGCAATCGCTGTTAGTAAACATACCGCGCTACAGATCGTCACCCGCGCTTCAGATCGTCACCCGCGCTTCAGATTGTTAGAATGAGAAGAGTATGTGTGATTAGGTGGAGGTTGGGGTACAAGACTAGAGTGTCGAGTGAGTTTCTGTACCCCTTAAGGCTAGCCCCAATATAGCCTAGATACTAACATGCATATGTTTTGACACACCCCCATAGGCGAAATGGGGGATAGCCAGAGCAAGCAATGGTCACAAGACCAGTCAAGAGAAGAAACAAAACACGGCTCAGGGTGGATCACAACGTCACCACACACACTGAGCACAAACAAACGGCCACAAGGCCAGTCCACATGCAGAGGTATATAAGCAGCAAGAACAGCACAGTGATCTCTACCTAGCAATGCAAACATGCACGTATATATATATATATATATATATATATATATATATATATATCACAGTACAAGCAAGGCCTACAGCAAGTGAGGAAATGTGGGCACAAGCCCTAGCAAAGTGCAGAAACGCTGATGATCACCAGACGGAAGCGCCTTAGTGAATATATCAGCAGTGTTGGCCCGAGTGGCCACGTGACGCAGACGAAGCTGACCACGCTGCTGCAGCTCTCGAGCCAGGAAGTAACGCAGAGCGATGTGCTTTGTTCTGTGCTCCAGTCTGTGCTCCTCACACAAGGCAATGGCGGCCTTGTTGTCGACGTACAGCACTGGAGGAGAACGAGGCTGCTCTCCCAAGTCAGTCAGCAGGTAGGTGAGCCAGCGCAACTCCTGTGCAGCCATGGCTGTGGCGTAGATCTCAGCCTCACAACTGGAGCTGAGAACTGAAGACGAGCGTGTAGAACGCCACGAAACTGAACCAGAGCCAAGGCTGAAGGTGTAACCCTGTGACGACCGCTGAGTAGCCTGGTCGTCAACCCAAGAAGCGTCTGAGTGCCCAGTGAGAACAACTGGGCTCGTCCCTCCAAGCACTAGCCCCATGCCTGATGTGCTGCACAAGTAGCGCAGTACCCTCTTAGCAGCAGCCATGTGCTCAGGTCGGTGCCGACCAGGAGCCACGTAGCGAGCCAGAAGACCAAGAGGGTACGCGAGGTCAGGACGAGTGCAAGTCATCAGGTACATGAGGCAGCCAACTAGCTCTGGGTAAGGACCACTCGGCTCTACGGACTCGTCCGAAGGTGGAGCTGAGAGCGAATGACCTGTAGCCAGAGGAGTGGCCTGTGCTGAGGACCAGGTGAAGCCGAAGCGCTGAAGGACCTGCTGCACCATGTGTGACTGAGTCAGGGTGATGGTGCGGCGTGCTCTGTCCCGGGTGATCTGCAAGCCAAGGTAGCTGCGCAGCTCACCCAAGTCTGTGCACGTGTGTCTCTTCTGCAGCTCCGACTTCACGTGGGCGAGAGCCTCAGTGTCCGCAGTGGCAAACACCAAGTCGTCGACGTACACGAGGATGTAGAACGGCGGCAGTGAAGTGTCGGTGCGCAGAAACAGCGACGGGTCAGCTGTGGAGGGAGCAAACCCAAGTGCCGCAAGTGTAGTCCTCAGTGTGTCGTGCCACTCACGAGGCGCCTGGCGGAGACCGTAGACTGGCCGCCGGAGGCTCCACTGGGTACCAGGAGGGAACGACCCAGTGAAGCCCAGGGGGCGGCGCAGCCAGATTTCCTCGTGCAGGCTGCCCTGCAAGAAAGCTGTGCTGAAGTCAAGAGAGTGAAGCTCGTAGTCACGGTGAGCGGCAACGTGCAGCAGCACCCGAAGAGTGGTCATCTTCGGGGTGGGGGAGAAGGTCTGGAAGAAGTCTACTCCCTCTCGCTGACTGAAGCCTCGAGCAACGTAACGAGCCTTGAAGACAGGCGGAGAACCTGGCGGCCGCTTCACCCTGAAAATCCACATGCCACTGACGATGTTCGCCCCAGGAGGGGGAACCTCGTCGACGTAAGTGCCAGTGGACTTCCAGGATGCCATCTCTGCGTCCATGGCTGTCTGCCACTGAGAGGAGTACTCACCCGCGATCGCCTCAGCGTAAGAGCGCGGGGTCGGGATGTCTGGTGCATCCGGGTCTCCCTCAGGTGCAATCAGCATGGACACGAGATGAGGTACAGCAGCGGCAAAGCACTCAAACTCCTCCTGCCTGTCCTCAAGGACGTCCGTGCCAAGAGCACACTCACCCCCGACGGACGGAGGACAGACAGACTCAGACTTAGCAACAAGACTCGCGGCGTAGTCTAGACGACAGTGAGCAGCAAAGTCGACAAGCTCAGCAACTAAGGCAGACGCAGCAGCGGACTCAAAGGAAGGGTCAGTGACAACAGTGGCCAGGAGACGCGTGACAGTAGGGTGAGCAGCACGTACACGGTCAGACTCAGGGTCTGGAACGTCAGGCAGAGAAGACGCAGGGGGGGACGGCAGTGGAACACGCAGTGGAGCAGTGGACGGACGAAGTGTCATCTGGTGCGTGCCAGGGACAGGAGGAGGACGCGGACGTGGGACACGAGGACTAGTGCGAGCAGTGCGAACGGGCGACGCAGGACGAGACGCAGGCTCACGACGCTCAGCAAGACCTCCTGTCTGCTCAGTGTAAGGAGAAGGGGCAGGCAGTGGTGAGCCAGGCTGTAACGGAAGACCAGTAGACGACGGGAGGGTAAGAACCTGACGAAGAGCAGCGTCAGGCGGTGGCAGAGACGATGGAGACGGCGGAGCAAAGAACAGTCGTGGCTGCGCAGTGCCCCCAGCACCAGCAGCTCCACCACCTCCAGCAGCTCCAGCACCTCCAGGACCAGCGTCACTAGCAGGAGCACCCCCAGAGCCGGCACCTGTAGTCCCAGGGTCTCCTGTCGAAGTGTCCCCAGCAGCAACACCCCCAGACTCAGCACCAGCTCTAGCAGCACCGTCAGCACCTGCACCTCCAGCTCCAGCAGCACTCGCTCCTCCAGTAGCTCCAGCAGCACCTCCAGGCCCAGCAGCTCCAGCACCTCCAGCGCCAACCCCAGGGTCGGCAGCCACACCAGCACCAGGAGCTCCAGCGCCCTCAGCTCCAGTGTCAACAGTACTCCCAGCTCCCACAGTACCACTGTGGCGGCGGCAGTACCGAGAGTACCACTCACGCAGCTCCAAGGAAGAAAGAGTGCCTCTAGGCGCAGCACCCCCAGGCTCAGTAACCCCAGGCACAGCACCCCCAGGCTCAGTACCCCCAGTGTCAGCACCCCCAGGCGCAGCACCCCCAGTGTCAGCACCCTCAGGCCCAACACCCCCAGCGGCAGCACCCCCAGGCTCAGCACCCCCAGTCTCCACACCCCCAGGCTCAGCACCCCCAGTCTCGGTACCACCAGACCCAGCACCACCAGGCTCGGCACGCTCAGGCTCAGTACCTCGCGCAGGACCAGAGTCGACAGCTACCTCGACAGGCTCGACCGGGTCTACCTGGGAAACACCTGAGGTTGCAGGACCCTGGGGAGGCAGGGGGTCTACCACAGCAGCACCTGGAGTGAGGAAGAGCGGCGGAGGGGGGAGCGGGGCAGTGCGGTAGGGGAAGAGACGGTAGAAGGGGACCGACTCGTCAAACGTGACGTCCTGAGAAGGGAAGACACGGCGCGAGGCAGGGTGGTAAAACTGCCAGCCAGACGCGTCCGGGACAAAGCCAAGGAAGACACAGGGGAGGGTACGGGAGGAGAGCTTGTCCGCGGACGCATCGCGGACAAAGGCACGAGATCCCCAGACTCGAAACACCGACGCATCGCCAACCTCTCCCGTCCAACGCAGTGTCGGCGAGGTGTCCGGGTCAGAGACACGGGGCCAGAGGTTGAGCTGATGCGCGGCGTACCGTACCGCAAACGGCCACAGAAAGTGGGGGGCAGCCGCATGGACCAAGGAGGTACGAGCGACCTCCATGACCAGGCCAATGCGGCGCTCAGCAACCCCATTCTGCTGCGGAGAGGCCGGAAGCGTGAACGTCTGCTCAATGCCCTCCCCCTGACAGAAGGCTCTCAAGAGGTCGGAGGAAAACTCACCACCTCTATCAGAGTGCAGTCGCAGGACTGGAAGGTCCGAGCGAAAGCGCCTCTCCAGCTGGAGACGGGTAGTGCGGATCCAAGGGATCAAGACATCAGGGACCTCACCCTTGGTGCGCAAGGGGAAGACCGTGGTGTAACGCGTGTAGTCGTCAACTACCAGCAGAAAGTAGCGCTCCCCGCCTTGTGCACGGACGCGGGCGGGGCCCCACACGTCCATGTGGAGTGTCTGCAGAGGAGCCTCTGTCGGGGGAAACTCGGAGGAGTGAGGAGCGGCGCGCTGCCGCCCCTCGACACAGGGAACAACTGTAGTGAGAAGAACAGCTGTAACAGCAGGAACAGGGACAGTAGGTGCTGCAAAACCCTAAACCCTAAACAGTAGGCTCAGTCAGGGCGGCGCGGCTCGGGCAGGTAGGGCAGCGCAACGGCGGGCCTATGCACGGTGCGCGGCGGCGCCTAGGGTTGCAGTTGCGTGCAGGCCGCGGCTGGGGTCCTGCTGCAGCTAAGCACGAGCTGCAGCTAAGCGCGAGCTGCAGCTAAGCGCGAGCTGCAGCAGCCGACGCGCGATCGCCACTGCGCGCGGGCTGCGACCTGCGGGCGGGCGGCGGTGTCAGAGGTCCACTGGTGATCCCCGATTGATCCTAGGGAAGGGTTACAGGCACGGCGGCCTGGGGGGTTATGGGCGCACTCACCCGCTACACAAACAAGCCCTTTTATCCCAGTGGTTAGTGACTGGGATTCTGACATGGTATCAGAGCGAAGGTCTCGGGTTCGAATCCCGGTGTGTGCACCTCGGGCATCCCAGTGCGGGGGGGTGTCAGAGGTCCACTGGTGATCCCCGATTGATCCTAGGGAAGGGTTACAGGCACGGCGGCCTGGGGGGTTATGGGCGCACTCACCCGCTACACAAACAAGCCCTTTTATCCCAGTGGTTAGTGACTGGGATTCTGACAGGCGGCGTTACGAGCGCCGTCCTAGGGGCGAGCGGTCGGGCGTGGGCTGCACTCGCGCGCAGGCAGCGGCTACGAAAGCAGGGGCGGCGGCCTACGGGCGACGCGAAGCCCTACGGGCGGGCCGACGGGCGGCTAGCGACCTGCTCGTGGGCGGATCGAGCCGCGCGAGCGGCCTATGGTCGTCGCGCACGCGATTCGGGCCGCGCGCAGGCTGCTAGCGGGCAAAAAACGAGGCCGCGCGCGGGCAAAAAGGGGGCCGCGCGCGGTCGTCTAGCGGGCTACGCGACCAGGAAACGAGGCGCGCGAGGGCGCACGAAAGGAAGAAGGCGCTCGAGGGCGCTAGCGGAAGGGCGGGCCCTTAGTACAAGGTGGTCCTAGGTTCCTAACCTAGGCTTCTGATGCCATGTTAGAATGAGAAGAGTATGTGTGATTAGGTGGAGGTTGGGGTACAAGACTAGAGTGTCGAGTGAGTTTCTGTACCCCTTAAGGCTAGCCCCAATATAGCCTAGATACTAACATGCATATGTTTTGACACAGATCGTCACCCGCGCTTCAGATCGTCACCCGCGCTTCCCTCATCACCCTCGTCGACCCGCACCGATCCTCGCCGCCCTTAGTCAGCCACATTCCCTCTCGTCGCTCGCGCTTCCCCTCATCATCCTTGCCGACCCTCGCCTCCCCTCGTCGCCCGCGCGTCCCGTCGTCGGGCTTGCCTCACAGTCACTCGCGCTTCCCCTCGTCATCCGCGTTTCCATTCGCTGTTCCCCTCTCCCCATCTCACCATCTCCAGCCCATCCCTCCTCCCTCGTTCCTTCCGAACGGGTGGGACAGATGGGGAGGAACAGAGGTGGTTGCTTCTGGCACCCCGATTGAACATCGTTTTGATCCCCTCTCTGCTCCCCACCATCCTCCCCCCAGCTCCCTTACCGGCATCTGCCCCCGTTCCCCCCATCCTCTTCCCTGTTTCCCCGTATCCCCTGCCGTGCTTCCCCCCATCCTATCCCCTACTACCCCGTATCCCCCTAACTTGAAACTTTACCATGCTGACCCCGGGCTTTAAAACTGAAATTTAAAATAGTGAACCCCGACCCAGCTTAAAAAAGTGTTGCGAAGAGGAAAGAGATCGGGCCGATGCAGAACTGCTCCAAAAACTCAAGTGTTCAGAATGGAATGATGTGATTGGCTGTTGCCCAAAATTGGCTCCCGCCAAAACGATGTCAGCTGTCGCATGTTTACGTGCTGCACCCGCACGATCGTTCGCTGCGACGGTTTGAGTCGCCAGGCCCAACATCATTTTCAAGCTGGAACTGGGTGACATTACTCTGTTTTATGCTTCCCTTGTCACCTGTTACTGCCAAGCTAAGAAAAGTTGAAATCCTAGTCGTTAGTCTCATAGGCATGCAAATAATGACTTTGCTCGGGTGCGTTATGTAGTAAGACGTGATATAGTACCGTAAATAGGTCTCGCCTGTCGCGTGCAATAGTCTATTGCCCCGTCGTCGTCGTCCGCACTCGCTTCCTTCGCCGAGTCGCCATCCATGGCGTCACCCACCGTGCCTCCCCTACCAACTTTCCACTCGTCGTTATCGCGCTCACCCTTTCTCTGCCTCCCATCGCCCCTCCTCTCTCCCTCGTGGGCCTCACTTCGTTGCTATCGCGCTCGCCCATACCTCCCGCGCATTCTTCCTGTCTTCACTCCCCTCCCGTCACCCTAGCTCATCTCCCATTCGCCCACTGTTTCGCCCACCCCATCGCCTTCGCGTTCTCCCTGAAACGCCCTCCTATCGCGTTTGATTTCTCCCCTCACATCACTCACACGGTCGCCATCGCGTTCACCCCGAAATGCCCTCCCATCGCCTTTATTCGCTCCCCTCTCATAACCCATCCCGTCGCCCTCGTGCTCTCCCTTTCATCCCATCGCCCTCGCGTTTCCCCACCCCGTCACCATCGCACTCGCGTTTCCCCCCCCCCCCCCCCCGTCATCGCCCTCGCTTGTCTCATAGGCGTTTCCCATGACGTAGAGTAGTCATGTTTACAAACGAGCGTACAGTACGTCGCTATCGCCGCGGCGACGACGACCTTTTAGTGTTACCACACCGACGCTAGCAGCCCTTCCCCCTGGAAAACGACGAAAGCGTGAATTTGCCACACCGTGAGAGTGGAACAATGTTACCAGCAGCTTCTACACCGTATGCAACGCGAAACGTCGAATTCCTGCTGCGCGTTGCCTCGCTATTTCCCCTCGCTGCCCGTCAGCTCGCAACCTCCCCTCGCTGCGCATCGCTGCGCTATGTCTCCTCGCTGCACGTCGCTGCGCTATGTCCCCGCGCTGCCCGTCATTTCGATAGCTCTCCGTGCTTCTAGTCGCCTCGCCATACGATCATTATTTCTCTCTCCCCTCCCATCACGTCGTTCCTCCTCTCTCCCCTCCTATCCCGTCGCTATTCCACTCTCCTCCCATCCCGTTGTTCCTCCATTCTCCCCTCCCATCACGTCGAATCTGCTCTCTCCCCTCCCAACACGTCGTTCCTCCTCTCTCCCCTCCTATCCCGTCGCTATTCCACTCTCCCCTCCCATCCCGTTGTTCCTCCACTCTCCCCTCCCATCCCGTCATATCACCTTATGACAGCTTTTTGTTTTTTCCCCGTTACTCCCTATTCTTTTCCCTCTCTTATCACCAAGTCCAAGGAAACGCTTATATGTGTGTGCGCTGGATTTTACCTGTTTTGTTGCTTGATGTGCGTTCTGGTGAACTTACCGTACGATGACTACTTGGGTGCATACAGCCATTGCAATCTTGCGCCAAATTCGCACACAAGTATGTGTGGGTTGTGTGTTAGTTTCGCTGCCAATCAGAATCGTACACATGTTCCAAGTGTTTCCAGTTCATAACGAAACTCGTCTGGGGTGAAAAAATAAATGTGCACAGCACTTCCAACTTTCCGAAGAGTTCCTAAAAAACTTATGTTTTCAAGTGGACCCAACTGGAAGGGGGGGGTCACTATTTTAGCTGCTGGCTTTAAGCACTGGCGCCTGGAATCTTTTGTTTTATTTTTTTCTTTAACCGGATAAATATTACCGTATGGCCCCGGATAGAAGCGCAGGCCTATTAACAAGCGCATGCGCTTCTATTTGGAGCAATGCGCTTATGGCCGATCCTCAATTATAAGCGCACCCCCTGTAAAACCCTGACTTATTATAAGCGCATGTATAATATTAAAATCTGAACTTGCTTGAAACGGTATTGAATTTCAAATTTGCAGCGAGGTCACACCATCGGTTCGATTGACTCGCGAGCACCTTACATCCTACGCGTCCAGTCAGTATCGTATCAGCTGGAATTCCTGCGCAATGACGTGTACCTGCCCCTGTGCGCCGGCAGAAAATCGTCCGCGTGCGAATCTGAATTGTGACCCCCTATCATTGCGCTTCGATAGAAATTGCAAGAATACAATTTGGTGCAGTAAGAATATAGATTTGTATTTGTCATTTTATAAGCACATGCGCTTATATTTTTTACTCAATTAGAAGCAAATGTACTCTGAGACTCCAAGCTTACTCTGAAAGCAGGGTCTCAGTTTTTTTGTCTCATTTTCAGACCTAACTTGTTTCAGATGTTATTTAATCAAATTCGGTTCAAAGCGGTACCTTTGATTGGACGGGAATAGAAGTGTCAAATGTTGGTAGCCTGTAGTGAGATGTGTCTTAGGGGGTACGTATGTTAGGGTTTGCTACTTGTACCCCAACCACCATCAATGAAACAACACTTCCGATTTTAACATGGTATCACCTAGGTTAGGATCCTGTAGGATCCCGTTCCTCCCGACCTCGTTCGTATCGCCCGAGCCTGTCTCCCTCTCTCGTATTACTTACGCACGTCTTGCCCGAGCCTAGCGCCGGCCCGCTCTCGTCCCGTTCCTTCGTTACCGCCCGTTCCGCCGATCCCCTACTCGAGTAGCGTAGCGACCTTCCTCCCCCCTGCTGGCCCGTTGCGTTTTCCCCCCTCCGAGGCCCGTCGAGTCGCGTTTTTTCCCCCCGCTGCCCGTCGAGTCGCGTTTTACCCCCCGCTGCCCGTCGAGTCGCGTTTCCCCCCCTGCTGCCCGTCGAATCGAGCTCTCCCCGCCCATCGTCCCGTCGCCCGTCCCCCCCTTACGCGCGCCACCGCTGCGCCTTCCCCCGTCGCCCGCCGCAGCCTGCGCCCGTCGCCGCGGCGCCCGCCTTCGCTGCTCGTTGCGTCGCGCGCGCGACTGCCCTTAGCCCCCGCGCGGCTCCCCCTTAACGCCCGCCCCCCGCGCCCGCGCGGCTGCCCTTAGCCCCCGCGCGGCTGCCCCTTAACGCCCGCCCCCGCGCCCGCGCGGCTGCCCTTAGCCCCCGTGCGGCTGCCCCTTAACGCCCCCCCGTTTAGCTGCGCCTCTGCCTCGTTTAGGGTTTCCCGCTTCGCCCTTTGCCCGCCCGATTTTAGCCACGCCATCTCGTTTAGGGTTTCCTGCCTCCGCTTTTCCGTCGGTTTTAACGATGGCGACTCCGCGTGTTCTTCGCTTCGACGCTGACGGTAGACCCCTTGACTTTTCGCTCTGGCTTCTGCGCGCTCGCCGTCAGTTAGAGAGTCAGGTCCAGTCAGGCGAGACCCTCTGGGCGCACGCTGCTGGTGCCCTCCCTGCGCCCCCCGACCCTACGCCTTTAGGTCCTGCCCCTGACGACGCCGCTAGAGCTCGCTTCGCTAGCCAGCGCGCTGACCTGACAGCTTGGACGTCGCGTGACGCTGCGGCCTGCATCGCGCTCAGCACCCTTCTCCCTGAGTCTGAGGAGGCTCACTTTGCTCAGGTTCGCACTGCTGCTGAGTACCTGACTGCGATTAAGGCCCGCTACTCCACTCCTGCTGCTGTCTCTCTTGGCCGCCTTTTCCTCCCGTTCCTGTTCCCTGATCTCGCCTCATTTGAGCGCTCTGCTGACTTGATTGCTCACCTCCGCTCGCTCGACTCTAGTTACCGCGCTGCTTGCACTGAGGCCCAGCTCGCACTGCTTCCTCCTCCCATGGCGATTACTATCTATTTTATCGCCACCAGCCTCCCCGACCGCCTTGCCTCCGTTCGTGACGCGCTTCTCCTGAAGCACCCTAGCGAGCTCACTATTGACGTCCTTGAGTCTGCTCTCAAGGACGTCGAGAGCAACCTCCGCTCCGTCGCCGCTGCCTCTGGTGCTGTGCCCCCTCCGCTCTTCCACGGGTGCACAGTTCCGCAGTTGCCCACCTTTACTGCCTCTCTCGCCACTGCCGCTACTGACGCGACCGCAGCTGCTGTTACGACTTCGTCGCGGTCCCGCGGTAGGGGTGGCAAGAGGGGCGGTGCTGGCGGCGGCGTTGGTGGAGGCGGAGGTAGTGGGGGTGGCGTTGCGACTGGCGGTGGTGGGAGTGCAGGGCCTGGAGAGACGTCTCGTGCAGCGACCGGTGACTCCACTGCGACTGCTGGTGGTGGCGACGCCCGCGTTCGTCAGTCGCCCCCTGTACTGCCAGCCCCGGTGGGTGGAGCAGCGGCGTGGTACCGGGCCCAGCGTCAGCAGCAGCAGCAGCCCCTCTCCTCCCAGCAGCCTCCGCAGCAGCAGCGGCCGCAGCTGGCTTCGGGGTCGGGGCCGCGTCAGCCGCAGCGTGGTGCTGTTTACCCTCCCTGCGCCTATCAGGTTCTGACAGGTGCTCGCCGGGGCCACCCTTGTGGCCGCCTTCACCCCCCTGGTCAGTGTTTTGCTCAGCTCACTGACACGGTTCGTTTGGTTTACGGGGTTGGCGGTCCTGCCCCTGACTGGTTTCCCCTTGTTCAGCGTTACGGTTCCGCTCTGTGGGACATGTCTGCTGAGCAGTTAGCTGATCTGATTGGAACTCCTCATGCTATGTATGCTGTTGTTGACTCTAGTGTTTCTGACTCTGTTTACTCTGGTGTTGTTAGCTTAGGTACTAGCCTTGCTCAGTTGCCTGTTGCTAGTGTAGGTTCTTGTGTAGACACTAGTCCAGCGGCTACCTCGGAGGACACTTCACTGTCTTTCACGCTGGACTCTGGAGCCTCGCACTGCTTCTTTCGTGACAGCACGACACTTACGCCACTTCCTGCGCCTGTCTCTGTGGCACTGGCTGATCCCACCTCGGGACCAGTCACTGCGCGTCACACTACCACTTTGCCGTGTCCTGCTGCTCCCTCCGGGTCCCTCACTGGGTTTCATGTCCCCTCGTTCTCCCGGAACTTGGTGGGTGTGCGACCCCTCGTGAGTCAGCACGTGGGTGTGTGGTTTGAGCCTTCTGGGGAGACTGCGGTGTGTGTTGACGGTGACTCTTACCAGCCTCTGGCCACCTTTGCTGCTGAGCCGGGTTCCGGTCTCTACACTCTTCACACTGGCCCGCGCGCACGGCAGCGGACGCAGCAGCAGCAGCAGCAGCAGCAGCAGCGGCAGCAGCAGCAGCAGCAGCAGCAGCAGCAGCGGCACCAGCAGCAGCAGCAGCAGCACCAGCAGCAGCAGCAGCAGCAGCAGCCGCAGCGGCCGCCGTCGCAGCAGCCCCTACTCCCAGTTCCTGTCCCTCCCCCTAGTCTCCTCCCTGCGTCTCACCAGGTGGTTCCGTCCCCTCAGGTTGTCGCGTCCAGTCCAGTCGCTGCGTCTTGCTCCTGTCGGTCGCTTGCCCACCCCACCGTTCTGTGGCACCACCGGATGGGACACCCTTCTCTTCCACGTCTGCGTGCTATGTCTAGTCAGCGTCTGGTCTTAGGTCTCCCGCGTGTCTTGCCGTCGCTGCCGCCGTCCCTTGCACCACCGTGCGGTCCTTGCGTCGAGGGTCGGCTGCGCGCCACCCCTCACTCCTCCTCCCTTCGTCCGGCCACCGAGCCGTTTGAGACGCTTCACCTGGACGTCTGGGGCCCCGCCTCTCGCCTTGGCCCTGAGCGTGAGCGTTTCTTTCTGGTGGTTGTTGACGACTACTCCCGCTACACCACGGTGTTCCCCCTGGCGAAGAAGTCTGAGGTGACTTCTACGCTGATCAGGTGGTTGCTCAACACCGCAGACACTCGTGGTCGTCGTGTCAGCTGTCTTCACTCCGACCGCGGGGGTGAGTTTCGCTCCGGCATTCTCGCTGGATTCTGTCGCGAGCAGGGCATTCGTCAGTCCTGGACGCTTCCAGAGTCCCCGCAGCAGAATGGGGTTGCTGAGCGCCGCATAGGCTTGGTCATGGAGATCGCCCGCACCTCCCTGACTCACGCCCGTGCCCCCCATTTTCTGTGGCCTTACGCGGTTCGGTACGCCGCGCACCAGCTGAACCTCTGGCCACGCGTCTCTCGGCCAGAGGCTTCACCGACCAGTCTTTGGACCGGGTCCCCTGGTGTTGCGTCGAGGTTTCGTGTCTGGGGTTGCTTGGCTCTTGTCCGCGACACCTCTGCGGACAAGCTCTCGCCTCGCGCCGTCCCCTGTGTCTTCCTTGGATTTCCTGAGGACTCCTCTGACTTTACCTTTTACCACCCTCCCTCTCACCGGTTCTTTGACTCCCGTGACGTCCGTTTCGAGGAGTCCACCCCGTACTTCGTCAGGCACCCCAGTCGAGGTCTCCCAGTTCCTCCTCCCCCCCTCTTCCTGACTGCCGCTCCCCCTCCTGCTCCCCCGGTACAGCCTCCCCCCCCTGGTCCAGCCCCGTCAGGTGTGTCCCAGGCTACCCCTCCTCCTTCGGTAGCCCCTCCGGTACAGCCTCCCTCCCCACAGTCCTCCTCGTAGCGTGTCGCAGGTGCTAGCTCTCGAGAGGTTGGTGCCGAGCCTGTTCCTGTACCGGTTTCTGGTTCTGGGGGTGCTGGAGTTGGAGCTGAGCCGGTGGGTGCAGAGGACTCTTGTCTTCCGGGAGCTGGTGCTGGTCGCGCGGACACTGGAGGTGCTCCGTCTTGGGGTGAGGGTGCGCCTCCTTCAGGTTCTGGTGAGCCTGGGTCTGGAGCTGGTGTTGGTGCTGCCTCTGGGGGTGGTGTGCCTGGTCCTTCGGGGGTGGACTCTGGAGCTGCCGCTGCTCCGGACACTACTCCGCCCCCCCACCCCTACCCGACTAGGCACCAGGCTCGTGTTCGCCGTGCCCGTGAGGAGCAGCTGGCGTTGGAGAGAGAGGAGAGGGAGTTACAGCGGCTGGAGGAGCAGCAGCAGCAGCAGCTGGAGCCGCAGGAGCAGCAGCAGCAGCAGTCCCAGCAGCAGCCGCAGCCGCAGCAGCAGCAGCACCACCAGCAGCAGCAGCAGCAGCCACTTCCTCCTCCTGTCTCGGGCCTTCGGACCCTTGGTCTCCCCTCTCCTTCTCCTCCCTCCCCCGCCTCTCCTCCTGTCTCCGGTCCCACGTTTCCTCCTCCTGACTCCTCCCCCGCTGTTTTCCCCAGTTCTCCGCCTTTGTCCTCTCCTCCTCCGTCTCGTACTTGGGCTACTCGTCGCTCTCCTCGTGCTCATCCCTCGTCCCCTGTTCCTTTCACTGACCTTCGTACTGTCTTGTTCCGTTCTAGTCCGTCTCGTTCGGCTCCTCCTGTGCTTCCTTCTCCTCCTGAGTCGGCCCTCACAGCTTCTCTCTCTACCCCTGTCACTGACTACTACCGCACGTACCGTCCTGTTCTCTCTCGTGTTCTCGCCTCTCTTGTTACCCACCCTCGTGCCTCTTTGTCCTCTGTCTCTGCTCTTACTGCCGCGGTCACTGAGTTTTCCTCTACTCGCCGCCTTGACTACGCCACCACTCTTGTGGCTGCTCCTCCTACCAGTCCTCTGGCCGTCGGGGGTGTGTCTGCCCTTGGCTGTGACGTCCTAGAGGACAGGCAGTTTGAGCTAGAGTTCCTGGCAGCCGCTTCCCCTCATCTCTGTGCCATGCTCCTCACCCCTGAGGGTGACCCCGACGCCCTTGACATTCCCACTCCTCGCACTTACGCTGAGGCAGTGTCAGGGCCTTGGGCCTCTCAGTGGAGAGCTGCCATGGACGCAGAGATGGCCTCCTACAGATCCACAGGCACCTACGTCGATGAGGTTCCCCCCCCTGGGACGAACGTAGTCGATGGCATGTGGATCTACAGGGTGAAGCGGCCGCCGGGATCTCCTCCAGTCTTCAAGGCGCGCTACGTTGCTAGAGGTTTCAGTCAGCGCGAGGGAGTTGACTTCTTTCAGACCTTCGCGCCGACCCCGAAGATGACCACTCTTCGGGTGTTACTGCACGTAGCAGCACAGAGAGACTACGAGTTACACTCTCTCGACTTCTCCACTGCTTTTCTTCAGGGCAGCCTACACGAGGAGGTCTGGCTGCGTCGTCCCTCTGCCTTCACTGGCACTTTCCCTCCTGGGACCCAATGGAGGCTGAGGCGACCTGTCTACGGTCTTCGCCAGGCACCTCGTGAGTGGCACGACACTCTTCGCTCTACCCTCTCTGACCTTGGGTTCCAGCCGTCTTCTGCCGACCCGTCGCTGTTCGTTCGCCGTGGCTCCACACCGTTCTTCGTTCTGGTTTACGTCGACGACCTAGTTTTCGCCACTGCTGACAGGGTTGCTTTGGCAGACGTGAAGTCCGAACTGCAGAAGAGACACACGTGCACTGACCTTGGTGAGCTGCGCCATTACCTTGGGCTGCAGATCACCAGGGACAGAGCTGCTCGCACCATTACACTCTCACAGTCACACATGGTGCAGCAGGTCCTTCAGCGGTTCGAGCTTCAGCACTCCACAGTACAGCGCACACCTCTTGCTGTTGACCACAGACTCACTGGCCCCTTTCCTGACGAGCCGTTTGAGCCTAGTGGTCCCTACGCAGAGCTTGTGGGTTGCCTCATGTACCTGATGACGTGTACTCGCCCGGACCTCGCTTTCCCTCTCAGCATCCTTGCGCGCTTTGTTGCGCCAAGGAGACACCGTCCTGTTCACTGGACAGCAGCTGTGAGGGTGGCGAAGTACCTAGCGACGACATCAGGCGTGGGGCTAGTACTTGGAGGGCAGCAGTCTGTTGTACTTACTGGTCACTGTGACTCTTCTTACGCTGACGACGCTGAGACTCACAGGTCTACTCAGGGGTACTATTTCAGCCTGGGTTCTGGAGCTGTTTCCTGGCGGTCCACGCGCTCCTCTTCGGTCTCGACCTCTACAGCTGAGGCTGAGATCTACGCTGGTGCCATGGCGGCACAGGAGCTGCGTTGGTTGACGTTCTTGCTCGCCGACCTGGGTGAGCGGCCGAGCTCTGCACCGACCTTGTTCACTGACAACAAGGCATCCATTCTCCTTTGTCGAGAGCCGCGACTGGAGAGCAGAGTGAAGCACATTAACGTCAGGTACTTCCTTCTGCGAGAGTTGCAGAGGCGTGGACAGGCTCGCTTCGAGTTTGTGGAGTCTGAGGCCAACACTGCAGACATCTTTACCAAGGCGCTTCCGCCTTGTGACCACCACAGGTGTTGTGTGCAGTTAGGCCTTGTTGACACTGGTTTTCGGCTTACTTAGTCTTGAGTTCACTGCTTGCTTTGCTTGTACCCTTTCTATATATCTCTGTTATTGTTTGGACTGGCCTTGTGGCCATTGTTGCTTGTGCTCAGAGTTTGTGGTGACGTTGTGATCCACCCTGAGCTTTGTTTCTTTGTGACTGGTCTTGTGACCGTACTCTTTTGGTTTTGCTAGACACCCCTCACTTAGGCTATGGGGGTGTGTCAAATGTTGGTAGCCTGTAGTGAGATGTGTCTTAGGGGGTACGTATGTTAGGGTTTGCTACTTGTACCCCAACCACCATCAATGAAACAACACTTCCGATTTTAACAAGAAGACACGTCAATATAGGAAAAGAATGCACCCTTATTTAGAAACCATGTTGACTCAATTCGTGCTTTCGTGCATTCGTAACAATCATGCCTTTACCCTGCTGTTTTTAAGACCATGCATAATAAGATTAGGAGATTTAATGACAATCTTGTAGATACATACAAATGATGGGAGTTGAGACCCGAATGTTAAACTTGGCTAGGATCTGGTTGGTGGGAATGTAGTACAGGAGGATTGTACCTCATCACGCGACATGGAACAAAAAACGGGTCTCCTTTTAGCATTGTTATCGTTGGCTGCGTCCGAGCTGCCCCGTTGGCCAGTTGTCCACTGGCTGCCCCTTTGGGAAAGTTTGTTTCCATCATATCCTTCAAAATCAAATGTCTGTCAGGCAGAAATGCAGTTAGACGAGTTTACAAAGTTTATCGTTTGCTGCTGACTATTTGCTGATATAATAACATCATAATGACAATCTAACTGGGTGACAAAGGGACAGGGAACTCAACCACTTCTCGAAGATTTTCACGAACCCCCACCGAAGTGTCTAGACCCAACGATTTGCCTACATATCGGATGGGCTCCGAGTGGTTCGGCGGCAGGATATCCTGCTCGGTTCACCCAATTATACCCCTAAACACTATATTTAAGCGCGAATGAGATTGTAAATAACAGTAGCGGCTGTACTTGCGAGCGACGTCAGAAGCTCCTGGCGAATGCCACCTCAACCCCCTCCCTCCTCTGCCCGTCCAGTTAGCAACTCTTTCTATGCGGTCGGAATAGGAGTAACTAGTATGCCTTTAAGTGGAGCGTAGAGGAAGTGTACACTCTATTCTGGAAAAAGCGCCAACGAGCACGTTTCATTTCGCACCTCAGGAGCGACAAGATCCCACGTTCCAACAAGAAACAATGATTTCGGGGCTGCCTCAACCATAAATCATGGGCGCTCCAATTCACGGTCATTGTTCTTCCACCACACACATCTCCCAAACCATATCCTTCCACCCACCCACGTGTACCGGCCCCCAACCTTGGCACCACTGCTCTCGCACGACCACTTCCGCCCTCTGGGAATCCGCCAGCTTTGTGCTGCGCGTATGCTTCTCGCTGCGCATGGCCTCCTAGCGTGCTGACAGTTCCTTCCCCGATTGGCGCATTTGGAAGCACCTTCCGCTGGATCCAGCACAGCTCGCAAATGAACAAGGTCCGGGTTTCAAGAAACTGCTCCTGGAGCGAGAGCAAACGCTTGATTGCTGCCCCAAGCTCAGGCCAGCCAATCGCAACGCTGCCCGAGCCTCACCACCACCGCCACTTGCACGCAAGGCAAACCTCGCTTCCCGCGCACTCTCCCCATCAACCTCCTTGATCCTGCTTGATGTCTTCTTGATGTTTCGATCAATCCCAACTTTTCCACACCACCCCACCCATCCACTCACCCACTCCCAAGGCCCCTTCAGCAGCTGTCATGGCTACCGCAATGCAACAACAGTAATTATTCTTCATTCAACACCTCCCGTCCACTTGGATTTGTTGACGCGCACGCCTATGGTTGCTGTCTCCCCCTCTCTCTCTGCCTCACTTTCCACTCGCCTCTCCCGCCCCTTACGCTTTTCGAGTTTAAAGTATGCGCATCGTGAGCATGAAGCGCAGTTTGGGGTGTTTGATCTGACAACTTACTTATTTGACCATCGACCTTTTTCTTCCTCAGGACACTGACTCGTAGCGATTCCACCTTGTGAAACCCACTCGTATTCGTTGGTTGTCCACCTCGTCCCATAACTTTCCAACTGCGCAATTTAGAGCCCAGCTGAGCGAGAGACCCGTCGACCGATAAATCCCCGAATCGTGTTCGCAAATGGACGACGACATGCAGAACATCGGCGGGAGGGGCGACAACACCTTTTTTGACACGTCGACTGACAGTCTGCCGCTTGAAAATCCCACGCAAGCTAACTTAGTGCCTGCTTTCGCGCAGGATAGGGACCTAAGTAGCTTCTACGATCAACTCATGCAGAACGACCCCGCGCCGCAACTCCAGCCAGCCGCTTCCCAGCAGCAGCAGCAGCAGCAGCAGCAGCAGCAGCAGCAGCAGCAGGAGCAACAGCAGCAGCAACAGTCGCAACTTCAAGAGCAGCAGCAGCAGCAGCAGCAGCAGCAGCAGCAGATTCAGCAATCGAACGCGTCAAAAGACGCGTCCGCGCCCGCGTCCGCCGCAGCGATGCGCGGTCGCGGCGAGAACGAAAACTCCAACAGCGGCTTGTCAGCTAAATCCCTCGCCGCGGCGCTTCTAGACCCCAAGTCCGATGTGGGCCACCGTATTCGCTGCTCCGGCGTCGCGGCTTTAACGCCGTCCGAGCAGCAGTTGCTGCTGGCGGCGCTGCAAAAAGAGGCTCAGGAATCGGCGGCAGCGGCGGCGCAACCCAACTCACGCAGACCGGTGGGATCTGCTGCGGAAATCGTGCCTCGAGTGCATTCTTTCGGCTCATCTCCTCCCGCGCGCTTCGGCGAGTTTACCGCCGCAACAGGCGCCGCCGATCACGCCGCAGGCGAGGACTCCAGAAGCGCGGGACACAGGAAATCAGCGTCGTTCTCCGTCGGCCAACGAATTGCCGCGAGTTCCGCCGCGATGGCCGCCGATCACGCGTTGCTCGGAGGTTCGGGTGGTCTACGGTCGAGGCGCGGTCTTCCAGACCTACATGAAGTCCGTGGTTCGCATGCAGGCCGCGGCGGCGGCTCGGGAGTGTCGCCTCTTACCCGTCCAAGCCCCTCGGGGAAACGCGACGCGGAAGGAAACCTCGTTGTAAGCACGCCGGGGCGCTTCTCGACGCTAGGAGTCAGCCCGCACGGGCCTCTTCAATTGGCGGAAGGAGGCGGCGGCTCCGGAGACAGCGCGCACCTGTCTATCAGCCCGGAGGCGGTTTTGGCGGCGGAGCTTTCGAAGATCGGCGTGTCGCCTGCCGTCATTGCCGCCGCGGCTAACGCGTCGGCTCGCAATGTAGGAAGCGGCATGGCGGATGTTTCCGCGCAATGGGGAAGGGGAGGGCTAAACCCTAAAGCGAGGACGGGGAGCTGGGGGGGGGAAACGGGCAAGGAAGGGGGGAAAAGACACGCTGGCGCTGGGGTGTTTGCGGGGACAGCGGGTCTGGCGGGATTATTTCCGCCGCAGGACGACAGCCCGCCGGGGGGAAGCGGAAGCATTTCGAGCGGGCGCGGCAGCCAGGGGGCGCAGCAGCAGGCCGCGGGCGGGGGACACCAGCAGTCGCTGCAGAAGCAGGGATCTGGATCAGACTATTCCATGGACGGCCATACGGAAGGCCCTACAACGTTTGCCGGCAGTCCCGGCGCCGACGGCGCGGGAGGCGGAGGGACCGGCGGAAATGCCAACACGCACGGCCACATGGCTGGATACTCTACCAAACCGCGAAGCGTCGCGGAGCGCATGCGGAGGGAGAAAATCACGTCGCGACTTCAGAGCCTTAAGGAGGTGCTTCCTAAGATGGACGCTAAGACTGACACGTCAGCAATGCTGGAAGACGCGGTGGTGTACATTCAGTCGCTGCAGGCGCGGTGTAAAGCGCTGGAGCGACAGAACGGGGCTCTGTCGCAACAGCTGCGCGAAATCGGGGTTACACCAGCCGTTATGGGTAACCCTCCGTTTTATAACCATCAATAATAAACAGTATCATTCACGTTGCACTGTGCTGCACATACAGTACGGTACGCTGATTAGGTACATGGCCGTGTGGTGGCCGTGCCTTAACACATGCTCCATTCGTTCATATCATAGCCCTTCATTCTTGCCATTATTATTAGTTCAGGAGAGTTCGTTGCCCTTCATCTGTCTCTTATTGACCTGCCATGTGCAACATCTCTGCTTGTGATTGCATTTATTATACCTGTTCTTTCTGCATAATCACTATAGAGTGTCCCTTACTTCATTAAAGCCAGCAGGCAAAATAGTGACCCCCCCCTTCTAGTTGGGTCCAACTTGAATCTTCTTTTTTGCATAAGATAGAAATATATCGAGCTTCACAGCAACCGAGCAGGGCTGGTGTACCCAAACGTTTGGGCAGGAATCACGACCAATCAAGAGCATCGCCCCAATGTGCAGAGACACAAACGGGCCCATATGGTTTTCGCACAGTAGTGCGACTGTGTTCCGCCGCTCCCAATCAACAAACTGACCACCCACCCAACGTTTCCTAGAGCAACACAACACACACTGGATACGCCCTACCAAAATACTACGCAAACTTGACACGCCAAGCACACTCACACTCATATTGCCAACACCCAGCCGCATTCCTCTCGCACGCTGCCGTCCACAGCTAAAGACGTTACGGTAATTAGTCCAGCAAAAGTAGACGTCCACTGCATTCGACCGAGACTGGGGTCTGACGCGGAGGGCCGGCCGCTGGATCGCCTATACCTCCGCTATTCCCCGACTCTTCAGCTATTGTACGCATTGCATGGATACTATATGGTGACAGTCACACATACGCATAGGGTTTAGGTCGACGAAATAGGCGAGCGAAATGCTGCCTGTCTCTGTCTGACGGGCAGCATTCGCGCGCACGGCGGAACGCGCCTGTCTGACGGGCAGCAAACGACGAAATGCCCAACGGGCACGCGAAATGCCGTCTCTGTCCGACGGTTATCATTCCGCGCGCATGGCGGAATGCGCATGTCTGACGGGCAGCCACCGCGAAACGCGCAGCGGCCGCGCGCGGAATGCTGCCCGTCAGACAGTGACGCATTGCATGCGCGCGCAGGGCAGAGTGCGGCTGTCTGACGGGCAGCCCCCGCGCGAAATGCTCAGCGGGCGCGCAAAGTGTTGCCCGCTGGGACTGTCGGGAGGCATTCGCACGAAATGCACTACCGCGTCAGTCTGACGGGCAGCAGTCGCGCGAAAATGCTAATGTGCGTCAGCAATACGCGCTGCAGGCGCCTGAATAACGGTAAGGCTGACGTGCAGCAGGCGCATGACTAGCTGCGCCTCGCTCAGCTGGCCGGTATCCCCAACATTGACGTCAACATCCCCTGGTCCCACAACCGCATGCTCCCCTTTCACCATTCCCTGTTCCCCCATACCCCGTTCCCCCAATCCCTGCCCCCTCATTCCCTGTTCCCCCATTCCATGTCCCCCGATTCCCCGTCCCCCCATTCCCTGTTCCCCCATTCCCTGTCCCCCGCTCCCTGCTACCCCATTCCCTGTTTCCCAAACGAGCAGCTCGCCCAATCCCTGTCCCCCAAACCCCTGCCCCCCATTCCATGTTCCCCCATTCTCTGCTCCCCCATTTCCCTGTTCCCCCATTCCCCCCTCCCCCATTCCATGTTCCCCCCATTCCCTGTCCCCCCATTCCCTGCTCCCCCATTTGCAGTCCTGTCCCCTCATTCCTGGCTCCCCCATTCCCTCTTCTCCCACTCCTTATCCCCCACTCCCTTATCCCCCATGCCCTGCTCCCCCCTTCCCTGCTCCCCCATTCCCTGATCCCCACCATCCCTGCTCCCCCATTCCCTGTTCCCCATTCCATGTTCCCCCATTCCCTGCTCCCCCATTTCCCTGTTCCCCCGTTCCCCCCTCCCCCATTCCATGTTCCCATTCCCTGTTCCCTCATTCCCTGCTCCCCCATTCGCAGTCCCCCCATTCCCTGTTCCCCCATTCCCTGTTCCCCTATTCCCTGCTCCCCCATTCCTGTTCCCCGGATTCTCCGTCCCCCCATTCTCTGTCCCCCCATTCCCTGTTCCCCCATTCCCAGTTCTCCCATTCCTGCTCCCCCTTTCCCTGATCCCCCATTTCCTGCTCCCCCATTCCCTGCAAAACCCATTCGCAGTCCCCCCATTCCCCGTCCCCCCATTCCTTGCTCCCCCATTCCCCGTCCCCCCATTCCCTGCTCCCCCATTCCCTGCTTCCCCATCCCCCCATTCCCTGTACCCCCACCTCCTGTTCCCTCATTCCCTGTACCCCCACCTCCTGTTCCCTCATTCCCTGTACCCCCACCTCCTGTTCCCTCATTCCCTGTACCCCCACCTCCTGTTCCCTCATTCCCTGTACCCCCACCTCCTGTTCCCTCATTCCCTGTACCCCCACCTCCTGTTCCCTCATTCCCTGTACCCCCACCTCCTGTTCCCTCATTCCCTGTACCCCCACCTCCTGTTCCCTCATTCCCTGTACCCCCACCTCCTGTTCCCTCATTCCCTGTACCCCCACCTCCTGTTCCCTCATTCCCTGTACCCCCACCTCCTGTTCCCCATTCCCTGTACCCCCACCTCCTGTTCCCCAATTCCCTGTACCCCCACCTCCTGTTCCCCCATTCCCTGTACCCCCACCTCCTGTTCCCTCATTCCCTGTACCCCCACCTCCTGTTCCCTCATTCCCTGTACCCCCACCTCCTGTTCCCTCATTCCCTGTACCCCCACCTCCTGTTCCCTCATTCCCTGTACCCCCACCTCCTGTTCCCTCATTCCCTGTACCCCCACCTCCTGTTCCCTCATTCCCTGTACCCCCACCTCCTGTTCCCTCATTCCCTGTACCCCCACCTCCTGTTCCCTCATTCCCTGTACCCCCACCTCCTGTTCCCTCATTCCCTGTACCCCCACCTCCTGTTCCCTCATTCCCTGTACCCCCACCTCCTGTTCCCTCATTCCCTGTACCCCCACCTCCTGTTCCCCATTCCCTGTACCCCCACCTCCTGTTCCCTCATTCCCTGTACCCCCACCTCCTGTTCCCTCATTCCCTGTACCCCCACCTCCTGTTCCCTCATTCCCTGTACCCCCACCTCCTGTTCCCTCATTCCCTGTACCCCCACCTCCTGTTCCCTCATTCCCTGTACCCCCACCTCCTGTTCCCTCATTCCCTGTACCCCCACCTCCTGTTCCCCCATTCCCTGTACCCCCACCTCCTGTTCCCCATTCCCTGTACCCCCACCTCCTGTTCCCCCATTCCCTGTACCCCCACCTCCTGTTCCCATTCCCTGTACCCCCACCTCCTGTTCCCTCATTCCCTGTACCCCCACCTCCTGTTCCCTCATTCCCTGTACCCCCACCTCCTGTTCCCCATTCCCTGTACCCCCACCTCCTGTTCCCCATTCCCTGTACCCCCACCTCCTGTTCCCCCATTCCCTGTACCCCCACCTCCTGTTCCCCCATTCCCTGTACCCCCACCTCCTGTTCCCTCATTCCCTGTACCCCCACCTCCTGTTCCCTCATTCCCTGTACCCCCACCTCCTGTTCCCTCATTCCCTGTACCCCCACCTCCTGTTCCCTCATTCCCTGTACCCCCACCTCCTGTTCCCTCATTCCCTGTACCCCCACCTCCTGTTCCCTCATTCCCTGTACCCCCACCTCCTGTTCCCTCATTCCCTGTACCCCCACCTCCTGTTCCCTCATTCCCTGTACCCCCACCTCCTGTTCCCTCATTCCCTGTACCCCCACCTCCTGTTCCCTCATTCCCTGTACCCCCACCTCCTGTTCCCTCATTCCCTGTACCCCCACCTCCTGTTCCCCCATTCCCTGTACCCCCACCTCCTGTTCCCCCATTCCCTGTACCCCCACCTCCTGTTCCCCCATTCCCTGTACCCCCACCTCCTGTTCCCTCATTCCCTGTACCCCCACCTCCTGTTCCCTCATTCCCTGTACCCCCACCTCCTGTTCCCTCATTCCCTGTACCCCCACCTCCTGTTCCCTCATTCCCTGTACCCCCACCTCCTGTTCCCTCATTCCCTGTACCCCCACCTCCTGTTCCCTCATTCCCTGTACCCCCACCTCCTGTTCCCTCATTCCCTGTACCCCCACCTCCTGTTCCCTCATTCCCTGTACCCCCACCTCCTGTTCCCCCATTCCCTGTACCCCCACCTCCTGTTCCCCCATTCCCTGTACCCCCACCTCCTGTTCCCCCATTCCCTGTACCCCCACCTCCTGTTCCCCATTCCCTGTACCCCCACCTCCTGTTCCCTCATTCCCTGTACCCCCACCTCCTGTTCCCTCATTCCCTGTACCCCCACCTCCTGTTCCCTCATTCCCTGTACCCCCACCTCCTGTTCCCTCATTCCCTGTACCCCCACCTCCTGTTCCCTCATTCCCTGTACCCCCACCTCCTGTTCCCTCATTCCCTGTACCCCCACCTCCTGTTCCCTCATTCCCTGTACCCCCACCTCCTGTTCCCTCATTCCCTGTACCCCCACCTCCTGTTCCCTCATTCCCTGTACCCCCACCTCCTGTTCCCTCATTCCATGTACCCCCACCTCCTGTTCCCTCATTCCCTGTACCCCCACCTCCTGTTCCCTCATTCCCTGTACCCCCACCTCCTGTTCCCTCATTCCCTGTACCCCCACCTCCTGTTCCCTCATTCCCTGTACCCCCACCTCCTGTTCCCTCATTCCCTGTACCCCCACCTCCTGTTCCCTCATTCCCTGTACCCCCACCTCCTGTTCCCTCATTCCCTGTACCCCCACCTCCTGTTCCCTCATTCCCTGTACCCCCACCTCCTGTTCCCTCATTCCCTGTACCCCCACCTCCTGTTCCCTCATTCCCTGTACCCCCACCTCCTGTTCCCTCATTCCATGTACCCCCACCTCCTGTTCCCTCATTCCCTGTACCCCCACCTCCTGTTCCCTCATTCCCTGTACCCCCACCTCCTGTTCCCTCATTCCCTGTACCCCCACCTCCTGTTCCCTCATTCCCTGTACCCCCACCTCCTGTTCCCTCATTCCCTGTACCCCCACCTCCTGTTCCCTCATTCCCTGTACCCCCACCTCCTGTTCCCTCATTCCCTGTACCCCCACCTCCTGTTCCCTCATTCCCTGTACCCCCACCTCCTGTTCCCTCATTCCCTGTACCCCCACCTCCTGTTCCCTCATTCCCTGTACCCCCACCTCCTGTTCCCTCATTCCCTGTACCCCCACCTCCTGTTCCCTCATTCCCTGTACCCCCACCTCCTGTTCCCTCATTCCCTGTACCCCCACCTCCTGTTCCCTCATTCCCTGTACCCCCACCTCCTGTTCCCTCATTCCCTGTACCCCCACCTCCTGTTCCCTCATTCCCTGTACCCCCACCTCCTGTTCCCTCATTCCCTGTACCCCCACCTCCTGTTCCCTCATTCCCTGTACCCCCACCTCCTGTTCCCTCATTCCCTGTACCCCCACCTCCTGTTCCCTCATTCCCTGTACCCCCACCTCCTGTTCCCTCATTCCCTGTACCCCCACCTCCTGTTCCCTCATTCCCTGTACCCCCACCTCCTGTTCCCTCATTCCCTGTACCCCCACCTCCTGTTCCCTCATTCCCTGTACCCCCACCTCCTGTTCCCTCATTCCCTGTACCCCCACCTCCTGTTCCCTCATTCCCTGTACCCCCACCTCCTGTTCCCTCATTCCCTGTACCCCCACCTCCTGTTCCCTCATTCCCTGTACCCCCACCTCCTGTTCCCTCATTCCCTGTTCCCCCACCTCCTGTTCCCTCATTCCCTGTTCCCCCACCTCCTGTTCCCTCATTCCCTGTTCCCCCATCCTGTTCCCTCATTCCCTGTTCCCCCATTTCCTGTTCCCAGTTCCCCCATTTCCTGTTCCCTCATTCCCTGTCCCCCATTTCCTGTTCCCTCATTCCCTGTTCCCTGGATTCTCCGTCCCCGCATTCTCTGTCCCCCGAATCCCTGTCCCCAGATTCCCTGATCCCCCATTCGCTGCTCCCCCATTCCCTGGTCCCCACTTTCCCTACTCCCCCATTCCATGTCCCCCGTTTCCATGTCCCCCCATGCCCTGAGTGGGAAATCCTTGCTCCCCCATTCCCATGTTGTACCCACATGCCACGTCCCCCAATTCCCCTTTCCCCCATTCCCCTCTCCCCCATTCCTTTCTTCGGTATTCCCTGCTCCCCCATTCCCTGTACCCCTTTTACTGTCCCCCATTCCAACCTTTCCCATTCCCTGCTCCCCCATTCCGCCCTCCCCCATTCCCTGATTCCCCATCCCCTGATCCCCCATTCCCTGATCCCTCACACCCAGTACACGTCAGTTATGTCACCTTCTATCCAGCGTTCATGCATTCTTATGCTGCCCGACTCATTCGTCTGAAATCACTCTCACCTGCCACACCAACCCCCAGTTGCCTGTAAGAACCCCACTAAGATCGCTGTCACCTCCTCAACTGATAGCAGTGGGCCTATAAGCTACGTTCGTGACTAGATCTTCTTGCCAGGTTAGGCCCGCAACTCAACCGCCAAGCATTGAGGTTTAGTCGATCTCACTGACTACAGCCCTCTTGTGAGTAACACTGCCTCGTTCTTGCACTGAATGTTCAATCCAAGTACCTTCCAAGTTTCAATTACACGAGTCTTAGTCATTCTCCCACGGTATCTTTTGTGAAAAACACAATACTGCCATGTTCCCCCAGGTCCTGCTCCCCCATCCCCTGTTCCTCCAACCCCCGCTCCCCCATTCCCTGATCCCCACCATCCCTGCTCCCCCATTCCCTGTTCCCCCATTCCCTGTTCCTCGGATTCTCGGTTCCCCCCATTCCCTGTCCCCCGATTCCCTGTCCCCAGATTCCCTGATCCCCCATTCCCTGCTCCCCCATTCCCTTCTCCCCCATTCCCTGGTCCCCTCATTCCCATAACCCCCATTTCCTGCTCCCCATTTCCCTGTTCCCCCATTCCCGCTCCCCAATTCCCTGTCCCCCGTTTCCTGTCCTCCCATTTCCTGAGTGGGAAATCCCTGCTCCCCCATTCCTTGCTCCCCCATTCCCTGTCCCCCAATTCCCCCCTCCCCCATTCCCTAAACCCCCATTCCCCGATGGGGAAATCCCTGCCCCCCATTCCATGCTCCCCCATTCCCTGTCCCCACATTCTCTGCTCGCCCATTCCCCGTTACCCCATTCCCTGTTCCCCATCCCCTTTTCCCCCATCCCCCGCTCCCCCGTTCCCTGCTCCCTCATTCCCTGTTCCCCCATTCCCCGCTCCCCCATTCCATGTCCCCCGTTTCCCTCCAACCCATTTCTTGAGTGGGAAATCCCTGCTCCCCCATTCCCCGCTCAACTGATCCTCGTCCCCCAATCACAGCCCTCCCTTATTCCCTGATCCCGCATTCCCTGATGGGAAATCCCTGCCTCCCCATTCCATGCTCCCCCATTCCCATTCCCCACATTCTCTGCTCGCCCATTCCCCGTTACCCCATTCCCTGTTCCCCCATCTCCTGCTCCCCCATTCCCTGCTCCCGAATTCCCTGTTCCCCCATTGCCCTTTTCCCCATTCCATGTTCCCCCATTCCCTGTCCTCCCATTCCCTGACCCCCCATTCCATGTTATCTCATGCCCTGTCCCCCTATTCCATGTTCCCCCACGCCTTGTCCCATGCACAAGTACAGTAATATTTCACCATGTGCTGCCTTCACATTTCAGTCAATGCTGCCATTCCTTTATGCTCACAGCTGCTGTCACACTATACTCACTGCCTCCGGTTCAATACTCTTACTACTGCCTACGCATGTAGAGCTCTGTGGGCATTGTGTTCCACACACTGCAGACATTGAATTTCACTATGTGCTGCCATTCCTGGGTCCTCTCTGCTGTCATTCGTTGAATCTATCAGCAGCCAGATGTTTGCCCTTCTGTTGCCATCCCATGACACTGTTGCCATTCTCAAACATTCACTGAACCTAAAAAGTGAGTGTAATGGGTTTGCTGCCACTCCATGGCAAGCCGTTATACCACGCCAGTAGCTATCAATCTAAACCTATTGCCCCAAAATTTGTCTCTCAGCACAACCCCCCTTTTCCACCCCCCCTCCTATTGCCCATCATTCATTACACTACACGAGAACGATTCCTACGTAGGGCTGGCCCAAGATGTCTAATACAGAGGGTGAGGTCGGTACTTCGAACACGTCGGTGAGGTTGGCCCTGAATGGTATGCTAAACAAAAGGAAGCTTTCACTTAGCGGCCATTTGACTGCACCATGGGCCATCCTACGATGCGTTGTGTTGTGCGGTTGTTTCCATTCCACAAGTGGTTCTCAAGTAAAGAGTCAAAGCGTGTCGAACACACATGTGCATGCACTGGCTATCACTTGTATGCCTTGTATGTGCGCTTACTTATCTCGCTGGATGTTTGAGCACTGCAAGCGTGGGCAGGAGGTTGTTTCAGAAGACAAGTAGTTTTCAACTAATAAGATTGTAGTCTATGCGTGTCTAATACACATGTGCATTCACTGGCTATCAATCGAATGAATACGCATAAATCCCGCAACACCATCGCATTCAAAGTCGATCACTTCGGGTATCGGACTGTAGTCGTTGAACCACAACACGTCGTCCCTCCCACATCCCGTGTAATATCCCCCCGATGATGGCTCTGGGTACAGGGAGGCAATCACAACGTATATCAGCCACGGAAGCACGACCTGGTCACTAGTGTCCTCTCCCAACAAATCTGAATACCCCACGTAACATCGGAAACGGTGGTTCTTAGGCTCTACCTCCACGTCGTCCACACCCACATCTAGGTTTGCGCCACACGCAACTCGTACCACATTCTCCACTGTACGTTGGGTTGCAAAACTACCTACAGTATCTTCAAAGGGGAAGGATAACCAGCTGGCCGCCCACTTCTGCAAGACATCATACTGTTTTGGGACACGCCTAGCAAATTCATTGATCGTCAGCAGAACGCAGGATTCACAATGATTGGGGGCAGGCCGGAGCGTTCCCGGACCCGTCGAGTCATCCTCGGCGCTGGTCTGCTCGAAACACTGCTCGTAGACTCAACCACTTCCAATGAATTAGGAGCACTCTCCCGCTGCATCTCTTCCTCGGTCTCCTCACTATCATCCTGGTACGCCATGCGTACCCCTTCCGGCCGGCGACGCATGAGAGCTCGACATCGCGGCCTGCTCAAAACAGTGACAAGGATGAATGAGCGTGGGGTAACAAGATAACTAGCAATCAGCGATGTTTCCAAAGGGAGCAGGTGCTGCAGGCGTAGTAATGGGAAATAGGAATGGCTTACCTAACAGGCTCCCTAGTACGGACGCGCTTAGCTGTGCCCCTGCCCGTCCCTGGTCGGTGCGACATTTGCACCCTGCCCTCACACTGATGGCAGGAGGGATTGGTAGACTGGTTTGAAAGGGTGGGGAAGGGCGACGAGCATGGAGAGGGTGGCTGAGCGCTCTGTGTGCCAAATCTTGCAGTGCAACAGGACAAAGAATGGGGCACGGACAATGTGCGGCAGTTGGGAGACAACGTTGCTGCAACATGGGGACATGCTAATACATGGAGTGGGTGCAGACGCGGACAGACAGCGGTCATATAATAAGACGGTAGAACTCACATTTATGTGTGATGCGTGGGAATACGGGCTTGACAACTCAGGGTTGGAACAGGGGGGCGAGGGGGCACGACGAGCACGGAAATGAAAGAGCGTGGGATCGGGGACAGGACAGAGTGCAACACGAGGGTGGGACAGGGGTAACAGATCGTTGAGAGGAGGGAGGGAAGGGAGGGAGGGGAGTGCAAGGGGTCGAGGGAGGGCAAGGAGGGGAGAGAGGGCTTTGAAGGGATAGAGGGCTGGGAGCCAAAGTGGGGGAGGAGAGGTTCCGGAGTAGCATTTGTGACCGGTGGAGGGTTGAGAAAAGGAAGGCGGAGGGGGGAGTAAGGCAGTGTGGGGCGTGAGGGAAGTCGGAGCGGAGAGGATCTGGAGACGAGAGAAGGTCTAGGGAAGGGAGGGGCGCGGAGAGTGTTGGTGTGATGCACCTGGTTCGTCTATGAGAGTGTTGATGTTACACCCCCAGGAGTGGCGCGGCGGCGGCGAGTGTCGCGGATTGGAGACTTTGAGCAGAGAGGTGCAGAGGAGCCGATGCGTAGGGCGCTGTGTTGGCGAGGGGAATTAGAACAGGGAGGGGAGATCGGACAGAGAGAGGAGAGGGAGCAGATGGAGTTTGGAAGAGAGAATGGTAATATGGAGAAGGTGATTTAGGCGCGAGTGGACAGTCGACATCGTAGCACGAGAGGGCAAGGGGTGGAGCATGGAGGTAGCTGCGTGAGAGGGCACATGGAGTGATAGGGGGAAGAAGGGTGTAGACAATTGAGGGAAGTGGGAAAGCAGGGATTATGGCATGGAGTGAAGTTACGAGGGAAACCCGGCAGTATGGAAGCGAGGCCACGGGGGGAAGTAGGGGGAAGGGCAGAAACGGGAAAAAGGGTAGTTAGGGTGTGGAAAGGGGGAATAGGGGTGTAGGGTAGTGATGGAAACTGTGTTTCTTAGGACGTTAGGTGGAGACTGCACTATGCATGAAGCAGGGTGTAAGGTGGAGCGGTGAAAGGGCGAATAAGAGTAAGGCATAGAGAGTGGTGAGGCGGAAGCAAGGAGTAGGGAAGAGTGGGGAAGGGGGAAGACGGGTGGTATACAGAGGGGAAAAGGGGGATGAAGGGTGTAAGGCAGAGAGGGTGGAAAGGCAGAAGAAGGGGGTATGGCTGAGTGGGTAATATGGGAAGGAGGACGTAGGTCAGAGGCTAACGGGGGAAGAAGGGCGTAATACGATGAGAGGGGAAAGGGGGTTGACGGGTGTAAGGCAGAGAGGGGTGAGGGGGAAGAAGGGTGTAGGGACGAGAGGGAAAAGGAGGAAGGAGGGTGTATGGCACCGTGGGTGGAAACTTTAATGGAGGGGGTAATGCAGTGTCGGTAGAAGAAGATGAAGGGGGTAGCAGCGGGAAGCAGGGCGTTAGGCAGAGAACTCATGGTGCAATAAGAAAGTGTAAGGAGAGAGGGGGAAGGGAGAAGAAGGGCGTAAGGACGAGAGGGGGAAAGGGGAAGAAGGGTGTTCGGAAGAGAGGGAAATGGGGGAAGCTGCGCCTAAGGCACCGGGGATGGTAAGGAGGTAGATAGGGGTAAGGCAGAGTGGAGATAGGGGGAAAAAGAGTGCAAGGCAGAGAGCTGGAAGTTGGAAGTGAGGCGATGGGGGGAGGATGGGTGAATGGCGGAGAAGGGAAATAGGTTTCATAGGGTGTATGGTAGTGAGGAAAAAGGGGGATGCACGGTGTGTGGGGCTGAACGCATGGTGGGGGAAGTGGGGTGTAAGGAGGCAGGGGAATGGGGGAGTCAGAGAGAAAGGCAGAGAGGGGACGGTGGGGAAGAAGAGTGTAGGGAAGAGAGGGGAAACGGGGAGGAAGAGCGGTTGACGGTGAGGGGATAGGGGGAAGCAGGGGGTAAGCTAGAGAGGGGGGAATAGGGTGTGTGGCACCGAAGACGGGCGAAAGGGGACAAAGGGTGTTGCGTACAGAGGGCGCGTCATGGGGGCGGGGTCAAGGAGAGTCGGGGGAATAGCAGAGGGGAGGAAGGGACAGACCTGGATAGTCCCGTGGGGAGGATGGGGGGTAGATGGGTATAGCCGGGGGGAGTACGATTGCTAGAGGTGGGTATCAGAGGGTAGTAAGTGTGAGAGAGGGGGATAGCCAGGCGGAGCAAGGGAGAGAAAGGGGTATACCCATGGGGACTTGGGGACACAAACGGGGTATAAGTGAGGTTAGCATTGAGGAGCGTGGGGTATAGCCGAGGGGAGTAAGGGACCGAAAGGGGTGTAGCAGAGTGGAATGAGGTAGATGGGGGCTTATTTGGGAGGGGGCTAAGGGAAGAAGGGGAAGACGGGGTGCTAAGCTGATATAAGAGTTGGGGAATAAGGATGGCGGGGAGGGGAAGTGAGGGAGAGGGGGACAAAAGAACACGGAAGAGTGGTGTAAGGGAGAAAGGGAGTAGGGAAGAGAGGGAACGGGGGGAATGAGGGCGCAAGGCAGATCGATGAGAGTTTGAATGTAGGCTGTAATGGCAGGGAGAGGAAGGGGTGAAGACGGTTGAAAGGTGGAGAAGGGAAGGGCAGGAGACGGGTAAAAGGCAGTATACCTGGGGAAGGGGGAGGAATGAAGCAAGGGAGAAAGGTGCAAAGGGTATGAAACGCAGAGAATAGGGGAAGATTGAGACGCGGCAAGGTGGGAAGGGAGACGCGGTCAGAGGGGAGGGGAGTGGTGTGGCCGCAGCGGTGAGTGCGAGGGGCTGTAGAGCATATGGAACAGGCCCCCGACAAGACCCCTCTCACATACCAAAGCAGGTTGTGTGGGGGGGCGTTTGAACCCCTTCGCACAACCGCGCCTTAGCAGCTGAATTCCTCCTCTTGCCGCCGATCTGTGTCGCTGCTCATACACACGTCGACGCGAGCCGCTGATTGCTATCTTCCACCCTGTCGTGAGGGGAAGCAGGGGGGAGAAGGAGGGGAAGCAGGGGGGAGAAGGAGGGGAAGCAGGGGGGAGAAGGAGGGGAAGCAGGGGGGAGAAGGAGGGGAAGCAGGGGGGAGAAGGAGGGGAAGCAGGGGGGAGAAGGAGGGGAAGCAGGGGGGAGAAGGGGGGAAGCAGGGGGAGAAGGAGGGGAAGCAGGGGGGAGAAGGAGGGGAAGCAGGGGGGAGAAGGAGGGGAAGCAGGGGGGAGAAGGAGGGGAAGCAGGGGGGAGAAGGAGGGGAAGCAGGGGGGAGAAGGAGGGGAAGCAGGGGGGAGAAGGAGGGGAAGCAGGGGGGAGAAGGAGGGGAAGCAGGGGGGAGAAGGAGGGGAAGCAGGGGGGAGAAGGAGGGGAAGCAGGGGGGAGAAGGAGGGGAAGCAGGGGGGAGAAGGAGGGGAAGCAGGGGGGAGAAGGAGGGGAAGCAGGGGGGAGAAGGAGGGGAAGCGGGGGGGAGAAGGAGGGGAAGCGGGGGGGAGAAGGAGGGGAAGCAGGGGGGAGAAGGAGGGGTAGCAGGGGGGAGAAGGAGGGGAAGCAGGGGGGAGAAGGAGGGGAAGCAGGGGGGAGAAGGAGGGGAAGCAGGGGGGAGAAGGAGGGGAAGCAGGGGGGAGAAGGAGGGGAAGCAGGGGGGAGAAGGAGGGGAAGAAGGGGGGAGAAGAAGGAATACAGTCAATGGGTATGCAGGGGAGAAGAAAGAAAGAGAGGGGGGGAAACAACGGGTAAGCAGGGGGAGTAGAATGAGTGGCAGCGGGGTAAACAATGGCTAAGACGACCAAGGCACCACGTTTCTGTCTACCCCCTCCGCTTTCCTTGATGCTGATGGGGTAAATTGGTTATTGGCAATGGGAGGGATGGGATTGATGTTTAAGAGAGATGGCAAAGGGGGAACCAGCGGGTAGGGAAAGGGGGGAGCAGGGAGCTCGGGGACAGGGCATGGCGGAGCAGGGAAGCCTTGGGGACAGGGAATGGGGGAGCAGGGGATGGGGGATCAGGGAATGTGGGAGCAGGGAATGCTGGAACGGGGAATGGGGGGACGGGGAATAGGGGGATTGGGAATCGGGGGACAGGGAACGGGGGAGCGGGGAATGTGGGAACAGGGAATGGGGGAGCGGGGAATTGGGGAACAGAGAATGGGGGAATAGGGCATGGGGGGACAAGGAATTGTTGTGGTAAGGGCATCGGGGGACAGGAAACTTGGGAGCGGGGAATGGGGGAATAGGGAATGGGGGAGCGGGGAATGGGGGAACATGGGATGGGGGAGCGGGGAATGGGGGTGAGGGAATGGTGGAGCGGGGAATTCTGTCTTAGGGAATGCACATTGGGAATGGGGAGCAGGGACTGGGGGAGCAGGGAATGGGGGAGCAGGGAATGGGGGAGCAGGGAATGGGGGAGCAGGGAATGAGGGAACGGGGAACGGGGGGACGGGGATTGGGGGAGCAACACATGGGGGGAAAGTGAATTGGGGAGCAGGGTATGGGGGAGCAGGGTATGGGGGAGCAGGGAATGAATCTCAGGGAATGGGGGAGCAGGGAATGGGGGAGCAGGGAATGTTCGAACGGGGAAGGGGGGAACCGGGAATGGGCCGCGCGTGCTGCCCGTCAGACAGTGGCGGGCATCATTCCGTGCGCCTGCTGCCTGTCAGGCAGGGATGTCCCTCATTTCGCGCGGTTGGGTGCTCGTCACTGTCGGACAGCCGCATTGGGCAGGGCTCGCGTATCCTGGCCGTCGGACAGTGACGTCTGACGGCCGTTTTTCGCATAGCGCGCGAATGCCGCCTGTCAGACAGACGCATTGCGAATTTGGCGCCTATACATCCGTCAGAAAATGACGGGCTGCATTTCGCGCATCTGCTGACCGTCTGACGTCTCGCGGACAGCATGTCGCGTCTGTGCTGCCCGTGAGACATGTCTAAAGCGGTGAGGGCGCGTACCTTGAGGCGCCCGCTGCTGGGGGATTGGGGAATGGGGGATCACGGAATGGGGCAGCAGGCCATGGGGGAAGGAGGAATGTGCGACATCGTCCACACCCTCAGCACGCTACCTCGCGGTTTCACTAAGAACGATACGGCCTGAAACTCATGGGCGTGCAGGCCGTCTGAACCCTAGTCATCACCATGGCGTGTTTCGCGGTTACCTGCGTTCCGCGGGATCGCTACCTGCTAAGTCGGCGGTTTCGATTTCGGTGCGCGAGGGTCGGAGGGAAGCGTGACGACTTGCGAGACTCCGAGGTGCGTGGGCAGGCGTGTTTGGCGATCTCCCTGACTGGTTTCTAAGCGCTTGTATTCAAGAGCGTACGTTTCGCGCATGAAGCGTTACGGCCAGGGCGATCGCAGCGCGGGACGCCCACAACGGCGGCGATCGTCGCGATTGCGAAACGCGAGAGGAGTGGGGATCGAAGGGGACGAGACAGGTGAGAAACGCGGATATACGCCCTGCAGGGTTTCTCAATAGAGGTGATGTGCACTCAAGGTCGAACTACAGAGTGTCCTACGGAATGTCTAAAGTGTGTCTGGAATAGGCAGAATCTATCCAGGCTCGGACCTGGGGCTACGTTCACGCTAAAGCCGGCCACGGAGCTTCTTTGTTCTCTCAGCTAACGATGGGAACTAGCGGGCCCGGAAAGGGTCGTGTAACCCAAGTCCAGCTTGAAATTCGAGTGGACCCAACTTGAAAGACCGCGCAGTCCATTGACGCTTGTGCCCGGGATTGTGACCCTGTTCACACGTAGATTGGTTTCCAGCGTTCCGTGAGTGACTGCATAGCCGGTTTGCGAGCGACGTTTGTCAGTTGCCGCAACCAATTGCAAACCTCTGCTCTGACTTCCTCAATCGCTGACCAATCATGTTGCTAAACAAGCTTGTTTCTCCCGTCAGATATGTCAGACCTAACAGTAAGTTTCCCCCCATTCCCGTGAGTGACCCATGCGGCCATTTCAAGCTGGGCCGGGGGTCACAATTTTTCAGTCTCGTTTTAAGCATCTGATGTGGCGTATGATGCATTAGCCATTAGCATTGATGTGCTGTCAGACAAAGGAGACAAGAGCCCATATAGGTGCACCCTGGTGTATGGTATTCCTCTATATACGTCATTAATCATTATAATTTTTAAACACACATGTAGTGTTTTTTAAAATTGTGTATTGTGAAAGCGAAGCTGCTTGTACTGCACAATTGGCATCGTCGAAGCGCGCTAAACGCCCTTCTCCAACTACAAAAACCGTGGGTTGGAGCTCATTTCCCTCCACCCACGTTTCTCAATTTTCAAACGGCTCACTCAACATTTCCGCTCGAGTAGTTTTTCCCTCCAAGCTGGCTAGGATTAAATCGCTTCCTAGAGGCGAGTCACCCTCTACTTTACTCAGCGACATTTTCAACTTCAATCGCTCAACGATGGCACCTACGCCGACACTTAACAACGGGAACTCGTCAACCCCCGCTTCCGACTCCGACCGTAACGCCCGCGATTCTGCGGGCGAACGCCGTAACAAGCGTCGGGCAGAAGACGGACCGTCCGCCCCGACTGCAGTGGACAAGCTGCTGGGCGGGCTCGAGGTCAACAAAAACGCCGAAACCCAGCAGCACCCTTCGGTCCCTGTGGCGCCAGTGGCGCCTGTGGCGCCAGTGGCACCTGTGGCGCAAGTGGCGACGGGGGCTGGCGCGGCACACGCGACTGACGCCGAGCACACGCCAGCACCCGCTGCTGGACCGTCGCGTCAGCGCCAGAGGAGGCGGACTGCAGTCTCCTCGTCTGACGCGACCGCCGCCCCTGCGCTGACGCAGGCGTTGACCCCGGACCAGGTCAACGCGCTGCTGTCCCTTCTACAGCAGCAACCCGTCAGCGTTACAGCCGCGGAAACTGCACTACCCGCCGCATCTGCGTCGGCTAAAAAAGAAACCGCAAAAAAGGAAAAAGGCACGCGAGGAGCACGGACGAACCGGCATGATAACGACGCAGCGACCGCCGCTCCCCCTGCTCCAGCGGTCGACAACGACACCGACGACTCTGAAGATGAAGCCGGTGAGGCTCCCGTCAACAATGCTAATTTTATTGGCACGGAACACCTCCCCCCCCTCCCTTCTTCTAACCTTACCTTCTCGGCGGCAACCTTCGTCAACGACTCCGTGCGAGAGCAAGCGGAGCTGCTGGAGGACCTGCGGGCGTACCTGCTGCACGCCGAATACAAGGCGCAGCGCGGCGATCCGGCGGGCGGACTCGAACTCATCTCACACGCTCTCAACCTCATCGCGGGGCGTTTCGAGGTGCTTCAAGTGGAGGACGCCTCCGACTTCCGCACGGCGAAGCGCTTCAAGCTGTACCAGCAGAAGAGCCTGCTGACTTCTCGACCCTTCAAGCAGGCAGTCGCGGACATGGCGGCGATGGACCGTGCGGCAAGCGGATACGCTCGTGTCAACCGCGGCGGAAACAACGGGCCGATGCCGTTCTTACCCAAGCGAGGCCCCCCGCCCACGGCCAATTGCCGTGGGTTCCGAGGCTCATGCTTCCGCTGCGGCCAGCCGGGCCACGTGGCAAGTGCCTGCCCTCGGAACGGGCATGGCGGCCAGGGACCCGCTCCGGTGGTGTAGGAGCGGGCCATGGGACTAGGCGCTTGGGCGCTAGGCACGGTGCACTCTTGAGTGCGAAGACCGTGGGCAACCCTAGGGGTTTGCGATGGCAAGAGGCCAGCCCTAGTAAAGGGTGGGATAGGCTTTGGGCCTAGGAGAGGGAAGGGGAACAACAACCCCTCGGTCCCATATGTTTGGCCACTTGGTGGCATGATGCATGCTAGGAAAGCATTGCTATGTGTGTTGGTTGATTTAATAAAAACTACCTTCCTAAAGGCCTATGGTTTTGGCAAAGAGACTATGAAAATCAAGAGGAGGAAGAGAGAGAGAGAGAGAGAGAGAGAGAGAGAGAGAGAGAGAGAGAGAGAGAGAGAGAGAGAGAGAGAGAGAGAGAGAGAGAGAGAGAGAGAGAGAGAGAGAGAGAGAGAGAGAGCACAATGGACAACGGTGTCCATGGCCCTAGGCATCAGCCCCCACGCACTAAGGGCAGGCACAACCGTCCTACCAAGTGGACGACGGGACAAAAAAAAAAAAAAAAAAAAAAAAAAAAAAAAAAAAAAAGAGGAAACGAGGAGAAGAAGAGACATGCGTTGACATGCGTTAACACTCCCGACACATTCGTTGACATTTCATTCAATGGTTAATTCTCGTCACACCTTCGATCAATGGTTGCCCGTACATGTACATGCACACGCATGCTTTAACATGGAATACTCAACCCTTATACCACTTGGCCTCACATGTACAGGAGCACGACGGTGCGAGGCGGCATGCTACGACGATCCGTACGAATTTGCCGTTACAGACAGAACTATTACACACATGCGCGGTCGTCTCCGCGCGACATTTGCGTGGTGGAGCTCATGGTGCCCCAGCAGCCTTGTCCTCTCCGTCATCGCCAAGGGTTACTGGTTGCCATGGAGCCACGGCCCACCGCAACATTTCCACGATCGCAATCATGTCGGGGCAAACACGCATGCCACGTTCACACGTACCGCCATCCAAGAACTCATAGAGACGGGAGCGGCAATTCCGATGGCCGCAACGGAGCTTACGTGCATAAGTCCACTCAACGTGGTCGAGCAAAAAGACAAATGCAGGCTCATTCTTGATCTGAGGAAAGTCAATGCCAACTTGATCATCCCCAAGTTCAAGTACGAGGGGCTCAGCCGCGTCGCCGACCTGGCGCGCGTTGGGGACTGGATGTTCTCCATTGACCTCAAATCTGGTTACCACCACATCGACATCCACCCATCGTGCTGGAAGTTCCTTGGCTTTGAATTTGACAAGCGCACATACGCATTCCGTTCACTACCATTCGGCCTCGCGACAGCTCCATTCGTTTTCACGCAGCTCATTAAGCAACTAGCTCGGCGTTGGCGAGAACAAGGCATCCGAGTCGTCCCTTACGTGGACGACATCTTATTTCTCTGCCAGTCGAAAGACGACGCGCAAGCAACTTGCCAACGGGTGATATTGGATCTTAAAGAGGCAGGCCTTGTGATAAACGCGAAGAAATCACAACTGTCACCATCGCAGCGTCTCAGATTCCTGGGCGTAGAACTTGAGACCGATACCGGCCGATTCTCCATCGGTCCAGACCGACGAGCCTCACTACATGCAACCATCCGGAACCTCCTGAGCGCAAGCAAGGCATGCCGACCAGTCCCGGTCCGCCACGTGGCCAGAATCACTGGCATGCTCGCATCGATGGGTGTCGCACTTGGCGCGACCGCTCGCGCATTCAGCCATGCTATGTTACAAGTGATCAACGACGCACCGTCATAGAAAATCAGCGTCGTTATCCCCCCATCTGCAGCAGAAGAGCTCCAATTTTGGCTCGAGGAGTTCGACCGTTTCAACGGCGCACCTTTTCACGTCAAGAACAGCTACGACGCGGTAATCCATGTGGATGCCAGCTCTCATGGTTGGGGCGCCACTCTGACCACATTTCCGGGTGGCCTCGAAGAAGCTAGCGCGACCATGTCAGAGCCGCTACGAGGAACGTCTAGCACACGACGGGAGATCGAAGGCGTCCTTTGGGCGCTACAAACGTACGCGAACAAGATCAAGCAAAAACACGTTCTCGTGCGGGTGGACAACCAGGGCGTATTCTTCATCCTTCGCAAAGGCGGCTCTCACAGCCCCGACCTCACAACGGCATGCAAGAGCATCATCCGAACATGCATGGCGCTTGGCACGCGCTTGATCATTGAATGGATTCCGCGCGAGCTCAACACACACGCCGACGAGCTTTCAAAAATGGTCGACCACGACGATTACGCGCTGAAAACGCCGTGGTTCCGGATCTTGGAACGTCGTTGGGGTCCTCACTCCATCGACCTCTTCGCAAACTTCCGCAACACCCAACTGCCGCGATTCTGTTCGAAGATTCCCCACCCGGCAGCCATTGCAGTTGATGCATTCTCGATCGCGTGGACACCTGAAAACAACTTCGCCTTCCCCCCACCTCAACTGATCCCAGCCGTCCTCCATCACGCACAACGCACCCATGCATCACTCACACTGATAGTTCCGCACTGGCCAGGTGCAAGCTGGTGGCCACTCTTGCAACCCTCCCCACGCACTTGGGCACCATACATCCACGCGCACATCCCCCTGACACACGGAAGCCAATGCCTAGACGTAGGGTCCCATTCAACTGCTTTTTCGGGCATGGGACTACCGCACAGCCCAATCACTGCACTGCGAGTGGCATTTGACTAATTCAAAATATCTACACCTTGTGTTCAGATTTGCTCCCAAAGTTACACGACCAACTGATCAACATGCTCGCGCAGTCCCGCGCCGATTCTACGATCCGGACATATGAACCATACTGGGCCAAGTTTCGAGCCTTCTGCACAAAAGTGAACCTTCCATTCCTTCCGGCATCCGACATGACCCTCGCGCTGTACCTGGTACACGCAATCCGACGCAAAGCCACCCTGTCCGTAGTGCAGCTAACGTGCTCGGCGGTCAGCTTCGCTCATCGCATGACTGGGAGCAAATGCCCGACAACCGGACCGTTCACCACCCAAGTCCGTGACTGTGCAAAACGACACTGCCCTCGCCCTACTCGTCTGAAGGAACCCGTCTCGATCCAACAAGTCCGGGACATGGCCGCGAGTTACTTGCAGTCCGACGATCCTGCGCAATTTCAGAAAGGGTTGATCCCCATCCTCATGTACTCCGGATTTCTGCGATACTCTGACCTAGTAGCCATAAAATGGCAAGACATCCAATTCGACGACGAGGTCATGTGGATTCTCATACCACATTCCAAGACCGATCAAGCTGGTCACGGCACTTGGATACCCATTGCAGCAACGGCGGACCCCTGCTGCCCAGTGCGCTGCACCCGACGCTTCATCCGACTCGCTGGCTATGGTCCACGGTCAGAGGGACCATTGATTCGTGTCTTCGGTCACGGTTCAACCAGCGAGGGCCAGGCTAGGCCACCTTCTTACACTACGATCCGGAACTGGTGCAAGGAAGCCTTCGCAAAGGTTGGCCTTGGAGAGCTGCAGCTAGGCACCCATTCTTTCCGAAAAGGTGCAGCCACAGTAGCAGCCAACACGGGAGTGCCAGATAGAGTCTTCAAACGGCTGGGCAGATGGCGAAGCGACACAGCAAAGGAAATGTATGTTACGCCATACGTCGAGCCTCTTATCGAAGCCTCCCGTACCCTCCAAGATTCGACGCATGCGGTGTCATCGGCACAACACACAGAGGCACTCGTACGCAACCGAAGGCCCCCGCTGCCCATGTCTCAGGGAACCCATTTGTAATGAGAACGATGCCAATTGATAAGAAAGAAAGCAAGCTTTCTCAATATTATAATTTTTAAACACACATGTAGTGTTTTTTAAAATTGTGTATTGTGAAAGCGAAGCTGCTTGTACTGCACAATTGGCATCGTCGAAGCGCGCTAAACGCCCTTCTCCAACTACAAAAACCGTGGGTTGGAGCTCATTTCCCTCCACCCACGTTTCTCAATTTTCAAACGGCTCACTCAACATTCCCACCACCCACCCCAGAGTAAACCGCCTTGCTAATGCCACTTGGATAGGGTATATCCTAGCTAGCGTTATTAGTCCGCACTAGCTTGTGTCGAATGATGATACAAATGTTGTAATACGCCATTTGTAATGAGAACGATGCCAATTGATAAGAAAGAAAGCAAGCTTTCTCAATATACCGTATTAACTTCACACAGCATGAAGAAACAATTACTTAACGTGGTGGTCTTATTGATCAAAGAGCAATTTCCAGGCATCAAGGTAAAGGTCTAGACCAGGCCTCTCGTTATCAGGGTAAAATACCCTTTTTGCACTGACTGGCGGCCGCTTTTTTTCAGTTACCCTTTCACAGGCAGGGTAGTGGATTTTTTACCCTAGGCCAGAAAGTGTAAGATTTTTAATACCCTTTGAAAAACAGCGTAACGAACATATTTCTCTGACTGTACAGTGTACAAGCCCAGTTACACTGATCCGAACAGACCGTAGCGAGACGAAACACTGTAGCAAAACCCTCCCGACAATTAGACTCGAACCAGCGACCTTCTAGATCTAACTCGGAATCCAACCAACTGAGCCAACAACTATGATACCTAGTGCGTTAGTATCATAGATGTATGTTTATCGTGAAGCAGACTTACAATTTTTTTACCCTGCATTTGTCAGGGAAACAAAAAAATTACCCTGAGCATCAGGGTTGACTATACCTAGGACCCTGATTACTAAGGGTCGCCCAAAACGAATCTGAAGGCCTGGTCTAGACTCTTATACTCTCTCTGTCTCCTCTTCTCTCCCCAACCCTTACACATACCGTACTTAGGGCGTGTTTCTACAGCCTCTTATCAGGCAAACCTCTTGTCAGATTCGCCGCGCACCGCACTGAAACACACAAAACATCTTTGGATCGCACTGAAACGCATTGAACCGCACAAGTCTGACAAGAGGTCGCCTGTTCAGGGGCCGTAGGAACACACCCTTACACTTGCATCACAGAGTTACTTCTTTTTGGGAGGAGGTGGTCTTTTCGGAGGGCGTGGGGGGGGTCGTGGTGGGGGGCGTGGGGGGGGCCTTGGAGGAGGACGGGGTGGGGGCCGGGGAGGTGGCTTTGGGGGGCGAGGGGGAGGGGGCCGGGGGGGTTTAGGAGGAGGGGGGCGGGGGGGTTTAGGAGAAGGGGACCGTTTGGTGGGAGGAGGAGGAGGAGGGGGTGACTGTTCCAACCATGCAACCTCTGCAATGGAAAAATTTCCGGGCTGCCCGGACTTGATGTACCCGACCTGCGCCGAATCTCCGGGCAGCATGGGCAGGAGATTTGCCGAAACCCGGTACAGCGTCACAATTTTCAAGCTGCCCGAAGAGCTGTCGGTGGAGCTGCCCGCAGCGGAAAGACCCCAGACACTGGTGATAGGCGGGTCGTCTACGGGCAGGGTTACGGATATGGTAACCGCAACAGCAGTGCGGGTGGAAGGGTTTGAGATGGTGATGTTGAATGCTGCAGCATCAGGAGGCCATTCGTACAGCAGGCTTTGCTCGAGTGAGAGAGAGGCAGAGGAGGGAGGAGGAGAGGCAGGAGGGGGAGCAGCAGCAGGAGGGGTGTTGGCAGGAGGAGGGGGGAATTTGGTCTGCAGCGGGGGAGGAGGGCGCGGGGGAGGTGAGGCAGGGGGAGGGGGAGACGAGCGAGGAGGAGGAGGCGGAGGAGAAGAGGAAGGCGGTTGAGGGGGAGGAGGAGACGCGCCATTTACACTTGGCGCAGGGGGTGCATTCGAGAAATACCCCAGAACGCTAAACTGCGGCGTGACTGCCTTCTCCTGTATGAACCCAAACGTCGCACTCCCACCCGGGCCCAGGTTCCGTGCCCAGTCCGGGAGAGCGCAGGCTACAGGGTCGATGTTCCAGTACTGTTGCGGCTGGAAGGAGGAGCAGAGCAGCGAGATGGCTGTGACGGGGTAGAGAGGGTCTGTATTGGTGAGGATGCACCCCCACTGTGCCACTTCCTTGCCGTCTGCTGTCCATCCCCCTGAGATGGTGCAGGTGACTGTGACTTGCGAGGCTGGAGGGAGGGGAGTGAAGGGAGGGTGGGGATGGGGAGGGCGAGATGAGATGAGTAAGACGCACCCCCACTGCGCCACGTCCTTGCCGTCTGCTGTCCACCCTCCTGAGATGGTGCAGGTGACCGTGACTTGCGAGGCTGGTGGGGATTGGGGGAGGGTGGGAGGAAAGGAGGGAAGGAAGAGAAGGGAGATGGCTGTGACGGGGTAGAGAGAGTCTGTGTTGGTGAGCACGCACCCCCACTGTGCTACCTCCTTGCCGTCTGCTGTCCATCCGCCTGAGATGGTGCACGTGACCGTGACTTGCGAGGCTGGGGGGAGAAACAATGGGGTTGGAATGGGCGGGGAAGAGGGAGTTAGGTTCAAGCAACCCCACCAAGGGAGTGGGAGAAGATACAAGATGAAGAAAAAAAAAAAAATTAGAGGGATGTGTTCCCATGGCAGTAACTAAGGGAAGCATACCTGGAGGAGGGGGCGATGGCGGGGGCGAGGGCGGGCTGGGCGGAGGCGGAGGGGGCTTGGGCGGGCGGGGGGGAGGAGGGGGAGCAGGAGGAGGGGATGGCGGAGGGGGAGGGGAGGGCGGAGCAGGGGGAGGCGAGGGGCCGGGGGGGAGAGCGCCGGCAGCAAGGCGAGCGAGAGCACCAACGGCAGCAGCGTTGGTGAAGAGGGATGGCTCGTTGAAGGCTGCCTGCAGCCTGTCGTCCATGAATGCATCGTCCTGTGAGGGTGGTATGGGGTGGGGAGGTGCAAGTGGAGAAAGGATATGGTTGAGGAGGTGGATCAAGGAAACACACACACAGGCATACTCGGAAGGCATTTCAGGGGGGGGGATGTTCACGGGTGGTTCACGGGTGGTTCACTTACCGCATCAGGGCCCCCCACGATCGCTCCCACGTGCACGTTGGGGTTGGGGTCTGGACTCATGAGCCAATCCGCCTTGCCACAGCTGCCATGCCAAGATGATGGCAGGATGAGCACACGGGCTTACCACATCAGCAGTAGTGCTTCACTTACCGCGTCAGGCCCTCCAACAATGGCCCCCACGTGCACGTTGGGGTTGGGGTCTGGACTCATGAGCCACTCTGCCTTGCCGCCCTCACAGGTGACCGGTGTGCTGTCCGCTTTGAACGAGACGATGGACGCCCCCCGGTGGCGCAGCTTCTGTGGGTAGGCCTAGCATGTCAGCACTAGGGGGGTAACTCACCGCGTCAGGGCCCCCCACGATCGCTCCCACATGCACGTTGGGGTTGGGGTCGGGGCTCATGAGCCACTCTGCCTTGCCGCCCTCACAGGTGACCGGCGTGCTGTCCGCTTTGAACGAGACGATGGACGCCCCCCGGTGGCGCAGCTTCTGTGGGTAGGACTGGCCGAAGCCCACCATGTAGGACGCGTTGAGAGGGTTGACTCCTAGTAGGTAGTCCATCTGGAGGGAATAGGGTGAAGCAAGTGGTGGAGAACGTTTAAGAGGAGTTGAGAGGGTTTACACCTAGCTGATAATCCATCTGGAGGGCGGGAGAGGGGTGGCTGGAAGAGAGGGGAGTGGAGGAGAAAGTAGGGGAAGGAGAGTACGACAGGCAGGCATAGGCTTGTAGGCATTTCAACACTCAAAGCTGACCGCGTAGGACGCGATGCTATCGCACGTAGGACGTATCACTCTATCAAATCCCACCTGTGACTGTACCGAATCCCACCTGTGACTGTACCGAATCCCACCTGTGACTGTACCGAATCCCACCTGTGACTTTGAGAAGGCTGCCATGTCAGCAGGCGAGTACTGCGTGCCGTCGCACGAGAGCGTCTGATTGGCCGACGCCAGGTAGTCGCTGTAGAGCAGCAGCAGGAACGCGGCTGACGTGGCGTACTGGCTGTTGCGTGCTCGAATGTACACCAGCCCGCCTGCAGAAGGAGGGAAGGGCGGATGCAGGGAAGGGCGGATGCAGGGAAGGGAAGATGCAGGGAAGGAACTCTTGATAACTGGACTTTTGAAGCTTCTAAGGGCTCTTGCGCGCTCGAATGTACACCATCCCGCCTGCAGAAGGAGAGGGGGGGATGAAAAAGCAGGGAAGGACGGATGACCAGGGAGAAATCATTTCCAAGAGCGGCTAAGGGGGGGGTGAGAGAGGGGGGGAGAATGGGGGGAGAGAGGAGGAGGGGGGGAGAGAAAGGGGGAGAGTGGGGGGGGAGAGTGAGGGGGGAGGAGTCATGGCCATATACAGGGACGAAGACGGCCAGATCCTTACCCGGGGTGATGTAGATGGAGTGCAGTGGGTTGTCGGGCATGTATGCACACGCAAAGGCGTCCGCCATGCCACGGTGTGTCTTAGTGTACTTGAATTGAGGGCCCCACCTGGTGTGATGTAGATGGAGTGCAGTGGGTTGTCGGGCATGTATGCACATGCAAATGCGTCCGCCATGCCTCTGTACCCCTCCACCACCGCCTGTGCCGCCACACTCAGATTAGCCGCCCCGCTGCCTTGCAGTGCCACCTGTGCCGGGAGACATGGCGCAGGGAGGGGCGGAGGAATGGAGGGACGGAGGGTGGGTGGGCAGAGAGATGCGCGGTACCCCTCCACCACGGCCTGTGCCGCCACGCTCAGACTAGCCGCCCCGCTGCTGCCCCCTTGAAGTGCCACCTGCGAAGAGACATGGCGCAGTGAGGGACGGAGGGTGAAAGAGTGGGAGGGTAGAGAAGAGAGAATCTCTTCACACCCCTACCACCGCCTGCGCCGCCACGCTTAGATTAGCTGAACCACTGCTGCTCCCTTGGAGTGCCACCTGTGGAGATACAAGAAGCACGGAGGGACGGAGGGACGGATGGAGTGAGAGCAGGTGTGGAGGATGGGTGAGCGAGGGGCACACATCATACAGTGAGAGGCGTAGGCACGGTCAATGATACGCATTGTTACTGGCAGGCACCAACCCACTGACCACCTTGGGTGGTTAAAGGCCGTACCTTAGCCAGCAGCACTTGCGCCCCGACAAACTTGTCGTCCCAGCTGAACTCCGTGGTGCTCTGCGACGACCCCTGCAGCTGCTCGTCGTTCCCCGCCAGGTACTCCAGGTACTGAGTTGACCCCGTTGCTCGGTGCAGCCATGCCGCCGCCCACGCCAGCTCGTCCTGCCGTTGGGAGATTGGGAAGGGGGAAGGAGAAATGAAAGGCGTGTGTTTACTATTGCCCGTGCTGCTCGTCGTTCACCGCCAGGTACTCCAGGTACTCCAGGTACTCCAGGTACTGCGACGACCCCGTTGCTCGGTGCAGCCATGCCGCTGCCCACGCCAACTCGTCCTGTTGTGGGCACGTTGGGAGGAGAGGAAGCGTTTGACTGCATTGACCGCGCTGCTCGTCGGTTGACACGAGACAGTACTGGGAGGTGTGGTGCTAGCGGTTAGATTTCCACACCACTCTTTCTCACCTCGTATCCGGTCCATGAGGGATAGTTCCGTCTCGCAATGGGGATAGAATCGGAATACACCCCGCGATAAGTGTCCGCAAACGCGAACAGCTGCTGCGAACGGTTCAGTAACAGCGACGAATACGACGGATCCACTTTCGCGAACACCAGTGACGCCGCCGCCATCGCCGCCGCCGTCTCCCCTGCCACGTCAGACCCCGGCCGCGTCGCGTTCACGCGGTACGCGGTGCGGTCCGTCGTCATGTCCTCGGGCCGCTGCCAGCACAGGTCGTCGCTCGGACCGTCGCCTACTTGAACCCAGAGCTCGTTCGCGCTCGTGTGCGCTTTAAGGAGGTAGTCCGTCCCCCAGCGAATCGCGTCGCGAGCCGCGGAGAGCTGGCTGCCTGACGCGGCGAGCTGCGATTGGTAATCGACCGCGGCCCAGGAGAGCAGCGTGAGGGAGAAGGCCAGCGGCAGGCCGTACTTAACGTTTCCCGCGCCGTCATAGTAGCCGCCGACCAAGTCGACCTGCGCCGCGGATAGAAGGGGGAATGGGAGGGAACGGAAGGACGGGAAGGAGCGAACGGGGAGGGAAGGAGAGGACGGGAATAACGCAGGGTGGATCAGAGTCAGGTGCGCTGATGGAACGGACGGACATGATCGATCGATGGGGAGCTGCGAGCTTCTAGTAGGATCGCGTGCCGTTGTCAAGATTCCATCGCCTCACCTTCTGCGCTTTGCCGTCGGTGAGAGCGGAGTCGCCGCGCCACGTCGTCCTGGTCTTGATCGCGGCGCCCGAGAGGTTTCCCGACCGTTGGCCGTCGAAGAACAGAAGCGCTTTCGACAACGCGTCGCGGTAGTCGGGAGCGGCTGTTACGGTGGGGCTAATAGCGAGACAGCTGATGACGAGGATCAGGAGGGCTTCGTGCGCAGGCACAACGAAATGCGAGGACTGTTGACGCCTTCGAAAAGGTTTTCGGGTCGTCGCTGGCCAGCCTCCACGGGCTCGCGCCCGAAAGGCCGCCATTGGCGCGTCTATCACTAGCGGTTGCTGATACTATACTACATGAACTGCCATTGCGCAAGAATTCCCGCACCGTATGCTCCTCCGACGTCCCTGATGTCCAGAAGTACCCAAAAGGATGCCTGATATCTAGGAGGCAGTGCTGATAAATCGCCAGAAACCGTCGCTCTTGGGCTTACCGTACCTTGTCAAGGCAGCCTCGAAGTTGGTTGGTCTCGCCTCCCTCTCCGTTTTCGCGCGAACTTATGAATGTTTTGGCTGTGGGCAGACATGATGTCCTGACTTCTGAGTCCGCACAATAGCATTTGTCGTCGGGTTGCAATTCAAGTGTGAGGGCAGCTGGTTGACCTACCCGAATCCAGCTGCACAAAGAAACATTTCTCAGATTGCTTCGGGCGCACTGCTGATTGCCCGCCTGCGTCCCTGTCTGATTGGTTCCTGAGCGCAACAAGTTCCTAATCCCTGACCGCGACTCCGACTTCTGGTGGGGGTGTGACGGCGAGGGTCAATTCGCGCGAACACTGTAGCCGACACATTTTCTGACGGCGCAATGCTGTGATTGGGGGAAGGGTTGAAATGGCAAAACCTCGATATTGTTCATGCGTTCCGTTTACAGATATCCAAAAGAACATGGAGGACACCTAGTGTATACTTTATAAGAAACACCTACGTGTATCCAAAATAGTTTCGTAGCGGATATGTGTCTCCACCGCACAGTAAATTCCCAAGGAGACTTGGTTCTGTTGGGGACATGCACCCTGCGCTTTTCCCCCCTTCCCTTGGCTTGGCGTCTAGGGCCAGTCAGGCGTCGCTCTACCTCCACGCCTAACCCCTTCGGGCGGCAATATTTAGACATTCAGCCCTTCGACACCTAACTCGCTGCAGAGTCGCGTCCTAAGTCGCCCACTTCGTCTTGTTCAGGATAATCGGGCCCGTGTCGCACCTCGCGCTACGTCAGCAAAACCCCATGGCCGCTTCCTCACTTGGCTGCCACGTGGCGCTTTACCGAGCTCAACTGTTGACTTCACGCGCTGAAGCTGCCCATTTAAATTCGTCCACCCCGACAATGTCGCGCTGCTTCGCGCTTCAGAAGCCCTACTCGCGCGTTCCGCTCAACCCGCTCACACCCGCGCGCGCCGCGAACTCGCGACTCGTCCCGCGCGCTCTTGAAGGAGCGGTGATCGCGGAGGAAGGCGAGAGCTTGAACGGCGGCGTCGTCGCGTTCGACGCGGAAGAAGCGGCGGGAAACGGCGCAGCGGCGATGGCGGAAGACGAGAACGTGTGGGAGAGGGAACCCGAGGGGCGCGGAGTTTCCCGCCAAATTGTGGGAGTTTTGGGCGGCGGACAGCTAGGTCGGATGTTATGCGAGGCGGCGTCGCCTTTAGGGATCAAGGTCGCGGTTCTTGACCCGCTCCCAGACGCGCCAGCTCGTCCAGTGGCATTCCGCCACGTGGTAGGAAGCTTCCAGGACATGGACACCGTGCGAGAATTCGCGAAGAAGTGAGTCGAATCCGTCGCGATAATTATTAACTTACAATCATCTGTCGGGTAGAACTGATTAGTCTACATTCATTCGACAGCGAACTGCACGCGCACAGCTTAGTTCTCCTTCCCTATGACATGCAGTTCATCAAGATCCGTCCGTTCTCAGATGTTGGAAAGTGCGTGGTTTTCTTGTCCTCGTTATAAGCAGGAGCGACGTGGTGACAGTGGAGATAGAGCACGTGAACGTGGATGCGCTACAGCACCTGGAGGACGACGACTGCATCGATATCGAGCCCAAACCCTCTACTATCGGTGTCATTCAGGTGAGTGTGACTGTAACGAGTGTGACTGTGATGGTCGTGGATGCGCTACAGCACTTGGAGGACGACGACTGCATCGACATTGAGCCCAAGCCCTCCACCATCGGTGTCATCCAGGTGAATTGTGGTTGTAACGAGTGTGACTGTGATGGCCTTTTAGACACGCTACAGCACCTGGAGGACGACGACTGCATCGACATCGAACCCAAGCCTTCCCATCGGCGTCACTCAGGTGAGCGTGACTGTAACGAGAGTCAAGTATGAGCACCTGTCAAACACGAATTTCCCAAGTCTCCCCAACCTCGTTCACCCCTCCCTCACAGCTCCTCTTCGCGTTCCTCTTGCCTCACCTCACTCCCTCATCTCCCTCCCGCTTCCCCCGTTCCCCCTTATGCCTACGGCCGTCAGGATAAGCACCTGCAGAAGATTCACCTAGGGCTCCGCTTTTTTGGAAAGTCTCAAAAAACGGTTTCCAATTGGTGCACACCCCTCCCACCCCTGTACCCCCCCCCTCTTCTCCCGCGTCCTTCCCCCCACCAGGACAAGTACCTGCAGAAGGTTCACTTCAGAAATCGTGGCGTGCCCCTCCCAGACTTCGTGCCGGTTAGTCGCTCTCCTTGCCCTCTCCTTGCTCTCTGCCCTCTCCTTGTCCTCTGCCTGCCCTCCTCTTGCTCTCCTTGCTCTGCTTGCCCTCTCCTTGAACTTTTTTTGCTCCCTTCTTCCTCTCTCCTTCCTCTCGTTTTCTTCCACTCTTAAGTCCCCCCCTAAAGCACTCTCTTCTTGCAAGGGAGGCATTCCTGTACCATTTTTTAGGCATCTTAAATACTCTCCCACGCCCCATCTCATGCCGTGCCATTGCATGTCCCATCCCATCCCATCCCATCCCATGCCACCCATCCCGCACCTTCAGGTTCCTGACATGGCGGCAGCAGAGGCGGCAGGGGAGGAGTTCTCTTACCCCTTCATGCTCAAGAGCCGCAAGAATGCGTATGACGGGCGCGGCAACGCTGTTGTGAACTCACAAGAAGACATTGAGCAAGCTGTCGCAGGTGGGTTGCAGCTCTTTTGTGCGCGCGCGCGCGCGTGTGTGTGTGCGTGTGTGTGCGTGTGTGTGTGTGTGTGTGTGTGTTTCTTTTTCCTCCGTAATATTTGTAGCAAGTGAGTCTTTGGAAGCTTTGGCAGGTCATCAGCTTTTAATCGTAGCTGGCCGCTTTGAGCTTGAGTATCCTGGTTTCAGCACACAGGGTCAAACGGTGTGGCCTTGAGCTGTACAACGAAACTCCTTGTTTTCTTTTTCCTCCTTCTGTCACACATTGTCATGTTTTTTGGCATTGCCACTTCCGTGTACCACCCTCACAGACCTGGGGGGTTTTGGGCGAGGGCTGTACGCTGAGAAGTGGGCTCCGTTCGTCAAGGTCAGCCTGTGTGTGTGTGCACTGCTTTGCTCTCACTCTCTCCCTCTCTCTGCTCCACATCGCACCTGATTGCGCCTCTCACTCATTGCACTTCGTTGTAGTCACTGCGATGGGGCGCATATGAGTTACAGCCGTATTCTCTTGCATATGCTTTATGTCTATACTCGTGTGCACGTGGCGTGGCAGGAGTTGGCAGTGATGGTGGCGAGAGGGCGGGACGGGGAGATCAAAAGTTTCCCTGTTGTCGAGACCACCCACCGGTGAGCGGTGGTGGGAGGTGAGAGGCGGTGTGATGCGGTGAGAGGTGAGCAGTGGCAAAAGCGGAGAGACGGTGAGAGGTGGTGAGAGGGGAGAGGCAGCAAGTGGTGAGAGGCACGTTTGCATGATTAAGGCATAATAGCCAAGGTGAATGACATGGGGATGCGTGTCTTTTGCGTGAATCAACCCTGTGACCTCGTCCACTTGTCCACTCTTTCGTTCCCTGGTGTCAACTCCCTTGTCAACTTCCATTGTCCCCTTCTCCTGCCGCCCGCCCCTGCGCTCACTAGAGACAACATCTGCAACACAGTGGTCGTGCCGGCTGGCGTGCCGCCCGCAGTGCAGCAGCAGGCGCTGCGAGTGGCCGAGCTGGCGGTCGGCTCGCTGGCCGGGGCGGGCGTTTTTGGCGTGGAGCTGTTTCTGCTGGCCGACAACTCCGTCCTGCTCAACGAGGTGGCGCCACGGCCGCACAACAGCGGGCACTACAGCATCGAGGCGTGCCATGTGTCGCAGTACGAGCAGCACCTCAGGGCCGTGCTGGGTCTGCCTTTGGGGGACCCGTCGCTTAAAGTGGGTGCTGCTGCCATGGTCAACATCCTGGGGGAGGCTGATGTGAGTGTGGGAGGGGGGGATGAGAGAGAGGTTTGGGGGAGCGAGGGTTGGGGGAGAGAGGGTTGGCATAGTTTTTTTTTGAAGGGATTCCCAAGCCTATGCTATTTGGCATCTCAATCGTGCCCCACTTCTCTCAGCGTTGCGTGCCTACCTCCCAACCCCCGCTTCTCATCTCCCGCCTCTCGCCTCCCGCCTCCCGCCTCCCGCCTTCTGCCCTCTGGTACATCCCCTCTCAGGGAGACGAGGGCTTTGAGATCTCGCAGGCCATTCTGAAGCAGGCGCTGGTGGTGCCGGGGGCGTCCATCCACTGGTACGACAAGTCAGGTCAGTGCTTATACATGGCATGTCATGTCAGTGCTCATGTGACGATTCAGGTGATTGCTTTTGTGCTTATGCGGGGCATCGATCCACTGGTACGACAAGTCAGGTGCGTCATTCTGCGTCATTGTGCTCTTGTTCCTATCCTCCTTGCTTTATAACCAAGGCTTTCTTGACCCCTTCACCTCTTCCTCTCCTCTTCTGAGTCGACTCAAAAGTCACCTCATTTTCTCTTGTTCCTATCCTCCTTGCTTTATAACCAAGGCTTTCTTGACCCCTTCACCTCTTCCTCTCCTCTTATGAGTCGACTCAAAAGTCACCTCATTTTCTCTTGTTCCTATCCTCCTTGCTTCATAACCAAGGCTTTCTTGACCCCTTCACCTCTTCCTCTCCGTTTCTCCCACTGCTTTCTCCATCCTCCCCCCCCTCTCTTCCCATTCTCAGACATGCGGGCCAAGCGCAAGATGGGGCATGTGACGGTGGTGGCGCCGACAGTGCAGGAGGCAGTGCGGCGAATCAATGCCATCGTGCCTCAAGCCATGGGGGATGGGCAGGCCGGTGACAGTCAAGGTGAGGAGGGGTTGGGAGTGATGAG